TATTGGCCTGTGATTATACAAACACTTCAGATAACTGTGGATGATCATTTCCCTCCAAAATGATTAAGTTCTTTGCTTTGATGTCATTATACATTAGGAAAAACTGTTGAGTAGTACATTTAAATTTCCATGAATGATCAGTTTAACAAAAACTGGCATTCTCTCCCAACATTCAAGAAATATCTGTCTGGATCTGCACACATGGTAAATCTAGAGAGTTTCTGAATGCAGCTTCAACTGTGGAATTACTGATGGCTTTCAAATCTTTTCTGATTAAAAGTCAGATTCAAGAACACTGTATTCTGAGAGAGATAAGTACATTTAAATATATAAACGTGTTTTTGCTCTGTGATGTCTGAGATTTCTGAATTTCCCTGTAATTTCATTTAGCAAGGGAAAACATCCATGCCTGTGCTAGCAGGTCCCTCCCAGCAATCTGTCAGCTTTCCACAGCATAGTAACCCACTGCTCACTGCCTGGGCCTTTCGATAAATACTGCAGGCCGCATGCTTGTGTGCTTCAGAACTTCACAGGTTTCCATGGATACGCGAATTTTAGTGCTGAGGCACATTTACTATCACTTTTCTTGTCACCAAGAGTCCTGTAAACACTTGTGCTTTAAGATTTTGTACAGAAATTTAGTATTTTATAGAGGACCAAGTCACTTTTCCCAAGTGCATTATATGACTTCCTCTTAGGGCAAAGTCCCTGAAAGCATTTATATATTTGTGGTCTCTTATTAATGATGCACTTTCATTTATTAGACTAATAAAAGATAATAAAGGCTTAACTATATTGTCAGTCTCACTTTTAAGTGGCACATACTTGTACTATGTAAATGTTACAATTAATAGGACAACTTTCTTTGAATTTAAAGTGGGAAGAGGCAAGTAGAGAAGCAGGAACAGGAATTTTCTGGCTCTGTTTAGCCATTTCTCTTCTGAATATATTCAGAAAACTAAGTGTGGTTTCTTAAGATGCCCTTTAGAAACATTATACCTATTGACCAATCAGAGTTTGAATTTATTCTTATACATGTTAAACTTTTTGTATATTTAAAAAGATGTTTCCTACAAATCTCTGAAGATCTCAGGCAATGTTACTATTTTTTCCTTTCAGGCATGCACAGCAGTGGCTCAGAGTGGAAGGAACATGCCCCATGTCCCCGAGCTAGAAAGTGGCAGACTCCTGATTCACTGTTCAGGGCTTGTCCACTATAATTTTCTTTTCTTTTCTTTTTTTTAAAAGATGTATTTATTTATGTATACAAGAACTGAAGTACAGGCCAGAGGTGTGGGCGGGGGAGGGAGGGTGAGAAGATTCACCAGAGACAAAGTGGGGAACAGAACAGGTAGACTGACGGAAATATACTGCTGAGGGGAGCAGCGGGTGACACGGGAGAGGTCTGCTGCGCCATGTGGGTAGCTCCCTAGCCAGCCAGGAAATTCGTGCTGTAGAGGCTGCTTAACCCCTTGCATGACCAGGGAAGCCCCTGTCCACTGTCATTTTCCTGGGCAGAAGGCAGACTGCCAATTTCGTCTACAGAAGGCATACCCATTTTCTTCCTTACTGGCTGCAGGCTGAGGTTTCTGTGCCTCTGACCTGGCTCCAGGAAATCATTCTTTCCTCCATTCGTGTCTTTGACTATCTCAGCTATCCCATAGGCTAGATGTGGCCCACATGAAGACTCAATGGAGAAAGAGATTGCTATTTCTATCATATTGACTAAGAATGAACAAAGCAAACTAAATGAGAGGTTTGAGCATTTTGTACAAAAATCCAATCTGGGCAGATGGGTTTCCTGGATAGTCAAGTCAAGAAAAAAGCTTTTACTTTAACAGCATGGATTTGGGTTAACAGGGTAGGAACTATCTGAATGACAGTTTCATATCTCACTTACTATGTCCATGTAGTCAATAACCTCTGCAGCATCTCAGCAAATATCTCAGTTAAGGACACCAGACCATTTTGGCCCTATGTCTCAATTGCCTTCTATTGGTGCAGGTCTTTTGTTGTTTGTGTGTATATGTATGTGTGTGTGTGTGTTTCGTCTGAAAGGAAGATTTTGCTTTTACTGTAAAGGAGTGTAGGTAAAGGAAGAACTCTGGAGTTAGAGACTTACTGCATTCCACCCCTGAAGATCCAAATGCAGAGCTCTAGGGCCCAGACCTCAGAGCAACCACCAGTCCATGAGTGGTGATAGTTTGTTGTGAGACTCAATAGATACAAAGGATATGAAAGTGCTTAGCTAGCTCTAAAATCTACACCCCAAACTAGGGGTGCTTTGAGGACTATCTAGCATCATGCAGTGCCCATCGGTTTTAGTCTCTCTGTTTTAAAAAAACAAATAGGGCCTCCCTGGTGGCATAGTGGGTTGAGCACAGCACTGTGAAGCTGTCTGTAGCCTTTGCAGCGCTGGTTCGATTCCCAGCCGGCCAAGGAGATTCCCACATGGCGTGGCAGACTGCTCCTTTTGAACCCGCTGCTCCCTTTAGCAGTGTATTTAGGTCTGTCTGCCTGTTCTGCTCCCCACTCTGTTTCTGGTGAGTCCTCTCACACTCCCATGCCTCTGGACTATACCCCCACTCTTGCATAAAAATAAATAAATATTTAAAAAAAAAGAAAAGAAAAACAAATAATGACTCCTGCTCTCTCACAGGGCTTTTGCTGGTATGTGGGCATATTCATTTTACAACAAACACAACAAACCATCTCCAAGATGGTCATTCCAATATGTTTCAATGCTTTCAAGCCAACTGGACAGCAACTAAGAGTGGCATGCACATGGTAGCTCACTTGGTGTAATCACCAAAATAACGGGAGCGGGTTGTTTAGGTTATGATCTAACATCTGCTCCCCCCACATGACATGTGTGGCCCTTGAGCTCCAAGTACTGCAACTAGATGCAGACAAACTCCAGCGATTACTGCCACAGGCTGATTCTTCTTTCTTTCTGAATGGAAATTTTAATTCTGAGTTGCTCATCCAGAGTGGGGCCCAGTGATTAACTATCTCTCCAAAGCGTGGAAATGAAGGCACAACTCACTACTCTTCTGAACTACAAAGCTTTTTCTGTTTCTCCTACCAATTCCACTCAGGCATCAAATTGAATTTACTCTTAACCAAATGCATTGTAGCTACACCTGGCAGGGATCTAGAAGTAAAAATTACAAGATTTATTTCATTTTAATTCTTTTATGCTTCACTTAATCACATATTCCCCCCCCAAAAAATGAAAAGATAATTTATCATTTTGCCCTAACTGAGCAACCCTCCTCAGTTCACATTCATGAATCCATAATGCAGGGAGGAGACTGGATGATTAAGTGTCCGATTAGAGAAAACAGATTAACCTGGCAAACATAATAAATTTAGCTCATAAGCAGGATGGCTTTATAAATACTCACAATAACTCTCCTGTATAAAATCATGAACCACTTCCTTCAGTGATGACTCAATTGAAATAGTTGGGGAACATAAAACAAATATATGTTTATGGCTTTCTCTTGGAAACATTAAAAGGGTATTGAAAGGCATATCTGATTCATTTTATGACTCTAAAAATATAGTAAATAGTCAACTTATAAGAAAAAATATTAACTCATAAAAAAGCTGCAACTTCTTAAATGTACTTTCTACTTTGCCAATAATTAGAGTCTGGTCTATGTACGCTACATTCCCAAAGGTGCAGAGCCCATGGGTGGGTTTCAAACCATGTAGATCCTCCCTTCACCTTCATAACAGAATCTGACTCTTTCATAAATGCAGTTGCATCTTTAGACAGTTCTTATCCCATTGCGGCAAAGCGAGCTATTTCAGCATGTGCACCAGTACGTATTATTTCCTTCTGTTTAGCTGAGATTCCGTTTACATCATAGTAAAAATCTAGGTTATGACTTGCTTCAATTAGAGTCCTGTGCTGTGCCCCAGCACAGTCTGCCAGGCTTTCCTTACTTAGCTGGTAAGTCTCCCTTTTTTAGTAACAAGAAAAAAGATACTCTTCATGCCCAACTTTATTTTTAAACTCACATGGCTGTTTTCCTGAGGGCTCTGCTGGCCTACCTGGCCTGAAAGCAAAGTCAGTCAGGCCCTGCTCCATCACATGCACCCAAGTCACACTGAATAAAACCTGTGCTTTCAGGGACGTACCAGAGCAGAGGACTGGCTGCTGAGAGTCCTGTCTTTAATGAAAATACCCTCCTGAGACAGGTAAAGTTCCCACTAGGGGAAACTAGAACTTGGAGGTCGAGGGGCTGTGCACCCTTCCTTTTTTTCCTTTCTCCTCCCACTGAAGTTGACCCTGGGTGGGAGGAGGGTGGTGACAAGAAGGGGTCCAAAGCTGGGGTTCCTGTGTGTCCTCAGAGTCCTGAGTGCTGGACTGGACTCATAAGCACATGTGTGTGAGCTGAAAGCAGGATTTTTTTTTTTTTTAAATGAAGGCCACTCCTTCCTCCCACCTATGCTGTGTCAAAAGATTGAAATATCTTCTTGGGGAGCAGGGCGCATGATCCTTTTGTCAGTGAAGGAATTTGTAATAGAACCAGAGGGGCGCACTTCTACCAGGAGGGTGGTGTATTCATGACGAACGAACGCGAACATTTCTGAGCTCAGCAAGACTCACTTTTTAAGTGCAGCCCTAGCACAGCCCTTGGCACTGTTAAAGTTTGAAGCAGGCACTTCTGAGAGACAGAAAGGGTGTGGGTAATTGGTTAGGTACCAGAAGCTGGGCTGCGCTTTCTCGCTTGCTCTCGCTCTCGCTCTCGCTCTCTTGCTCTCCCTCTGTGTGTGTGTGTGTGTGTGTGTGTGTGTGTGTGTGCGCGTGCGTGCGTGCGCACATACACGGGTCAGTTGTACAGTTGGTGCTTCTGGGTGAAAAGGATGCCGTGAGCGCACTGGGCAAAGGTGGCCATGCAAGGGCGGGTTGGTGGGCTGGGCGGCTCCTCCAGCAGCGCTGGCCCAGGATGCACGTGCAGCGCACAGCATCGGGGCGTGTCCGCGTGGCAGGACTGGCGTTGGCAGAGGTTGGCCCTGAGTGGTACTTGGCTGCTGCAGTCTGACGTTAGTCAGCGGGGAGCCTATGGCACTGGCCAGGAGCCTCTCGCAGCAGGGAGCATCTGTGAGATCAGAGCAATAACCAGGTGTCCCAGAGACCTGCTGTCTCAGTTAGGGGTAAGGACCACTGGCTTAGTTGAGGTGTGCTGGGGATAGGGAGGGAGGGCCTCTAGACTTCTAGGCCACCTTGTTTGAAACAATTGTAAGTCTGGAAAAACTGGAAAGACCTGTAAAGAGCATTTAATCGGAGATCTGAGACACCAACACCCCTCTTTTTTTTTTTCTGGTTAGGGAACAGAGTCCACAAGAAAGCCACTTGCTTTCCCCAAGTCACACAACTGAAGTGGCAGAAAGTAGACTAGAAACCTTCTCTTGTATGCCAAGACTTTTCAGCCCTTACTGAAATGAATATCAATTATTAATACAAATAATTACTACAATAAAACACTAAAGTTTGAGAATATGGATAGTGATATTGCTCTGGAATTCAGTACTGTTAATATGATTTATGTGCTGGAAAAACCCAGTCACTCTGCCCTGCCTGAACTTGGTGTCCTTGCTCCTTCATTCATTAAACATGCTTTGGGGCAGTTATTTGTGCCAGGCACTCTGCAGGTACCTAAGGTAGAGAGATAAACAAGAAGCAGGCTCAGTATCCAACACAAGAGAACCAATTCCCCAGACATCAGTAACTGAGGTAGGCGTGTGTATTAGACACAGCGGGTATTAGATACACTGCACCTTGGAAACGCCTAAGGACACGCAGGTCTTGTTGATTCTGGCTAACTGGAGGAAAACCTTGGGGGAGGAGGTGGTATGGGACCTGGATCCTTGAGGACGGGTCATTTGGGGACATTTGGAAATGGACACTGCATTCCAGGTAGAAGGTTCAGTGTTAGCAACAAATTGCAGGTGAGTACGAAGAGTGAGCACTTTGGTTTGCATACATTGATAGGTGGATAAGGAGCCCAGATTATAGGAATAAAATGGGATGTCAGTACTTGAGTGCCTTGGATGGATTCCACATGAAGAATGACAGTGCAGTGGCTGAGCATAGTTCATCTGGCAGGGAAGGGGAACCCTCAACTATTGAGTGAGGATGTTGAACCAAGCATCCTGGCAGCTCTAAGAGTCTGTGAGTTAGCAGGTCTGGGACACTTGGCTTCATGTAGTGATTTCAGAGTAACAGGACTACCGATGAAAAATGCGGCTGGAGTGAAAAGGGGTTCAAATTGAATTGGGAAAGTGCTGGAGTTGGGATAACCTGTGATGGTGTTTCAGGCTGCCAATAGCTTTCTTGGGAGTCATTAGCTAAAACGTGCACATAGTAACCCAGGAGGTCTCATGGAGCGGAGCCGCAGTTAATCAGCCTGCCTCAGTCTGTGCACGCAGTGGGGGAGAAGTTATTTCTTTTGTTGCATCCCCAGGGACCAACATGAAGCTGTAAACAGGGCAGCCTGTTTTAGCAGTTGAAATGGGAGATTTCTTGTACAAAGATTAGTTACCTTCATGCCATTCTTTATTGAATAGTTTGGTATGGTTGAAGTGTTCACATGAAGTATTTTTACCTTTAAGTTGACACACAGTAGAGGAATATATAATGTATCCTTAATTGGTTCTGTGTTGTATTTTATTTATGAAGTGCTACATTACATAATTGTGTCTGAAAGAAATGGGTGTATGTGACCCATGTATATCATGTTTCCCAAATAAAAAGGTTGTAGTCTCTTGTCCAAAGTCTGAATCTGGGTACCTTCTAGATGCTTCTATCCTTACCTTAATACATTTTCAGTTTCTTTTTTTTTTTTTAATAGAGGCATGTTTTTATTTATTTATTTGTTTGTTCATTTGTTTTGTTTATACATGCACTGGGCACAGTCTGAATCGCGGGAGGGTGAGAGAATTCACCAGAGCCAGAGCAGGGAGCAGAGCAGGCAGAAGGACCCAAGTACACTGCTGAGGGGAGCAGTGGGCGGCAGGAGAGGTCTGCGCCCATGTGGGACCCGTCTCTGGTGGCCGGGGAGCAGCCGGGAATTGAACCGGCTCTGCAGAGGCTGCGGGCAGCTTCGCAACCCAGCGCTCAACCGCTGCGCCACCAGGGAGGCCCCATTTTCAGTTTCTGACAGAAATTCCCTGCAGGGGAAGGGCCTGGGTTTCTCAGTAAGCCTACATTTCCAATTTCCAATTACCTAATGGTTTTGTATATAAATATTTTAAAACTTTCTGTGTTGCTATATGCAACAGACATTCTCTGTGTGTGTGTGTGTGTGTGTGTGTGTTTTATAGCTTCCCTATCTAATTTGAAAAGAGGAAGAAGATGAAAATGTCGTTTAGTAATAATTCCTTTGGTTAATGATAATCAGTGGTGTAAAGAGGAGCATGAAATCTGGAATAAGAAGACAGACCTGGAATTGAATTCAAATTCTGTCACTTAGTTTAGGTCTGACTATTAACTCATTTCAGTCAGGGTTGTGCTGGGACTAATGGATGTTATTCAGGCTCCTTTCCTAAAAGTGCTGGGGTTCCAGGTAGCCCCAATAGCTATAGCAATGAGGAGCAGACATTTCTCTTGTGCCCCTCTTCCTGACTTAATCCAGGACAAGGCTGCTTTTCATGTTTTATATTTTGTGGTTCCATCTGATATTTGGTTTGATATAAGGCCCTCTGCTAAAAACATGCTTGGTGAGCTATGGGTTAGCTAAAATCTGAAGTATCTTTTTGCAGGAAATTGCTGCGATTCTGTGTTTGGTGTCAGAATTCCTTACATATTAGCCTGAGGCTACTCTCTTAAGTTCTTGAAAGGGTGTTCATATAAATTGTTTCCCTGTTATCCTGTCTTCTCTCCTTATAAATATGAGAGGCTTCATGAAATAAATTAACTTATATTTCATAAATCAATTTACAAACTGTCAGAAATTGAAGCGTATTAAACATATATTAATAATTTTATAAATATTAACCTGTTAGAGTGAAATCATTCATTCCACAAAATTACCGTGACTGAAAGAGAGATTCAAACAATATCTCAACCTTTAGTCACCTCTTTCTTACCACCACCTCTCAAGCTCATCTTAGTTCATAAACCACCTGCAACCACTTTTAGCCACTTCATGAAATGCCACTTGAACAGCTTTTTTGAGAGAAAGCACATATATTCTTATGCTGCCTTCAAAATCTGAAAATTGAGACTCAATTTGAATGACTTTCCCAAAGTGACAGAACCAGCAAGCAGAAAACTCAGCCTAGAGTTCACATGTTTAAGCCTAGTTCAGTTATTTCCCCCTCTATATTTTTATAATGTAAATATTTCAGGGTCTTTCCCAAGATTTGGCATTTGCTATTATAGTTTTTTTATCTGTAAATGGGACCATGACATAGCAAACTCAAATAGTCCTAGATTTTTAAATAAATCAAGTAGGGTTAACTGACATGGTGTATTAAAAAAATGTTATACTACAAAGTGATCTCCATTCAAATAGTGATTATTATTGTGAACTTGTCTCTCAGTCCTACTAGGCAGCAATGTGTGCTTGTTGATTCCTATTCATGGGAAATGTGTTTGTTTATATCATACTATATTATTAACTTTCCCTTTTTCTATCCACGTGGCCAAATTGTGAGCTGCCATATTAATAAGACTCAAACATATTTGAGAGGGTGGTTAGATTTAATGGTTTCCATAAAGTTGTTTTAATAGCTATTTTTCAACAGATGGACAGCTTGCATTTGGCCACATTTCTGTAACAGTGTGATGATTGAAGTTTTCAACAGATGGCATATAAATACTTGGGAAAACACCCTCCCAATATTAATGGTTGTAAAAAAAAAAAAAAGACTTTTAGAGTGCCAGAAAATGATAGTCCATATTCCCAAGTCCTTAGACTATGCTATTATGATTATAATTTAGATGATTTGGAAGTTTCCTTTTCTGGCACTTGAATTTCTTTTGTAAATGAGTGTACATATCTATGTCAGACTGAGAGATGCTGGCAAGCACTCTGTTGTCAACTAGAGACTCAACATAGATGTGGCACTAAGTAGTTTTTTGATTATCAATGAGTATACAGTACTTTTTCTTTGTGGAGTCATTCTGCTTCTATGCCACACATAGGAAATGTCACCTTACCTACAAATCAGTTGTCAGGGACTTATATTTTCTTTCTGAAAAGTAATGATTCAGAAGGAAAACAAAACCTCACCAAACAGAATCTTCAGATGTATTTATCAATATGTTAACTCTCCAACTTCCAAGTTGTCCTACTTCTACACTGACTGCCTTGCCCTTCCTGGAATCAAAGAGTAAGTGTGTCTGTCTGGGGGTGGTGGTGCTCTGTGAGGTGTTTGTGGTTGTCACAGTGACCAGCATCCACTAATATTCAGTGGATGAAGGCCAGAGAGTTTTGACATGTGCACACAGTTCAGCACAAGGAAGAAGTGTCCCATATCCCATCATATACTTGAGTAGCTGGCTGTACATTCACCTGAATCTGGACCTCATCTATGCTTAAATGACATGACAGAGTAAGTTTTGCAATATAAGGTATTTTTGCACAGAATATAAGGCGCACCATATCTCTGTTTTATTTTATTATGCTACTATAAGAGGGACTGAGAGGCTTCTGTCATCTATGCTTCAGATCAATAAGGAGAAGCTTGTAGACACTTTAATATGTCCTTTTGTATAGTCATGGACTGAGCATTTATGTAGTAAACAGATATTATTATGAATTTATCTTCCCTTTCTGTTCCAAATAAGGCATCATATTAATATTTTTGAAATGTTATATGTATGTGAATTATACTGTTGATGAATGTCTGGATTTAAACATGATCATAAATTACTTATTCTAATAATGGGATGCTGCAGTAGATCAAGATGAGAAGTATTGCTATAGAAAATTAAACAATAATGGACAAATTCTATCTACACTTGGCCACTTGTGAACACACAAGTCATTGTTGGGATCATCCAAAGTAAAGGATAGTGGTGTGAGTCAAATCTTTAATAAGGAATGTGACCCCAAGAAATTCTGCATCCCTTTGATTTGGTGGAAGTTTTAAATTAACTTTCAACTTGTGTCAGTTATATCTTCTTTGTATCTGTCATTGCAGATGGCGTTTAATGATTGCTTTAGTTTGAAATACCCTGGCAATCCTCAACCAGGGGACTTGATTGAAGTGTTTCGTCCTGGCTATCAGCACTGGGCTTTGTACTTGGGTGATGGCTATGTTATCAACATGGCACCTCCAGGTAAGGTTTGTATCCAGTGGCTCCTAGGAGAGTTTTAATTTTCCTATTATAAAAAGGAATTATAAACAAAATTCTAAAATAAAGCAGAAATAAAATAGAGAAGGTATATAACTCTGCCTGATCTGGGTCTAGGGTCACCTGTGGTAAGACCACAGTGGCATTAAGAAATTTCAATTAACATTAAAGTCTTAAATTTCTGCATTAAAATATCACAATTAAAGAAAAAATAATCAGCTTGGAACAATACTTGGCCACAAACATGACAGGAGTCAATGTCTTTCTGTATCCCCAAAATACATTATTTCAGTTCATTCAACATCTGTTTTTAGATTACCTAGTATGTGCCAAATGCTATGCTAAGTGCTGGACAGATATAAACATGGACAAAAATCCAGAATTTCAACAATAATAAAATTTATCTATATACAACATTTCAAAAATATTAATATGATGCCTTATTTGAAACAGAAAAGAGGAATAAACTCATAATCTTTTTACTATGTAAGTGCTCAGTCCATGACAACACAAAAGGATATATTAAAGTGTCTACATGCTTTGCCCTGTGTGGCAAAGCTTGCATTCTATTGGAGAGAGAGAGATGAACAAAATACAGAAAGCAATGGTAGGATAGACATAAGTGATATGGAGAAAATAAATCAGAGACACTGGCTAGGAAGTGCTGCAGGCTCCGGGGAAGGGAACTGCAATTATGAGATTTCAGAAAATCTCATAAGAAAATAATATTTGAAGAAAATTGAAAATGGTGAGGAAACAAACTGATGATATTTGGGGAAAGAGTTTTTCAGACCAAGGGACAGCTATGACCAAAATCCCAACAGGCAAATGGGTAAAGAATTATAAACAGTTTGTAGGAGAAAAGCAAAAACCAATATCCATCTTTAAAGGTTTAAACTTTTTAATCGTTTAAGAATTGTACAGTAAAACAACAGATATTATGCCTATCACATTTGGAAAAGCTTTAACAAATGATAACCACCAGCACTTGTGAGGATATAATCCAATGAACACAAGGATATGATTGATAGAAAAATAAGTGATAAAATGATTCACAATAACAATTGGATAATATTTTTTTAAGAGTCTTGAAAGCATTCATAAGATCTGACTCTGTAATTGTACCTCTATGAAATCCATTCTGGGAAATGTTTATAGAGATGCGGACTACCATGTCTGTATAAGAGTGTTCACTTCTATCTCATTTATAATGACTTCAAAAATAGATAATGGCTTAATGTTCAATAAGGGAATAGTTAACTGAATTATAATTTAGCCACAGTATATTAAGTATCTGTGTTTGACAATTCTTTAGTTGCATATAATAGAAATCAAACTGAAATGAGCTTAAGAGAAAAGACAAATCCAGTACTCAATCCATGCCTCAGGGGTGCATGGATTTAGGGTTTTGAACACTATGGAGATTCTGCCTTACACCTGTGTTATTAAAGTATATATGGATTCTTCATCCTCTCAGGCTATGTCTCTTTTAAAAATGGAACAAATGACCATAAGAATCCTAAGGTTCTCATTCGTACAGTCTTGTGCCCTAGCAGGAGAAAGAGCTAATCCCTGCCGTGACAGTACACATACCCATGAGTTACAACTCTAATTGGACCCCCAGGTCCATCACTGGACCATCACTGTGTAGAGGAGAATGGTAGCCTATGATTGACTTAGAGTCTTTACAAGAAAGAAAGGAGGAAGTGCCAGATGACAACAACCACGGCCACTATAAAAGCCATTAAAAATCATACTTCTGGGGCCTCCCTGGTGGCACAGCGGTGGAGTGCTGGGTTGCGAAGCTGCCCTCAGCCTCTGCAGCGCTGGTTTGATTCCCGGCTGCTCCCTGGCCACTGGAGGAGGGTCCCACATGGCTCGCAGACCTCTCCTGCTGCCCCTCATCAGCGTACTTCGGTCCTTCTGCCTGCTCTGCTCCCCGCTCTGGCTCTGGTGAATTCTCTCACCCTCCCACGCTTCTGACTGTACCCAGTGCTTGTATAAATAAATAAATAAATCTTTAAAAAAAAATCATACTTCTGGACCAGTTTAAGTGCATGAAAGGTGATGTGGATATAATATTTATTTGAAAATCCAGATTAAAAGTGCAATATGTTAAATAATACCCAGTTAGAAAAGAAATAATATATCTATATATAGACATGAAAGCATATGCATATGCATACATGTTAATAAAAGACATAATAGAAGCACAATAAAATAATAATAGTCATTTCTGGGTGGCAGGGAAATGGGTGATTTTTATTTACATTTATACTATATTTTCTTAGTCTTTAGAAAGGAGTGCAAAGTACTTTATTTAAGGAAAAATGCGTTTTTTTTTAACCTCAAGATGCCTTTAAAGACAAATATTTACAGGTCTAAGTCTTACTATTATCTTGCCTCTTGTTCTAGAATATTGGGAAATAAAATAGCAAGTAGAATGATATTCATGTTGCAGAGCCACTAGTTTCTGCAGAGTCTAGTAACTCTCTACATTATCTCTGAAATTGTCACCTCTAAAAAATAATGTGAGATTTAGGTGCTGATTCCTTTTTACATTTCTTTTGTTCAATTATTGACATGGTTCAAACACCATCTTTGATCCTGTTGACTGAAATTCAATGCTTGTTTCTGTTGTTAACTACTTGTGTGATATTTTGCAACTGATTGCATCTGATTACCCCATTCCCCCACAAAAAATTCAGTAATTCTAACTAGGATATATATGCCCTAAGAACTTGTGATACGTAAAAACTTACAGTGCATGAGATTAACTGAAAATGCTGTTCTAATGAAAGCAAATTTATAGTATAGGAAGAAAAAAAGAACAGGAAGGAAAGTTAGGTTTAGGTCATTACTAAGAGGGAAGTGCCTAAACACCATTTATGTAGAGATCTTTGCTCTTGTGATTTACTTCAACAATGGCAAGTCCAAGTAGTCTTGCACAGATAGACAGGTACCAGAGTGTTCTATTTGAGCTGGACACTGAAGAATCATCTGTCCAGCCTCAGATACTGACAACGGCAGACCAGGAAACAAGGTTCCAGGCCACATAGGCAAATGGTTACCTTAGAGGCAGCTGAGATCTGCCAGGGCTTGGAGCTTTGTAATAGGTTAGTGGGCACAGCCTGGGCCACATCTAGTGGACAGTGACTATGATGTTAAGTTCAGATTCAGGACTTAGTTTCTTGACCAAAGAAATAGGCAAGACAAAAAAGGACCGTGACCTGACCCCAGTTCACCCTTCAGAGTGGACTGGATACCGTGCAAGTTGTAAATTGAACCGAATTGAAGCTTAGTGGAAAGAACACATGAAAAAAATTGAAAGTGGGTGATTAAGGAGCGCAGCTTAGATGCTTGGAGGAGTCTGCCAATCATAATGCACTGCTGCTAAAGCTCAGTGATTGTACTTTGGCAGAGTGTAGATGCTAAAAAAAAAAAAAGTTTGCTTTATAGAAAAAGTGGGCAGTAGTGATCTTATCTGTACTCTTAGAAACACACCCCAAGATCTCTAGTAATACCAATTGATAGAGAATGTGTTCTTCAAGAAAAAATAGAGCTTTATCACTCATAGGGTTTGTTCTATGGGGAAATATAAATTTCAAAAAGCTTTCTTATTTATAACCTCTTTATGTAGTATTGAGTAAGTGCTATTGATAAATTACAGAATGAGTTTTTAACACAGTAAGAGTAAGTGGTTTTTGGTTTGATTTTAAAATAGGAATAGAACTAAGTTTATTTATCCCAGCATTTCTTTAGATGGGAATTAGTGTTCATTACTGGGTCACTGTTCCTTGTTAACCAGAATTCTCTTTATAGAAGGTGGCATTCCTGCAGCATTTACAAGTGCCAAGTCTGTATTCAGCAGAAAGGCCCTGGTGAAGATGCAGCTCTTAAAGGACGTTGTAGGAAAGGACAAATACAGAATAAACAATAAATATGATGAATCATACCCCCCTCTCCCTGTGGAAGAAGTCATGCAACGATCAGAGTTTGTTATAGGGCAGGAGGTGGCATATGACCTGCTTGTCAACAACTGTGAGCACTTTGTGACTTTCCTTCGCTACGGAGAAGGCATCTCAGAGCAGGTGAGCTTTCTTTTGGACATATACAAGAAGTTTCTTACACTGGGAAAATAATAAGTACTAAATTAAGCCTTCCAAGTCTTCAACGAAATGAAAAGAACAAGAAAATATGAGAACACTGAAGGATAAATGAGGACATCAAGTTGTCTAAGGTCATGCAGTAAGTTAGTGACCAAACTGAGGCTAGTATTTAGAACAAGAAAGGACTTTAAGTAGAATCAAGACCATCACTTACTGTCAGTCTATTGCCTTCTGCCCTTAGAATTTTTTCCCCTGACCCCACCAGATAGCAACCTCAAATCAGTAGCCTATAGTAAAATGAATATAGTGTTTAAAAGAATGTTGAGTTTTTTGAGTGGAAGTTTATTTGACAAAAACATAGATGATAATTCTGAGATTCTTTTCCATTAGTTGATAGAGGCCAACCAATGATATATTTTGATGGGTTTGTCTTCTATTTTCTTAATAGCTAATTTCAAAGAAATTTCATGCTTTTAAATAGATGCTTTGAGCATTTGGATGATTTTTAATGGATAAGAAGTTTCTTTGAGCATTTGGATGATTTTTAATGGATTAATTGACTTTATTTTTAAAGTACTTTGGATTTTGACTGCCACAATTTTGTAGTATGGCTGATTCCTAATGGAAGTGTGCTGCGTTCAATTGACCTTTCCCTATCTATGGTCTCACCAATCCCATTCTGTCATGGATGTTCCAACCTAAAGTTTTCTTAAGGTGATGTAAGAGTATGGTGAAATGGTGAATTTGTTATATAAACATTTATTCTAAGGAACAAGTCTACAGTTTTCCCATGAAAGTTTGAAAAACAGGAGATGGAACATAATGAAAAGATACATTTGTTTTTATTAGGAAATAATTTCATTGGGAATTCACTTTCATGAGAAAACACTTTGACAAATGAATGTTCTATTCTGTGTAACAATAAATTGCTTCTGAGCCACAGCACTGAGCTATAAACACAAATTTCAGCTTACCTCTGTTGTGAAAACTCATGGTATGACTGGAAATAGATTCCATATTCCCTGGTTAATGATAAAGTTTTTCACTACACTCAATCAGCAATCTTTTTTAATGTGGCTATGTAGAAAGGAACTAGAATTATCTTCTTGCTTTGATTCTTACTTGAAAGTCATCATTTTTTCATCTTTCATATCCAGAATCAAAGTGTCCCTCTTCCCTTGTCTACCAAGAAGGATCAAACTTAATCATCAATAATCATGGAGGACTAGTTGCTAATGTCAAATCCCTATTAGCCTGGAGGGGCCACTAGAAGAATCTATATAATAAGCTTTACTAACTAACTTCTCTTATTAGCTTCTCATATATTTACCTTCCACAGTCTGGCACTTTCAGAAACCTAAAATTTGCTTTCCTTAGTCCTATCATTTCTCTACAAATTTATTGTTACTTGTTGGAGTTGTTTTAAAAGTCTGAATTCTAAGCCATTTCATTGAATTTGGTTTTCTTGGGTTTCCCCCATGTATGCATTGGATGCCCATGATAATAAAATTTTCTGTCCTGTTGATCTTGTATTGCAGAACCTCCACAAAGACCCAAAATGGGTAGAAATACATTTTCCCCTAAAATAGTTTATTTACTACTTGGGTTGCATATCCTATAGGTTTCAACAAATGTGTCAGAATAGTATCCATCATTATTGAATCATACAAAAGAGTATCCATCATTATTGAATCATACAAAAGAGGTCTGTGTATTCATCTCTCCCTCTCCCTAGGTGCCTGGAAATCACTGTCCTATTGCCTCCTTAGTTTTTCATTTTTCCAGAGTGCAATATGCATTTAAAATTTCTCCATGTTCTTTTTATACATTTCAAACTTTTTTTAAATCACTGAGTAACATTCCATTGTATGGATGTAACATTCATCTACTAAAGGACACCATGATTGCACCCACGTTTTGGTAATTATGAAGAGAGCTGCTATTCCCATTTGTGTGAGGTTTTGCGTGGGTAAATACTGAGGAGTAGGATTGCTGGAGTGCAGAGCATGTTTCATTTTGTGTGGTCGTGCCATTTACACCCTCACCACAATGAGAGTTCCTGTCATTTCAATTCCCTTTCAGCCTTTGGTGGTTGCTGCCTATAGATTGGATATTAGTTATTCTGATAGGTACCTAATGCTATCTCCTTGTTTTAGTGTGCCAATCTCTAAATTGCATTAGAATATCTTTCTATATGTTTATTTGCCACCTGCATATCATATTTGGTGTTGTGTCTCTTGAGATGTTTTACCCATTTTTTAATTTGATTACTGGCTCCCCTTCTAATTGGGTTTTAAGAAATTTCTGCATATTTTGGATAACAGTCCATATTTTGGATACTAGATTTGTCGTTTGTAAATATTTTCTCATACTCTGTAAATTGTGTTTATTTTAAAATAATTTCTAAAATCATAATTTCTCACTATTATAGTCTAAATAAGTTATTAAAATGTGCCCATCTTTGTGTAAGTAGTAGCACCCTTGAATAGATCTGGACAAGTGTGTTATTGTGACAGAAGAATAGAATGCATTACGCTCACACAGTTCACAGACACAGTACACCAGACTGTGCTTCGGGCAAGGTACTGCTGCCCTTCAGTCTTGGGGGAAGAGGCATCTTGATATACAGTACAGTCATCTGTGATCATGCTACACTGTGTTGAAAAGAGCACTCAGAACCAGCTAATGTTTCTCCAGGCTTGTGTAGATCCTCAGATTGAAGTCTCTATACTGTCCACGGACAGAAAGCCTTTTAAAAGATGAAGCATGCAGAGTTGGATCTGGTGATCTTATAATCCTAAGTAAGCCATGAAATAAAATCTCTTGCTCATGCTGGCTTATCAGGGACATCCTGGGATGTTATAATCTTGCTGGTCAGACCCTATAACACATAACACCAAAGGATTGTCCGAATTACATGGGCTTTTGACATCTAGAATGTGACTTGAAATAAATAAGCAGTTGGGATTTGGGGAACTGCATGCACTGTTGAAAGTAGCTTCATTATGGTATCAAAGCTGTGTGAACTCAGGGCATTTTGGTTTAGGATAAAGTCACTTATCCCTTCCCCAGGCCTCTTAGATGTATGGAATTTTTTCTAACATTTTTTGTTTCTAGTGACTGAGAAATACCCATGGGTTAGGTCTGCATCTTACAGGGGCCACCCTAGTCACAGAATCCTGCCATTTTCTCAAGGCTGTACCCTGCTTTTAAATACCCCAGTTATACCTTCATATGTTTTCACCACCCGTTCCATTTCTCTGCTACCGACCATCTTGGGGTCTCAGAATCTCTTGGAATTTTACAAGGGGCGGACATGATTTATAATCTTGGCTGCTACCTGATTATTGATTCTACCTCTCATTGTAATTTTGTCCTATATCTTGTTTCTCTGCCTTATTTTGTTTCCTCTATGCTACTTGGGTAGTGCTATGCTGCAGTAAATTCTGACTCTATTCTGGGAAATAAACATTAATATATTAGGTAAATACTAATTAAAAAATATAAGCAAAATAAATAACCAAACAAATAAAATTAGAATTATAAACTAAAATCAATATGTTAGGCTCCGTTGTCTGCCATGCAGTTCACCCTGCAGCCTGGCAGTGGTGGCAGAGAGGGGATTCATTACCAGCCTTGTCCCTACAGACCATGTGACAGCATCATGGAACCAATGTGCCTGTCACTGAGACTCCTTGGACGCCACAGCCCTTGCTGCCTATGCCCAAAAAAGAAATTGCAGTTAAGGCAGCAACATTGTATGTCAGGAAAAAAGGAGTGGCAAGCTGAGCAATGGAATTTGTAGGTTAAGTAGATGGCATGTTCAAATGTGAGTTGGGTCAAGCTTTCCAGCACTTGGGCTGGTCCCCAGAGTCATTTGGGGAAAATGCTTTGCTTTATTTGAAAGGCTGACTCTTAAATCCCAGAGAACAACTGTTGTTTTCAGAATACCTGATGACTCTAAAGTGTCTGAATATGACCTTTGGATTATAAAATTGCACTCAAACCTGTGTGGATAGAAGGCAATATTATTTGAGTGCCACTGAAATCATGAATATTCATTAATTCTCTCATCATGAGAATGATTAATCCCCTTAAAGTGCCAAATGTCTGAACATCTACATGGACAATTGAGCTTGAGAGTGGTTTATTTTCCTTTGTCTACACGAGAAATTAATTTTTTGACATGATAGTTAACATTAGTATTGACTTCTCTTGAAGTTTGTTTATCAGAATAGAAATGGTATCTACGAAATTCAGTTCAGATCAATCCCTGAATGATTTTGCTGACATTCCTGATTAGAGGATACACACAAACACACACGGTATTCACCCTCATATACATTAAACCAATGCGTGTGTTTAAGGTCAGGAGTTGAGTAGGGGAAGAACACATGGCTCAAGATCTAACCTATTTATAAACACCCCAGAGGTACTACCTGAGGCATATCACTCATAACTTCCCACATTTTTGCAAAATAGGAGTAATGCAACCTCCCAGGTATGCTATATATAGTGATTAATAGGACTTGTTTGCCTAATGAGTTTTAAACTCTTGGAGACTATAAAAATATGAGGAAATATAGTTATGTGTGGTTATCCCCATATCTGTATCAATTATTAAAATGATAAATTTATTCATCTTTATGCAGAATTTTAATTTTGCACTGAGTTTATCCAGCATACATTAAATTGGTTCTTTAGTTTAGAAAATAAATTAAAGCTTGAGTTCAGAATACAGAGGTGCCTTTGGAATAAAATGTGGTTTTTGTTTCTTGTTTCCTTATAGGCCAACCGAGCAATAAGTACCGTTGGGTTTGTGACAGCTGCTTTCAGTGCCCTCTCCTTCCTGGGCTTGTTTCCAAAAACACAGAGAACAAAATACTATTAACAATTTACTGAACAGATATTGGAAACGAGGGAATGTGTGAGGAGGGGGAAAACCTGGGATGAATACTTTTTCAATGGATCATTATTGTTTTGAATTCCAATGATAGATGGCAAGGTCTTTAATAAATCGCTTACTGATATTATCTCATCATGGAGCCGAGGAAATTTTTCTCCCTACTAACATAGGCCTGCTGCAGCAGCTTGAATAAGAAACGCTAGCCTTTTGAATGAGCCAGCAGAGGATCTTAACAAAATCACATCATAGTTTATCTTCTGCTATAAATATGGTTTACCTTTTCCCTGAGAATGGCTATTTTGTATTTGCCAGAGGATGAAGATCCATTTATATGTGGTTTGGAAGAAATGTTAAGAGCCCCAAATTGTGAAGGTTGACATGTAAATTCATATTCCATTTCTGGTCAGAAAAGAAACTGGGAAATGCCATAATCTTAGGCAGTTTGAGGAACGGTCATTAACCAGCTGTTTGAGGGTACACTTCCATCTCCTTGCTCCTGGGCACAAGAAGGGTGGAGGGGAGGAGGAGCTCTTTGTTCAAGTGTTTCAGATTCAATAATTTCCCTGGAAGAGACTCATCTGTCAGAATTATGTGACTAGTGAAGTGGGTTGTTACTTCTACAGAGCTACATTGTTCCCTTTGCATTTTGAAGTATTTCAAGAGTTTGACCCTTTTAACCTTAGCAACAGATCGTTAAATGTAGGCTTATGGTGCCATATTTAGAAAACAATATCCTGTGTTGCTTTCTAAGACTTTTACTCTAAGTCAAGGAGTGTCATAATTTTATTCTTGCACTTTATTGATTGAGTTGAATGAAACAAACTACTTTTTAATACCCTTCCAGTACAATTCTTGTTGGTAGCAGGTGGGAAAAAGTGCATGCAGTACTCTGACTGTCATTGCATCATATCAAACATTACGACATTATCCTATAAACCACTTTGCTGACCTTCTTTTGCCAACATCAAGAGCTTGGCATTAAATAAAGAAAAGTTCAAGCAAATGTTGGGTGGGGTACAAGGAGGGAACTAGAAATATGCTAGACAAAGTAACTAAACAGAAAACTCAACGTAAGTCTTGCCCCTATTAAGTGGATTTAGAGTTTTACACTAGGGTCAGAATACATAAAACTCTAACGGCAGGTTTAACAGTGACCACAGAAGGGCATGTGCTACAATCTCATGAATTTGGACCAGCTTTTAGAGTTGGGAAAATAACTTTACATCCATCGGTGTCAAAGACTAGATAAAGGATGCCCTGGGTTTGTTTGTTTTTTTGGGTTTTTTGTTTTTGTTTTTGTTTTTTTTTTGCAAAGCACTTTTTAAAAGTTTATCTCATTACCTTTGTGATCTATTCTGGATCATAGAACTCACTGGCTTAAAGCAATATTCTTTGGAAGGTTTGACCAGCAGGTTAGTGAAAAATTCGGCGCGGTAAAAAAAAAGGAGAGCCAGGCTAAATTTCTAAAAGGAAGGGAAAATTTATTGCACCCCGGGGGAACCTCACAGACCCAAGATGGGGGTCAGTGAAGCCGCGCACATTGCCAGGGGGAGGCAGGCTTTTATAGGGTGAGGAGAGGTCAGGTGGGAAGCTGGGTTCCTACGGTGGGAAAAAGTTTGTAGGGCGGGTAGTGGGGGGAGTTTCTTTGTCTGAGAAAAGATTTGTAGGGAGGGGGAAGGTTCATTATCTGAATTCTCTAGGCAGGCTTCCGCATTCCTGTTCCCAGGTGGGCTACCTGGTGGGTTTTTGCATTCTGGCCCCTGCATGGACGTTTCATACCAGCCTTTTGTTGATAGGAAAAGGGGCGATGATTCTTTCTTTGGCTACTTCCTGCTGGAAGGGGGTGAAGACTCAGGCCTGGTTATGAAGGTCTTCTGCAGGGATGCGAGAATGTGGGTGGAGAAGGAGTTGGTTAAAGGTGGTAGGAGACATTTCCCGAATGCGAGTATACTGTTTGTCTTCAGGGGCACGTTTGACCCATGACAGATGGTGCCAGGAGGGGTGTCCCAGAAGTTTTACCGCTGTAGCCGTGGTGAGACTGACCATGTGCAGACCAGTCCACAGAGGCTGCAGTGGTTTTGGTTGAAGCCATCTGAGCAGGACTTGGTTTCCCGGGTGCAGTGGTGGGGAACATCAGTTGAGGAGGTCGAGATCTGAGGCAGGACTGGGTGAGTACCGGTCTGCGTGTTCCCAGAGCAGTTGTCTGAGTAGGGAGAGGTCAATCCTGTCCCGGTAAGTGTCCACGCAGTTGGTGAGCTGCAAAAGAAGAAGGTGGGTGAACTCGCCCTTGAGGTGACATGCGAGCACAGGTTTGACAAGGGGAACATATTAGTCAGACTTTTGTGCTCAAGGAGGTGTGGAAGCAGAGCGGACTCAGGAATTGGCATTCATTAGGCTTATAAGTCGGAGTGATGGAGGGGACTGATAGAGAATAGGACCAGGGTCTGCAGCAGAGTCAGTTGTGAGAGCAAAAGCCCTTGCATCCACCTTGTTATTACCTGTGGTAACATAAGAATTGTCAGTTGGTGTCCTTTACAGTGGATAATGGTGACTTCAGTTGGAAGCTGCAAGGCTATTAAAAGCTGAAGGATAAGTTTAGCGTTATTGATGGGGGACCCCTTAGTGGAGAGGAACCCCCTTTCCTGTCAAATCGCAGCATGACTGTGAGCAATAAGGAAGGCGTATTTTGAATCCATTTAGATGTTGACATTATTATGTTTGCTGAGGGTAAGGTCCCTGGTTAAGTGCTATGAGTTTTGCCTTTTGGGAGGTGGTTCTTCTGGGCAGTTTTCCTGTGTCAATTACCTGATTGATGGTAACAGTGGCATAGATAGGCAGCCCTCCACTGACGTCTTGCATCTTCGCAAGAGCTGCCCTATGCAGAGTTCAGTAGGCATCAGAGGGTTTTCAATAAAAAATATGGAAATTTTGTAAACGGAAAGGAGTAAGAGTAGAGAGCGAGCGGTGAGACAGGCGGTCCTGAAGGCGGTGCAAGGAATATACTTGGATGGGTCTTCCCAGAGTAAGTTTGAGGGATTCCCTGGGAGACCCCTCCTGGCACCATCTATCACGGGTCAAGCATGCCCCTGAAGAAAAACAGTATGTATGTCATAACCTGGGCCCTACCAGGATGCGCATTTCTTGTCAAAATCTCCCCTAGCTCAGTGTCTTATGTATGGAAATTCAAAGTTAGGGAGACCTATGTCTCAGGGTCTACCGAGACCACCCATTTGGTGGGCACAGCAGACTGCCCCCTAGCTGGCTGTTCTGCAGAAATCTCAATAACTCTTAAACTTGGCTCGGTAAGCATCATGTACCAACCTTTCCTCTGCTTTACCTATGATCAAACATGGGACTACTGCAAAAGGGGTCCATTTATGGGAAGGAATATGGAGGCTTCCCATATTGGAGCTGCAAGATACATTCACCTTACCAGCCACGGAGCTCCTCTTTCCTCCTGGAAGGAAACCAGTTTAATCTTAAAATATGAGACCCCTGGGACACCAGATGGGTAGCCAGAGTGGTAGCTAAACTATATGCTACAGGATACAGCTCCTACCCGTGTGCGACCCTCAACATAGACAGAGCCTACGTCCCAACACAAAATGCTTCCGTCCAGGTCTCCCAAGATATCCTTCACTCAGAACAAGTCTTGCAAAGCCAGCTAACATCATTAGAAAATACTGAGACACCCTCAATCTGGATTCATATAATCCAAAATGCTATAGCCTTCCTAAATGACTCTCTCAGGACTAATACCTCCTCTTGTTTCCTCTGCGCTTCCCTGCAGAGACCTCTACTGGAGGCAGTTCCAATCAATCTCAATACCACTACCACCGAAATAACGGACGCTGCTTGCCAGACTCCCCAACTCTCAGTCCCCCTATGGGACTCCAATCACAGCTACCCCTGCTATCAAACTGATGCCCTTGTCAGCTTTCATTCCTGTATTTCTAACTTTTCGGTTACTTCTGTGCTCCAAACAACAGCAAAGGGAAACTTTTTCTGGTGCAATGGCTCTCTCTCTCTCGGTGTATTAATTCTGCTACTCCAGGCCCATGTCCAAGTCCTCGTGGTCCCACAGTTAACTCTGTACAGACGGTCTGAGCTAGGTTGGTTATTCTCACCACATCGGACAAAGCGGGTGGCCTTTCTTCCAATCATGGTTGGAATCAGCCTGACATCATCGATAGCAGCTGCTAGTATGGCAGGTGGGGCCCTGGACGCAGCCTGATTTCTGCCCAGGAATTTTATGAACGAATAGATACCTCCTTAGAAAAAACCTATGTGTCTTTAGCATCATTAAAAAGACAGCTCACCTCCCTGGCACAGGTCACTCTCCAAAACCGGCGGGCTCTGGACTTTTTAACAGCTAATAAAGGGGGTACCTGCCTGTTTCTCAGGGAAGATTGGTGTTACCCTATCAATGAATCGGCGATTGTAGAACAAAATGTAGAAGCCTTAATGAAACTACGCAAAGACATAGAATGGGAAACTGGGGACTCCAATTCTCCGCTGACATGGTTTCGAAATCCTATAGTGTCATGGCTCCTCCCACTCTTGGGGCCAATACTAATGATAACCTTATTTTTTCTTTTCACTCCTTGCCTCCTAAAATTCATACAGGCTCGCATTCGGGAAATGTCTCCTACCACTTTTAATCAACTCCTTCTCCACTCATATTCTCACATCCCTGCAGAAGATCCTCATAACCAGGCCTGAGTCACTCCCTTGGTCTACGCCCCCTTTCAGCAGGAAGTAGCCAAAGAAAGAACCATCGCCCCTTTTCCTATCAACAAAAGGCTGGTATGAAAGGTTCATGCAGGAGGCTGGAATGCAAAAGCCCACCAGGAAGCCCACCTGGGGACAGGAATGCTGATGCCTGCCTAGAGAATTCAGCCAATGAGCCTCCCTGCTCCCTCTACAAATCTTTTCTCAGACAAAGAAGCTCCACCTGCAAACATTTTCCCGCCTAGGAACCCAGTTTCCCACCTGACCTCTCCTCATTCTATAAAAGCCTGCCTCCCCCTGACAATGTGTGCGGCTTCACTGACCCTCATCTTGGGTCCCTGAGGTCCATGCGGGGCGCAATAAATTTTCCCTTCCTTTGAGAAATTTAGCCTGGCTCTCCTTTTCTTTACCGCGCCGAACCTTTCAGTTAGCTGTGCCATCCAAGCCAAGATTATATGCAGTTAACAAAAACCTCCATCATTCTCTGCTTCTGTGCTTATTATAGAGTTAAATTTTCTGAAGTAAAAGTCAAGTTTTGTTTTGCTATTAAAACCACACAAATGAAGTGAAGAAAGGAATATGTGACCCTGGAAAAAGACATGTACATAAGTGTTCTTCACCAATAAACATAAGATTAAGTAAATTCATGACAACTTATTGAGAGATGGCTTTTCAATTCTTTTTATTTCTGTAAATGAAAATAGCAGTAAATTTGTGGAACTTTCAAAGATCATAAACTCATTCTTTTATTGTCATTCATGTTATTAATTTAGCTACCATGAAAAGTTGAGCATTTTAACAAGGATACTATTATGCAATGTATATAAAGTTTATTAGAAAAAAAATAATCCAGGAAGTGCATTTTTTTCCTCAGGGGTGGAGGATATAGTCAGGAAAAGCATATTTAAAGTCCCTTGTTGCAAGACTCAATACACTGAGAAATGAGCAGTGTGTTTTGAGTCCTCAGAAGGAGAGAGAAAAGATAGAAGTAGCTGGGCCTCACCTCCCCATAGTGTTTTAGTTTCTGGGGAAAAAAAAAAAAAAAGCAGATATGCTAGACACGTGTTACAATAATTCTGTTTACAGTTTGGTCCAAAAGTGCTGTTCTATGGTTTGGCCTTCCCACTGGAGTTTTTCTTTTGGGATCTGTTCAGAGCTTTCATAGCCTAGATTGATGTAGATTCCATCTTTGCCATCACCTGAATAATCTGTCCTGTTTATAGGTGGCCAGGTTGATTCTTCTGCCAACTTCTTTTGCCAGGTCTTATATTGACTTTTCGAATAGAATCCAAATTCTTTCTTGATCAATAACCAGAGCTCTCGATTTTGAAGGATGGCATCCTGGAAAGTCAGGTGGAAAAAACAATCAAAGCATCCGCTATAGCCGGGTGGCTCATGCCTACACCCTGCCCCCACCTCTAGTCTCCCTCTGAGATGTGCTTGTTGCCCTGTGGCAGCTTCTCCCTGCAGTCCCCATGAAGTCTAGCACCTCCCCAGTTTCCTTTCCTTGAGAAGGAAGAGAGAGCTTGTATTCTTAGAAATCTGCTGAAGGCTTACAGCCTTTCATTTGCACAGATCTCTTAGTTAAATCCTGCCTGGTTATTTCACTTAGAATTACGTTACTGCCAGACTGAAATGAAATTAATAATGTACTCCAAGTCAAGTAAAGAAAAATAATCGCTGTTCCCTGCCACATGCCACATAGAAGGAGCCAAATAACAGTGTGTTGAATGACTGGACAAACTCTAGAAATCAAATGGGTTTTGTTTTCCATTGGAGCGTTCTGTTTTTTCTATGTTCATGTGTGCACACAATTTTCACACATTTATGGTAAAAAGATTGATTGTTCAAATTTTGCATTGCACATTTTTTCTATATCAGGTTTTCTGTTGTATACAGTTTGTAGTTAATAGTCTTCTAAATAATTTTTAAATGATTATACAATATTTCTTCAAATATGTAGCATTTGAGGGCCTCACTGGTGGCACAAAGGGCTTAAGACACAACCTATGAAGCTATCCACAGTCACTGCAGCACGAGTGTAGCTCCCACCAGGGAGCTACCCACATGGTGCAGCAGACCTCTCCTGACTTGCCCACTGCTCCCCTCAGCAGTATATTTCAATCAATCTGCCCATTCTGTTCCCCATTGTCTCTGGTGAATCCTCTCATCCCCCACACCTCTGGCCTGTACCCCAGTTCTTGGTTGCATAAAATAATAAATAAATCTTTTAAAAAAACAAAAAAAATTATAGTATTTGAAATAAGCAATATATCTTCAAAGACAGTCTTTCCATCTTTGAACACTAGAGTCTAGTGTTTTACCATGTACATAGTATTATACTGAACACATTCATACATGTAGGTTTTACTTTCTTTTTGGGTTATATTTTATTTTATTTTATTTTTAAAGATTTATTTATTCATGCATACAGAACTGGAGTTCAGGCCGGAGGTGGGGGGTGGTGAGAGGATTCACCAGAGACAGAGTGGGGAACAGAATAGACAGATTGAGTGAAATACACTGCTGAGGGGAGCAGCGGGTGAGTCAGGATAGGTCTGCTGCACCATGTGGGTTACTCCCTGGCCGGGGATCAAACTCATGCTGCAGTGGCTTCAGATAGCTTCATAGGCGTCTTAACTCCCTGCGCATCTAGGGAGGCCCCTTTTTTGGGTTATATTTTAAATATAGTCTCAAAAATGGAGTTCTGTAGTTGAAGTGTATGAGAAATTTTATGGCCATTGAATACAATGAGATGTGTGTGCTTTGGTTAATCCCTTTTCCCAAAGAACTTATAATTCAAGAATCCTTTCTTAACAGTCTTAAAAAAACAGTGCCTGAACCTTTCACTGTGTAGGTAACTCAGTTAGTGACACTAAGTAGAAGAGAAATGCTGTAGGGAAGACCTTCAAGGGTAAGAATTGACTAGAATGAGCAATGGTGTCCTTTCTCTCTTCATTAAGGAGGCTCCCCTGAAGACAGTTCTTTACTCTGAAAGGTTGCATTGAATATTAGAGCTGGAAGGTCACCAGGACTAGTATAGTCTCTACTAGATTATTGAGAATATGAGGATAGTACAATACAATGCCTCATGGAAGGCAAAATTAAAGTTCATTTAATGTTTTACTTCTAAGCTACAGCTACTGACAGCATTCCTATGCAATCTTCAAAGAATTTAAAATTATTCTCCAAGGAATTTCCCCCAAGGAGAAGATGTATATATTTTACAAACCCTCCATAACTATTATTTTTGAAGAGGAAATTGTTGCTCTATAAATTGAACATCTTTTGATAATGAGACCCTTCATTTGTTTATCTCCCCAGAAAAGTAATAAGCCATCTAGAAGTGATATTACCTCCACAAAGAAGGCCACACAGAATTGGGTGAGGGCTGCCATCAAAATGGAAACTCTCCATGATGTTATGGTTGGGATGATCTATTAAAAGAGAAATGTCACCATTATACTTTATATTCCTTCCACTATGAAAAAGGGTAAATTAATTATTCCATTTGCATATTTGTGACAGCTCTCTGGCCCTGGGGGGTGGTATTCTTTTCTCCACTTTACAGATGAGGAAGTCAGTACCTGACCCAAGTACTCAGAGCCAGTAACTTAATGGCAGAACCAGAAATCAGACAAGAACCGACTGCCCTATACTCTCTCATCCCTATTCTGATTAAGGTTATTTCAATGCAATCCTTTGTCATTACCCCCAGCCCCCACCAGAGTGAAGACAGCCTTTCTCAGGGCTGTGATATACAGCACCCTGGGTGTGAGGGGTATCTGGAGTCTAAGATATGGCAGTGGACAGATCACAATGGAGAACCTGGCCATTTCTCCCAGCTATCACAACCCTGACCTGGGAGGTAACTTCTTCATCCATTAGCCTGGGAGACATCTGTCATACTGATTGTAATTATTTGCTGACGTGATGGTCTTTCCTCCTAGGTCTGAACTACTTGAGAATGGTCACCTCATCTTACTTATCTTTGAGACCTCAATCCCAAGCACGCTCTGCAACTTCCATAATGTTTCATAAATGCTGAATGGACTAGGTTTCACTAACTGCATCTCCCTCCATAATATCTCTGTTCACACATGTAGCCTTCAGCCATCATCTAATTAATCTGTTTAAATTGTCTTGCTAAAGAACCTGCTGAGATATCTTCAAGGACTCCCTGTTACTCTCAGCATCAATTCCAGACTTCATGACTGTCTTCGTCCATCCAAGCCTTCCTCACACTCCACAGTATGCTGCCTCATTCTTAGCCAAACTCCCAGGTGTTCTGTGAAACAAGCCTTGCTTTTGAATTTTATCTCTGCCTCTCTACAATCATTTGCATTTCCAAGACAAAATAACCTGTTCATCCTTTCTGCTTGTGTTTGGACTGTTTTACTGGTTGGAAAAATCCCAACTTCTTAGCTAGCAAAATTTAGGCTATCCTTCTAGATCCCAATCTACCAGCATGACCCCCCATGTTAGCCACAGGTCACAGTGCCAGCTCCTCCTTCTTATGTCCTTCCAGCTCCTCTTTATACTCTTGTCCAGCACAGCAAGATTCCAAGGGCCACGCCATCATTTCACTTGGGTGTGGTATGGCTTCACTACAGAACTATAGCTTGGAGGTCAGAAGTCAATCCTTCCCTTTTATTTCTCTCAGAATGTTAGGTCCAAGAATGGGTTTAGGACCTCCCTGGTGGCGCAGCAGTTGAGCGCTGGGTTGCAAAGCTGCCCACAGGCTCTGCAACGCCAGTTCGATCCCCGGCCGCTGGGCGAGGGTTCCACATGGCATGCAGACCTCTCCTGCTGCCCACTGCTCCCTTCAGCAGTGTACTTCATCACTCTGCCTGTTCTACTCTCCACTCTGGCTCTGGTGAATTCTCTCACCCTCCTGCGCTTCTGACTGTACCCAGTACTTGTATAAATAAATAAATCTTTGGGGAAAAAAAAGAATGGGTTCAATAATCTCTTAATGAATTTACTTTTACTCCAGAGCACCTAGAATCAAATGCTGTCCACTGAAACATAACTCCTTACATCAATCTCAGACAGAGTATGACTAACCTTTCTGATGACTTTTTCTTACTCCTCACAGCTCCATTCTAAAGGATTTCTACTGAATGTTTAAAAAAAATCAAACTCGAAGTATTAATTATTGTAGTAATATAGAATCAATTCAAAATGAATCTTACAGTATTAGTAAGGAAGATAATCATATTCTAGTAACCTCCATAAAGAAGTCACCTCAAGTGATAGTATACAATGGAAGAATAAAGTACCTAACATAGTATTTCAGGTATGAGCCAGGTAAATGTGCCCAACTGATAATACTAATAATGTGAAAACAATAAGAGGTCTGCATATGGGAGGTCCAGAAATGCTATTTGCCTTTCGAATAAATGGGAATGTCCTCACATATTCAGTGGTCAGAGAGAAGATGGTAATAGCTGACTTTCAAATTATAATGCAGGTACAGCAACGTCACATAAGTGTGTCATGCCAGACACACATATGAATGGTACTTACCTCCATTCCATGGTAAATATCTTGAAAATCAGAAAACAGAATGAAAATTGTGAGGCCCAAGGCAGATATCAGCAGAAATGAGAATATATCTGAAGAAACACCAAACATTATTTTTAGACATGGAAGGAATGTTTCATATTATTTGGCACACACTGCAGAATTGATACTCTGTGTTGGGCAAATACTGAATACATCTTCAGATGTTTTGATATATCTTCATATGTTTTAAAATATGCTCTAATGCTTATACAACAAAGGTGATAGCACAAAATCTTTCCTTGAAAGGCTGGGTGTAGAAAAGTGCTAACCAATTGTTATTCGAGTAACCCCAGGGAACTGGGTCATCCTACAGTGACCAGTCCATGGAAATGGTCACTAGGGAGGCCCTGATGCTTTGTTTCTGTTTAACTAGTGAGCTGTTCATTTATGGATCAATAGTCAGTACTCTTGACAGTGCCTCATTCTTCTTTGTTGCCTGAAGAATAAAGTGCAAGAGTCTTCAATGGACATTCCAGACTTTCCACAAACTGGGTCTAGCCTTTCTAAACTGCTCTCTGATTGCTCTTTCTGGTATGTGCAGGAGAGCTAGGCCACAATCCTTTCTAGCTTCCATACTTTTGTTCACAAGATATCATGTGTAGATATACTTTCCTGCTATGGCACATGCCATTTTTTTTTTAACAATCCAGTTCATACCACTTTCCTTTTAAAAAACCCCTACTCACCTCTTCCAAAGGTTTATTTCATATTGTGTATATCACCCTATGTTTTGTAGCTTCATCTATGTACCAATTAGACTGCAACCACTTGAAAGTGACTTTTTATCTGCTTCTCTGGGACTCAGAACTTAAAAGGCAAGTGAGGAACAAGCATGCACATTTTGGGGGTTCTTTTTCTCCATTCTGTCCAAATGTTTTATCTGGGGGAGACAAATTTCCCAGGATGCACTGTACCAACATCACTGCTATTACCCCCTCCACCCCACGAATTCCTGTGTCCTTGAGAATTCTTAGGTGCTTTGGAGAGGGTAACTTAGAGATGCTTTTTGATAGGACTAATTATAGGTCAAAACAATAGCATTTTACCAGTGTTGCCATAATATAAATGATTCTTACACTCCTGAATTTTATAAAACAGTTTTCTCTTATAGGTCTCTACCTTACTTATTCCAGTGCTAATGCTCTACTGACCCCTAACTCAGTGTAGATCTATAAAATCAAAAAGAAATAAAGGCAACTGCCCCTATACAACAGCCCTACACCCACCCTCCTGTTCATCCATGTTCATTACATAAATATTATACAGAACATAATACAAGTTATATAAATTAGCAAATCATAAATATATGCATATAGGTATAAAAAAGTATATATGCATATAGGCATTCCATCAAGTTGAGGAATAAGCAAAAGGAAAATTAAATAACAAAATCTTCTGGGAAACCAGTGACTAGCTGGATAAACTAAATTTTACAAATCTTTTTTCTTTAAGAAATTGAAAAACCAAAAAAATGATAATCAATATGATTTTGTAATGAGAAAGTAATTTTCTATTAAAGGCAATGGGAAAAATATCACACAGAAACAGCTCATATTTAAAAATAAGAAAAATAACATCAATCCATTAAAAAATAGATTAAAAATGCAAATAAACAATTCCAAGAAAAGAAATGGTGAATAATATGAAAATATGTTCATTGTCACTGATAATCAAGGAAATGCACAAAATAATTAAAGTAATTAATACAATATTCTTGAGCTATTCAGAGGTCAACTTTTTTTTTTGTATTGGTTACAAAGCCTTTAACAAAATATTTTGACAGATATGTGTGCTTAAAGTCATTCTTAAAGACTCACTTTAGGAGACTACTCTCTTACTCTTGTGTTTATCTGCAAATGGCACTGTTTCTAGCCATGGACTCTCCAACTTACAAAGGTTAAAATTAAATATTAAATTTTAGAGAAATACAATTGTTTCATTTTCAAACACCCCATCAGTGGACTGAAACTCTGGGGACCATCAGGGAGTGGAAAAATACTAGAAAAGAAAAACTTCAAATACTTAACAGTTTGTGTAGACAGGTTTTCGAAATGGTTTTCCCTTAGAAAAGATGAATGCTACTGTGATACAGTTGATGGTGGTGATGGGCCACAGCGTGGTATTCTCAAAACTTAAAATTGAAGTGGACAACACAGTTGCATTCCCAGTCTGGTTACTTTCCAAACTCAAGTTCATGGAGAAATTACTTCGGTTGGCCAGATAGCACTCACTACAAGAGAATCAACAGTGTCTATGAGACTTCTTATTCTATTTTTTCCAGTTGGCAGGGGAAAAATAGTTAACCACTAACATGCTGAGACATTGTGATTTATCTCATACCTATTTGGTCTTTACTCATGGTTTCTGGCTTACAGTTCCCCAAAACCTTGGCATTTCTTAAAGGTCTAGAGTGATGAATGTTTTTTGATATGTATGTGAGGTTACTTTTGGAATTACCTGGGATGGGGTTTTAGGTAATAGCAAGGTTGGGGGCTTAGGATGGTGGCTAGGAAAATCAACCAAGTAATTGGAGGATTGAAACTTCCAGTCCCACAGACAGACACCCCAGGAAACAGAACAGAATTGGAGCTTGAGTTCACTTGCCAATGGCCAATGAATTAATCAACCAAGTCTAATTCAAAAAACCTCCATGAAAAATCCCAAAGGGAGGTGATTTGGACATCTTCTGGGTTCATGAACACGTGGAGATTGTGAGCAATGGTGCAGCATACCTGGTAAGGATACTAACATCATGTCCTTTCCCTTATCTTGCTCTATGCAAATCTTCTAATTAGGTGTTCCCAAATAATACCCCATATAGTAAATTGGTGATCTAGTGAGTAAATGGGTTCCCAGAGTTCTGTGAGTGTCTCTCAGAAGTGAATTGAATATGAAAAGGGGATCCTGGGAATCTCTGATTTGACAGCCAGTCTGTCAGAAGCACAGGTGTACCTGGGCTGTACCTGTGTCTAAGGATGAGGACAGTTTTGTGACATAAAATGAGTGTCCGCTCTCCCCCATTCTTCCTGGTGCTGCATTTAGTTCATTGTTTTGCACTTATCATTTACACATTTTTATTTCCCAATCCTGGGATGAAAGTTCCTTGAATATAGAATTTTTCTTTTGGTTTTATTATTTTGTTTTACCCATGTTTACAACAAACCTTTAGGACTTAGCACAGAGGGTCCACACTGTATTTGCTCAGAAAAGTATGTTTCCAATATGAGCTCCCCTAGTCCTGACTGATCGATTTACAATGATCATTTTTTAAAATAATCAACCCCATAACTAGTTTTCATCAGCTTTTTCATTCAGTTAGAAACTTTTAAATTATTGTGACAATAGTTCACAGTTCAGCTTCATTTTTCAAGCATAACTCAAATGCAGTGCTCAAGTGTCATCATCCCTGGCTCCCTAGAGTTCAGAAATGTACCTTGCATCTAGTAGGTATTCAGTTAATGTTTGCTGGATCAACTGATGAAATATACAATTATAAGTCACAAAGCACTCTTGCACAAAATACTAGATAGCCTCAATTATTGAATCTAACACCAAATGTATCCAATCTAATATACTTATATTGCAATAAGAAAGTTGAGGTTAGAATGGCAGAGTGGGCCAATGATAGAGTGAAGATGTCCTGGAATTCTCTATAATCCTACTATTGGCTATTCCCTGTCATTTCTTAGATTCCATTACAACTTTACTTCTCTGAGTACATTCCAATTTGGAAAAAAAAATCTGATGTTGAATGGAAAATTGTTTCTATATTCCAAGTAATATTTGAATTTCTGAATTTTAGAGACACAGCTTTTGTTAATTAAAATTTTAGGGTATATATTACAATTAAGTTGTACAATGTCCTTGAAGACTCATTGTATTACCTTCAGAAAAGAAAAAAAAAACTAAGAACTGATCTTTACCTGTATCTGTAGACTTCACAGTACCAGGGCTGCTGCTTCACATAGAGAAATGCACAGGTCTGCACGATCAATGTGAAACAAGTATTCAGAAAGACTGACAGCAGCAAAGGGGGTGAGAGGAGCTGTCCTGCAGGGCGGTACGGAGCCAGCTTTGGATAGGCATGGGTTGAACTCACTGAAAGACAAATGCATTTTTTCCTGTTAGGATTTCACCTTTGAGAATAAAAGATAGAGATGTATTTTATCTTGAGTCTTGCAAAAGGACTGCAGATTCAGCAAACATGACCTGAGTGTTTGCATGGAGGAAAGCACATTACCTAGATGTGCATCCAGTGATACCAACCTTTGTCTTTTCTGTGCATTTTGCGAATGTTTTCTCCATAAGGATGGCAGTACTATTATCTCTCCATGATGATGGGAAAGTGGAGCATTAGGATGAGTAGGGTAAGAAGGCATCTATATAAACTAGGAATTTCTTTTAAAGCCCTCACTGTATAATTCATTCTCCAAGCATGTCAGTGTGCTGGGACAGATGCTAACAATGTGTTCTGTTCCCTTCTGGATAAGAGTATAAATGGAAGACTTCAGGTGCACATTAAGAATTGGTTAAGAAAAAAACTCATAAAAAAATCTTGCTTCCAGATAAAAGATTTTTTATTATCCTAGGATATGTTTAAAATATAAAAAGGCTGTCAACAGACAATGATTAGACAGCTACCAAAAAAAAATTTCAACCTTCTTAGAAGTCACATGTTCTTAGAAGCTGATAAACTTCTCAGGACATAGCAGAAAAGAAACATAGGAAGATCAGGAATTACAAATATCACATTTAAAGGTTTGTATTCATATCTGTCATTTCTTACCTCTTCATAGCTTATCACTGGTTTCCATGATACAAGGAAGAAAGTAGGCCCTGTATACGTAAGGTTATGTTTGTACATTTAGGGGGAGGATGGTGAAAAGTGGGTGTGTAGTTTAGGATGGAAAAAAGTCTATAATAGGTCTTTAGTTTGTTCAATATGTGTTATGAGGTAATCACATAAACTCTCTTGTTCTTCATTTTATTGGACTGTTCCTGGGAGTTTCCTTGGAATATAGAATTTGACTAGCCTTTATTCCCAGCACTTTTGATAAATCTTCTTAACTCATGATTTCCTGAGTTGATAGGCATGTTTTTGCTCTTCATGGTGGGCCTTGATTGTTTATGATAACAAAATGACTGATGGTGGTCCTGAGATGAATTGTTCTCATGAGATAAGTCAGAATGGAGATGGACCATCCCAAAAATACCAAGTGTGTGATTAGAGAGATGGGACTTTGAGCCATATAATATCAGTACAACCTTCAAAGAGAGGAGGAAAGCTTCAAACACACGGTCAGTGAGTCAATCAGTCGGCCTATGTAATGAAAAACTTCAGACATGCAAGATCACGTGGGTTTCCCTATTTGGCAATACTCTGCATATTGTCACACATTGATGTGCCAGGAGGGTGAAGCAAACTAACTCCCCAGGGAGGAGGGAATGGAAGTGCTATGTTCAGGACCCTCCCATACCTTGAGCTACGTGTCTCTCTGGTTAGCTCTGATTTATATCCAGTTGCTACAATAAAACCATTAATTATATATATAGCACTTTCCTCATGTATGTGAACTGTTAATGTGAATTACTGAATTTATTGAATACAACAAATTTGTAGCCAACTCCCCAGAAAAGCTGGTGGCAGGGGGACCCTGAACTTACAGCAGGTCTCTGAAGGAAAAGCAGTCTTACGGAGGCTGTGCCTTTAATAACTTGTGAACTTGGGGTAGCTTAGGGTAGCTGGTGTCACAAATCACTGCATGGTCACACAAAATGTGGATGTAGTTCAAGGTGGATGACAGGTAATAGGAGACTGTGCTCTGGGTCACAGAAGAGAGAAGCTGGATTCTCTCTGCCTCCAATCAGGGTAGTATTGGCCAGAGTTCATCAAAGTATGTAGGGAATTGAAAAGGATAACTGCCTCTCTGTGTGGCTGGACTTTCCCTCTTTGATCTTCTCTTTCTCCTGCCATTTCTGTTTAATCTTTTATATGGGACTGTAGAAGTTTGAATTAGTGGCCTCATCATGGCAGATTGCACTTTACTATCCCTTAATTTTCACTTTCACTATCTGCTGTTCTCTGCCTGAAAGGTAATCAGAGGTTTGAGGCCTGCTTGCACAGCCAGGTTTGCTTGCTGACTCAGCCCTCTGTGATCTGCAGGGAGAACTGCTCAGGTCTGTCCATTCAACTTGGCCCACAATGAAAAATGTACAGCACACCTGAACCAAAGCCATGGTCTACATCAAGACCAACAAATTGATATCTTCAAGGAGAGTGGCTCAGCTGAGCCCACTGAGATGTCAGCTGAATGACAACCTACAGAGCCATAAGGGGTGTTGTGAGCCATTGAGTTTTGGGAGACAGTTTGTTATGGAGCATTATTGTGGCCATGGCTAGTTGTTAGGGTCAATATTTAAATAATATTTTTAACTTTTCCACATTAGAAATTACTAATACTTTCTGACAGGGAATCTGATTCAAGCAATAAATGTACATAAAAATAATGACTCCAATTTAGAGCTCCTACTAGGTCCCAGAGGCTATACTAAATATTTTACATATATTTTTTAAGTATCATTTTAGTTGAGGTAACATTGGTTTACAACACTTTATGCTTTCAGTGCATAGGCTGATACCCCATCAGGTGTATATTGCAACACCCAGCACCCAAGCACCCATAACCGTTCACTATTTAGACCACTGGGCCCCTCTGTACTTTTTCACCTACCCTCTCTCCTCTGCTTCTGTTAGCCTCAATTTTGCAGTCAGATTTCAAGCATTTACATAAACATTGTCTCTTAAAAAATTTCATCTCCGGGCCTCCCCAGTGGCGCAGCGGTTGAGCGCTGGGTTGCGAAGCTGCCCACAGCCTCTGCAGCACCAGTTCGATCCCCGGCTGCTCCCCAGCCACCGGAGGAGGGTCCCACATGGCGCGCAGACCTCTCCTGCCACCCGCTGCTCCCCTCAGCAGTGTACTTCGGTCCTTCTGCCTGCTCTGCTCCCTGCTCTGGCTCTGGTGAATTATCTTACCCTCCCACGCATCTGACTGTACCCAGTGCTTGTATAAATAAATAAATCTTTAAAAAAAAATTTCATCTCCTTTATATCATCTCCTATAAAGTAGGTGAATAACCTGAGGTTCAGAAAAGCAGAATACCTTGCTTAAAGACCCACAGTTAATGAGTGACATGAGCTCAAGTCTGTTAGATTGTAAAGTCCCATGTTCCCCCCTCTCTAGCATACTGTGGCAGTATGGATCTCATGAACTAGAAAGAATAAAATGAGATGTCCTGAAATATAAGCTTGAATAGCAGTGTTGTTTATCAGAAGCCAGAGGAACTTTCCTGAACTGTCCGGTTGCCTTAAAATGATGATGATATATGCTATCAGATTGCATGCAGAGGAATGAAAACTTGTGAAATATTATATTTTATACAGAATTAATCATTCCCTTCTCTGAGTTTCCACAGCACATTACTCATACTGCCGCTGTAGTGCGAGGTGTCTTGCATTAAATCTGGCTGTTTACACATGCGCTCAGCAGACTGTGAGCCCCTGAGGGAAAAAGCCCTGTCTTACTCCACTTTCTGTCTCTTGCTGAGCACAACACAGTGCCTGCTAGGTGAGTAGACTTCGTAGTTGTAAATTCTATCCTCAAAGTATAGTTTTTTACCATCTGGATGTAATGTAGCTGTACTTCTCCTAAATCGTTGGCTTATTTTGTCTTAAGTCATGTAAGTCAAATTTCAAGAGGCTCATTAACCCACCTAAAACTACCAGCAACATTTTGAATGTGCTTCATGAAATTTTTTTAAAGTGAAAAAGATTGATCTCTTCCATGAGATTTTCCAGGAGGACCAAGACCCAGAAAGAGTTAGGAGTCTGAAGCACTAACGGGGTTTATGTAAAAGATCTTATTTATGTGGTGGATGAATGACCCCCAACAGCCTCCTCCTCTGGACACTACCTCTCATATGAAGTGACTGACCTAAATGGAGCTGAATTACAGAACCCCACCTTTCTTCACAGAAAAGATTGGCCTAGGGCAGGCATCTTATCCAAGCTAGGTCGATATATTTTCTCTCCAAAATATATTAATAAAATAGAGACTGAGCTAGTTAGCTATGGGAAGTCAAGCAGAAAGGGACAATGCCCAAATGGTGGGCATGTTCAAGGTGAATGAGTAGAGGTCAGATCAAAACAGTGAGAAGAGAAGGGGGGAAAAGACAGCCCTTCTCAGATGCAGATGTTTCAGAGTTTCTGTTCTCAGATTTTTAAAAGATACATTTACATTCTTCAATATCCCCCTTGCTCTATTTTCTGATTTAATTTAAGTGTATCTGTTGAAGAGAATAGAGGTATAATTAGAACAACTCTATTTCAAGATGGCTTCTATAAGTATTAGAGGTAAACTTGACTTCCAAGTACATATTTTCCTAATTTATCTCCCTGATTTCATCTTACTTTTCTTCTTGACTTTACCCTCAATGTATTATGTCTTATTGGCTGCCTTTGTATGTTGGCTTAAAATTTTGTGGGAACAATTCAGGATGTATTTAGATAAGCATGTAAATAAGTTGATTATGCATGTGTTGTCATTGTCTTTTTCCCATATTAATCTAGGTTTAAGGCTAAAGACTTGACCTGGGAACCTAGATAAGCAGGCCCCTTGCTAAAAGTGATTTTACATTGATTGTCCAATCAAATTATCTCTTAATAGCTACAGATGGATGTCCATGGTTTTCAGGCTGGCAGTCAAGTTTCTGTGACCTAACTCATATTTTAATATTCTACCTCTTGCTATTTCTTTTCATATACCCTACAGGGTAGTCAAATTGAAAATCTCATGCCCAGCATTTACCAGCTCTCTCTTGTTCTTGCTTCTAACTTCTAAACTGAAATGCCCCCTTTTCGGTAAATGATATTTGAAAACCTACCCACCCTTCCTATTTTTGGTGCAAATATTACTTCTCCTGTGAAGACATCTCTAGTATCTCTTTTCTCCAGTTCTGTCTCCTCCTTATCTCCAGAATATCATAAATAATCTATTCTTTCTCTGGATACCCAAAGTACTTGCTGCTTTCTGGTAATCTACTACTTTAGATTTGAATTTCATTCATCCAAGTATGTGAATGCCCCATTAAACTCTCAACTTCATCGATCAGCCTTTTTATGCCCCTGGGTACCTATGCGTCTAACACAAATTATTATAGATGAACACTTATCTAAGAGGTTATTGATGGGACATTTCCTTTTGTCTAAGGGATACTTCAGAATCTTATTTGAGGACAGTTAATGGTAAGTGCTGATTTAATGTAAAAAGAGATGATTGACATTCCTCATAATACCTACTAAGAGGGATCCCTACTGGACTTTTACACAGCCCAACTTTACCTATGTACAGACTATATATAAAGGAAAGCTTTAGGATTATCAAAAATCATTTAAAGGGAATTGTTAGAAGCAGCAAAAACTGTGGCTTTCTTCCCAGAGTTGCTGCAACCCAAATGAGGGAGGTAATAAAACAACTCCAGGAGACACTTGCATTTTTTTTAAGAAGTGGGGTAGAGGCCTGAGTTGCAGGGAGTGAGAAGATTCACCAGAGTCAGTGGGGAGCAGAACAGGCAGATGGACCAAATCACACTGCTGAGGGGAGTAGGGGGTGAGACAGGAGAGGTCTACTGCGCAATGTGGGTCGCCCCCCCACCCCCTGCCCCAGCAGGCCAGAGATCACACTCGCGCTGCAAAGGCTGCAGACAGCTTCACAGTGCTGCACTCAACCCCCTGTGCCACCAGGGAGGCCCTTGCAGTGGTTTTGAGAGTTTTCCCCCACTTATTTCCCTGTTGCAATAGCGGGGGCGGGAGCAGCAGCAGTAAGAGCTGGTAGCTATCTGGTAGCTCAAGTAGAAGCTATGGAAACTGACTAGGCTACAGGAATCCTCCCAAAGGGGCTACCTTCTGGGGTAGCATGCCCCACAGTAGAAAAAGGCTTTGTGGTATGTGCCACTGGAAGGCAGTTGCCAAAAGGAATCCTGAGGGGTAAGCAGGAAAGAGCAACACACGGTAAGGCAATGGTCTAGTCCAGGTTAATATATAGGTCTGGAAAATTCAAGAACTCACCTATAAGCCCCGTGTGCATTACCTGAATTTAAATGCCTGCCATTTAGCAGGCACTTGGCAGAGAGAACAATAATACCCCACCTAAGTAAAATGCCCTTTGGTCTTGCCCTCATTCCCTGAAGCAGGGTTAGAGAGTAGGTTACACAAAGAAAGTAGAGACCATGGCCTTTTCCCCCATTGCTTGCCCCAAGCAATAGGTCAGACTTGATTTAGGGCAAGAAAAACTTTAAAATGGATGAAAACACCAAATGTTAATTTTGAACTTTTCATATCTAAAGATAAGAACATTTTAACCCCTCGACTTGATCCAGAAATGACCTGCCTATAGAATGGCTGTATTTACAGGTATGGGGAAACAATCATGTTTAAAGGCAATGGGTTAAATATAAAATCTGTTGTCTATTTCTTACCTTTACCAATATAGTCTATTTACTGAACCACTACACATTTTTTTAGTAATTGGATAAATATTGTCATTCTGATAAAGCATTCTGCTTTTGATTTGCCACCTTCTGAGACTTTTTTCTACTGCTGGTAACAATGGTCCTGCCTTAAGTCATTCCAAGTCTCCCTCTGAGCCCACTGTGAGATGAAAGACTAAATTTCACAGGGTGACTAACTGGCATGAAGGTCAACAGGCTAATGACATGAGAAAGAGTAAAGTAAAACCATCACGTGGAACTCAAATTAATAACCAATATGGAATTAAGTGTAAAAGCTCAAAATCACTTCCTCAAGGTCAACTAAAAATTCCAAGGTAAGGTTAGGGCTATCACTCGTGTTTTTGGAATTCTAATCAAAGGGTCTACTTGCATATAGTCCACTTCTCTCCAAGGAAGTCATCACAAAAGAAGAAAAAGAGGACAGTGCAGAGTCTATCATTCATCTTGTCATGAGTGTTTACAGTGTGAACTGCCCTGTGTTGTACACTGCATATGCTTCATTTTATCTAAGCCTCATGATCCTCTAAGGACATGTCCTATAAGGAAAGTATTTATTTATGAATAATTAACCAAAGATTTTAGAAAGGCCTTCACCTTCATGCTACTGCCTGCTAACTTAACTCTTGGATTCCCCTGGTCTTCTTTTTTAATTTTAGCATCATTGACCATGTTCACAAATAAAGCATGCAAATTGCTTAAAAATATGCAACACTACAGAAGCAATATCAGTGATTCAAAATTATCTAGCCATGTGAATATTAATAATACATAAAAACATCTTCATGGGCTATGACTAGAGCTTTCAACCCTGAGATTCAAAATTGATACTACTTATATCTTTGACACTGGTAAATTTTGTTATTAGGTTGATATAATAAATTACTTCAATATCAGTTTTAAGATGCTATAAGACATTCTCAGGGTTATTAATATCTTCCATTTCTTGGTGTTTTATCTGTTATTTTTCTTTTTTTTAAAGATTTATTTATTTATTTATACAAGAACTGGGTACAGGCCAGATGCGTGGGAGGGTAGAGGATTCACCAGAGACAGAGAAGGGAGCAGAACAGGCAGACTGATGAAATACACTGCTGAGGGGAGCAGCTGGTGCAACAGGAGAGATCTGCCGCGCCATGTGGGACTCTCACCGCTGGCCAGGATTGAACCAGCGCTGCAGAGGCTGTAGACAGCTTCACAGCACGGCGCTCAACTGCCTGCACCACCAGGGGGGAGGCCCTCTGTTATTTTTCATAACACTCCTCATTGTTGAACATAGAAAAAACAAAACCCTGCCATTCTTTTTTTTTTCTTCTCTCTCTCTGTTGAGGCAGTCACCTTACTCACTTATTAAGAGCTAGTATCAAGCCCTGAGTTCTTTGATAGGTAATACTTTAGTGTCATCTAGAAGGGAGGAAATGAGCAATAGTCATTCTAAGCCACACCTTGCTTTTGAGAGAACTCTCCTGGAAGAAAACACTAGCATTTGTTCTCACACATCACAGACCTAGCACAACTTTGGTTTCTCATCAATGTAAAGCATAGCTGAAAAATGGAAAGTGACCTTTGGGTTTTAAAATTTTCCCTTTCCAGTTTCCTAGTACTTTTTCAATATACCAGATATAAGCCTATAAAAAATTCATACAATTTTAAGAGGTGAAAACTATTTGCTATAAAGAGGACTTCAAGCCTGAACTTACCCCCAAAACCACATTCAAAAAAATTCACAGGTGGTGAGATTTTAGTAGTTAAGGTGCATCTTCTCAGAAGTTCTTATTTGCACATTACTAGAATTTCATGGATAAATACAAATAAAGAGCTTACTTGTTAAACAGACCATCAAGGTAATGGCTACATCTTGCATGAGATACTGGTAATTCCCAAAGAGTTGTAGTTGCTGAAAAGAAAAAGAAAAAGAAGTGTGGCTTCTGCTCTGATAGCCTTTTTTTTTTTTTTTTCATTTAACTCTTTTAGAAAGTAGTCAGGAAGCAAGCATTATTTTTCTCCCTACTTTGAAAAAAAAAAAAAAACTGGTATGCCTAAAATCTTTAGCATCTCATTGGACAGAATGAAACAAAATTACTATTTTCCCAGCATTTAAGTTAATTTCATTGAGAGTCATTGAGTTGGGAAACCCCTGCTAATTTGCCACAATAATTCTTTCTGGTAGCTGCAATTTCAGCCTGGACAGATGAATTTTCAACATTAGATACCAAAGCCTGAAAGTTCTGCTGGGAACTCCAAACATTGAAGTGAAAGCCTCAAATCTTTTAATAGGTGTTTCTTTCCATCCTTACTCATGGGTTAAGTTCACAATATGCTTCTTGCCAAGTCCATTTAATTTCACGACCAAGTAAGTGTCCCAAGGAAGTCCATTGCAGACTTTAATTTGGCTGCTTGCCTTACTAAGGTTTGCGTGTTTGCGCAGATGTAGAACTTCTAAAGTCACATTTATGGAGTTGCATTTAAATACAAGCATTTTAATACAAAAGCCAAATCCTTACTCTGTAGGAAGTTGCATTGCAATATCTTTTGCAACCAGGTATTTATCTGCTATGTAGTTATAAACTGAGCACTCAATTATAATCTAGTTCTGATCAGATTTATGCAAAGAAAAGGTATTTCCGGACTTTTAGAAGGTAAATCAAAACCCCAGAAAATTCTGGGTGAAATCCTGGGAATGCTCTTATTTAGATCTAGACCATTCGAGTAAGTGACTTCAGAGTGGACTATGGTTCCAATCTTATCCATGAAGACTTGGGAACTGAAGTAATGCTTTCATATTTTTTTTTAAGATTTATTTTATTTTATTTTTATTTACTTATTGATACAAGCACTGGGTACAGTCAGAAGCACGGGAGGGTGAGAGAATCCACCAGAGCCAGAGCGGGGAGCAGAGCAGGCAGAAGGACCAAAGTACACTGCTGAGGGGAGCAGCGGGCGGCAGGAGAGGTCTGCGCGCCATGTGGGACTCTCCTCCGGTGGCCAGAGAGCAGCCGGGGATCGAACCGGCGCTGCAGAGGCTGCAGGCAGCTTCGCAACCCAGCGCTCAACCGCTGTGCCACTGGGGAGGCCCTGCTTTCATATTTTTGAGAAGTAGCAAATGGTCCTTTGTTGTCCCTCCCGCCCTACAATACTTTCTCTGTCTTCTTCCTCAAAATATGCAGGCTGATGTGGAAGAGTGAGAAATTTTCAGTCAGCTTTAATTGTCGTTTTAGGAGCAAAGCTTTCACAGAATTATGGCAGACATTGGATATCAGCCAACCTGACATCCTACAGGTAGATAAAAACTTGGCCAAGGGCAAGACCTAATTGTTTATAGTAATAGAAACAAAACTTGGATCCAGTTTTCCTGACTCCTAACCCAGTTTCTGTCTGCTCCTTAGCCCTCTGAGTGTATCCCTTGCGAGTAACAGCCCACCAGTTGCGAGAGTTTATGTTCTCATTCACCTCTCAAATGTCCCAGGAAGCAGTAAGGCAATTCCCTTGAAGTGTTCCCTAAACCTGTTGGATCAGCTTATTGTAGAGCAAGTTATGCCTGAGTTAATAAAGATTATTTTGTTTGCATGCACATTTCTTCTGTAGAGCTAAATAATTCTTTAATGATTATTTTTAACATTTAATTTTAAGAGTCTTTTAAAAGTATTTAAATAATTGCTAATCCTTTACAAATGACATGTCTAAGAACATGGTTCTGGGCAAACTCAGAAATATAGCTCTAGTGTGGGAGTTTTTATAGCTTGTGAGTCCTTCAAAGTCAAATTCAACTTCTTCCTTTTATCTCCTCTTAGTCTTTTGCCAAAAATATTCCACAGTTGGAGCCTGATCCATTTCCTGCTGCGTTATTTTTAGGATGCTCTAAATCTCTGTTCATACTTCTAATGAAGAAATAGAGGCTTGAAGAGGTCAACTGTCTCAGGTTATCAGGAGAAAATGATACTCCTAGAAAACTGATCCAAATCTATTTATTTCCAGCTCCATCTGCCCTGCATAGTTATACCAAGTCTCCAAGTTTATAGCCATCTATTTTAAGAAATGTCACTTATTTAGAAAACATTAAATCCTTTGTAGGAGATACACCCCAAAGAATAAACCAGGGAATTAAAATGCAATTAGAACTGGGAAGAAATTATTGTGGTCCATACCCAATAGAGCAGTGATGTACCAATAAACTGAATTATGCCGTACATGGTCAGATACTTAAATACCCCAAAGGACGAAACCAGTGCTGCTCGGCCTTCTCTGCTCAAAAAAAAAAAAAAAAAAATGTTATATATGACTTACATATCCCAGCTTCTTTCATATTACAAAGACTTCAATTTTAATAACATGTTGATATACATTTATTTAGTCACTGACTCATCCTCTCAATAATTTATTTAATTATTCATTCAGTCATTCATTCTCTCCTTCGATCATTACCTCACCCAGTGATTCATATACTCATTTTTATTTGGGGCTTATGAGGTACTAGCATTATATTAAGGGTCATAGGTGATATTAAATGATTCAGGCACAGACTTTATTTTTAACAAATTTTCAGTGAATTCCCAGATTAACAAACACACCCTTAAAAGCTCTAACTTAACAAATAGATAATCTCCCCTCTAAAATATTCCTTGTGAGCTGTTATTCTGTGAAGTAAAGCTTGGTTGGGCGGTGGCTTGTGACATGCCAAGGACAGCATGAGTGATAGAATTAAGGGGAGAGCAAGGAACATGGCAAAGGAGCCTCCTTTTGCCAAGGCAGAAGAAAACCCACATGTTCCTCATGTCTTGTCCCCAATGACTTGGACACTTGTTCAAAACTGTCAACAGAACAGGGACATGAGAAGGAAAACCTGAAAAGTCAAACTTATAACCACTTTGCCTCAGATGAGAAGGGTCAGGGAGAGATGGGCCAGGATACTCTGGGCTGATGTCCTCTACCAGATAAATAGCATTGCCATTTGTTTTCAACACAGAGGGTAGAGCAGAAAGACAAGTTGAGAAGGGACAAGCATGCAAAGGCTGGATCTTTTTTGGCATAAACTTTGTGTTTGCATTTTCTTTTCTGTAGTTATATACATTTCTAGGAAAACTAAGACACCTAGATTCAAAGGAAAGTGGAAAAAACCATTCTAAGAAAAGCATAGGGCCTCCCCTTGTGACACAGGTGGTTGAGTGCCGCACTGTGAAGCTGTCCGCAGCCCCTACAGCACGGTTTGATCCCGGCCAGCCGGCGAGAGTCCCACATGGTGCAGCAGACCTCTCCTGTTGCACCCATTGCTCCCCTCAGCAGCGTATTTTGTCAGTCTGCCTGTTCTGCTCCCCGCTCTGTCTCTGGTGAATCCTCTCACCCTCCCGCAAATCTGGGCTTTACCCGGGTTCTTGTATAAATAAATAAATCTTTTTTAAAAAAATAAAAGAAACACATAAAGGATGTTTGCATGGGCCTTCAAAATTACTGCTATTCCTCATGATTATAAATTAAAAAAAACTCACACGTTTATTTATGTATTCCACAAATATCCACTGAATGCTCTGATGTACACAGTTTAGTACTAGGCACAATGATATAAAAATAAGGTACAGTTCACCCCCTAAAGGAATTGAACACTAACAAGAAACCAACCATGTTTCAAAGGATAAAATGAAAACCTGTGGCTCTGGACCTGTGCATCTAATACTGTTCTTCATTGACCCTCTGGAAGATGTTTTCTCAAGAATAAATTTGCATCCAGGATGGCATGGGTAAAATGAGCCTAGCAGAGCTGAACCATATCTAATTTTTATGAATCCCTGAAATATAAAAGCAAAGAGTTTTTACCCTGAAGTCTTACTAAACCATCTGCCACTAGAGAAATTTTCCATCATGACTTGTATTTCAAAACAGTATATTGCATTCATAAATGCATAGAAACATGTGTAAGAGAAAGAGCATCTAAAGTTCAAATGCCACTGGTTTTTGGATGGATGAAATTGGCACTTTGTGCAACCACACTGGAGTTTAAATTCCCTATGCAAGGCCTTCACACCTGGTGCAGCAGCTTGAGCTCCACAATCTCCACTGAGAAACTTCCAATCCAAATGGTCTCTAGGACCCTGCACTCTCCAGTTAAAACCCTGTTTCTACAAGTGTTTCTCCATTCCCCTCACCTGGAATTTGCTTCCACCTGCTTTCTGTTTATATAATTCCTAGCCATCCTCAAGTTGCAACTTCTCTGCTGAAACCTACCATACTGGTTTGAATTATCACACTTAACTACAGGAATAATTACTACAGTTTTGAGATGTTACTATATTTAAAGCTAATTTATTGAGCATCTCTCACATCAGTCAGAAGATTCTCTGTTTAGGATTATATCTATTGCCATGTTTATCTCTATCCTTTACTGCAATGTTAGGCCTCTAGGGCAAGCCTCCACCACTTTCTTTTTTTTTTTTTTAATTTATTTATTTATGCATACAAGAACTGGGGTATAGGCCAGAGGTGTGGAGGATGAGAGGATTCACCACAGACAGAGTGGGAAACAGAACAGGCAGATTGACGGAAATTCACTGCTGAGGGGAGCAGAGGGCGAGTCAGGATAGGTCTGCTGTGCCATGTGGGTTGCTCCCTGGCTGGTGGGGGATCAAACTCATGAAGGCCCCAAGCACTTTCATTTTGTAGTCATTATGACATGAACCTGGATTAAGGCAATGGGGAGAGTGAGGAAGTGCTTGGAGAGACTCTCTGAAAGACAAATCAGTAAAACATAACATCTGAGTAACTAGAGATGAAGAAGAGGCAAGAGTTAAAAGCACTGTGAGGCTCTGCCCCTCAATGATGAAGGGCTTAATTATCCTCAGAAACAGGGAACATGGAAATTGGAAAGAGCAGCTGCTCTGGAGACAGGGCAGGTGTTTTGGTCTGAGTGTGGAGGAGGACAGCAGTGCAGGCAGCAGTGGTCAGGGAGACGTACAGCTGACTGGCTAATATGAGTCAGACGGGGGCATGGAATTTCAGTGAATGAATCCTTCATCTAGCTTTCTGCTCAGAGGCACCACTGGACATGCTGGGAACTTTATCACTGACTCTTGTATGAACCTCAAGACTTGGTAATTTTTTCCAGATCACTGGCATTGAAGATGGTCCAGAGTTACCCCAGGGTATTATATATATGAAGCAATAGGAATAAGATTTGTGAACAAAATATGAAATGTAATGTTTCATTCTTAGCTACATTTAAAATAAATAGAAATGAGATGAAAAATGAGAATGGAGCAGAGGTAAGGGGGTGAAGCAGTTATATAAGGAAAATAAAGTTTTTAATTCCTTCCCCTTCCCTAGCCATGGCAGTCAATTGTAAACTCTTTCATGTAATCTTTTATGGACACTCACTAATTTATATTTTGGCAACATAACCCTATTTGGGGAAGCTATCTCATGGAGTGCCCCCTTTCTGTTTCTTCACCCTTTCTCAATTCTTGAAAAAAGGGCACCAGGAAAATCCAACATACAAAATTGAAGAGAAGTTGGAAATGCAACCTCTTTTTAAATATTAACTTGAACTTTTGACTGTTGATACAGTCATTTATCCTTTAAGGATTAACAAAAGTCACTTTTTTTGACCTTTACCGGTATTCTCAAACAGCATTGATGGTGCCCTTATTGGTGTGCTAATAGCACTTTGAGTATACCTCTGTTGTAGCATTTACCACTTTAAATTATAGTTGAATTCTGCCTGTCTCGAGAAGCAGACAATGAACCCACCAGTCAAGGGGAAAGAAGTGGCTTACTTGATGAGATGAGGCACACACTCGATGTTGGCTATTTTCGAGGTGAAAGGGGATGCCACGGATGCCTCCTGCTCTGACAGCGAAATGCCCGCATGAGCCATTTTCAAAGCCTGGAATAATAAATCCATGTTACTCCATGACTCCTGAAGTCAGGCTCTAACTATTCAAAAACCACAAGGCTATTCTTGACATTACAGAGTTAGAACACTGTGCCCGTCCACCCCTGGGTCTCTGTATATGCTGCTCCTCTACCTCGAATATTCCCCCCAATCCCCGATCCACAAAGTCACCAACTAATGAGGCACTAACTAAACAATGATCCAAAGGGAGAAGTGTGGTATGTGTGTGTGTGTGTTTTGGTTGTGGGCAGGTTGACGTGATGGAAGGAAATGAAAACACTCCTGTAAGAAGTCTATTGAAAAGATGACAATGTCTGGATGCACACTTGTGGAGGGGAACCTTTACTATCACAATTCTCTCACTTAGCAGGTCATCTCCATGGACAATGGAAAAGATAGTCAACCTACATCTTTTCCTAGGCTGCAGATCTAGCCAACCAACTAACAGATGAGATGAAGTATGGGGCATAGAGCATCTTCACTGGATACAGGGGCCAAGTCATCACAGACTCGTTCCAGAACATGTGCTGCCCCACCAAAATAAGAGCCAATTCATTTCTCATCAAAACTGGAAACTGTCCAGAGACTGCACAGAGGAGACAATGGCTAATAAGTAGGCCAGTGGGCCCCTAATTTTATAAGAATTATGATGGGCATAAAGCAAGATTCTGCATTTCTATTGTTCTGGAGAATTATGAAATACCTGCTTGCCTTGGCCGGTATGCACTAGATTCATGTTAAATAAATATTAGAATATTTTCTTCTTTCTCTTTTCTCCCTAGCATTTTGCATTTCTATGATATAATTCAATGCCATCTACTTTATGGTAGGGTTAAATTCAGGGACAATTCCTCCCCCATCAGACAATGAACTTTTTAAGGGCAGAGACTATGTCTATCATAGCATTCAATTTCTTTGCTTTGCTCTAACTACACACAATTGGTAAGAATAAGAACTCATTCTTGATTTTGATGAGCAGACTAACAATTAGTTGTTTATCATGAAACACAAGGCAGAACTACTAATAAATCTCTAAGTTTGAACATAGGTTTTCACAGAAATTTGAGGAAACTAAAGAGTAAAACAAATACCTAGATTTTTAAAAAATTTTATATAATTTATTTATATATATTTTACATCATTGTTCATTTTTTTACATTTGCTTTCTCCTCTCAGGTGTAGTCCCCATAGAATTCCCACCACCAATTCACCTGTGCACCATTGCCATAGTCCCTTGCGCTCTTCTTGCCCCTGTTGTGATCCCTCTCCCTCCCCGTCCGCAGAATGTCTCTCATTTATAGTTGCCTGGTTTTTTTTGTTGTTGTTGTTGTTAATTTTTCCCTGATCCCTTATTTGATTCCCCTACATTCCTCCTATAAGTGCAACCATCTGAAAATTTTTGTTTTTTCTTCTGACTTACTTCACTGAGCATAATCCCTTCTAGCTCCATCCATGTTGCTACGAATGGCATGAGTTTATCTTTACTGAAAAAAAAAAACCTTTTAATGTTTTGTCCCATGAATTAGCTAAAAAGCTTTTTGTTATGTGCACAAATCTTTGAGTAAGGCTACTGCTTCAATGATCTTGTCAAACTTCAGAATATAAAGCATGTACTGTCTTCTATCATTTAAGAGGAGGAATCTTCAAAGAATCATTTAATTTAGGTTTTGTTAGAGTATGTAATAATTAGTTTGGTCTAGAATTTCACTGAGTAAGAATGTTGAGATAAATCCAACTTTAGAAACAAACTCTGGAGTAGAAATTTGGCAGAAATAAAAATAATTTACACATAATTCAAACCTTGAACCATCCATTTCAAACTTTTCCATCACTAAGACCTTACCAGCTTTGTGACTTCAGGCAAAAAAATAAAAATAAAAAAAGAGTTCTTCTCCCTGAGACTCATTTCTTTATTGACAACATGTGAGATTTAAACCATCTTTCCTGTAATGTCCCTCCTGGGTCTGAAATGTAGGAGTCTAAGTAGCCTTACTTGTCTTTGTTATTCTAGAAATTATTAGAAAAGAGCTGAAGTGACTCATCTCACTTTACTCCTCTCTACATCCAGCCCACACTCAGGTAGAGGTGGATTAACAGCAAAATGATCAAGTGATTTCTGACAGCAGGATGAAGAACTAGATTGAAGGGGACTGTCGGGTCCTCAAGAGGAGTAATAGCAAACTACCCGAATTAGTGGAAATAGATTTTACTCACCCCACAGTCATTAGCTCCATCTCCACACATGCCCACATAGTAACTGTAGAGGAAAAGATAAGAAAAATGAATAGCTTAACACTTCCCTTAAGTAACTTCCATCATAACTAACTCACATACAATGTGTGAGTATCTAAACGTGTGGAATCAGGCAGAAGGAAAATGACATGGAGAGAAACATTCTCTGAGGAACAAGGCAACTGGATTATTTAAATTGTTTCAATCAATCCTTCCAAGGACAGCCACGAAGATGATCACACATGTCAAAAGAGGTCTTGTTTGATTATATGCACGGAGGCCAAGCTTTTGCGTGTGCAGCCTCGTCCTTGCACCTCCCACTCAGCCTCATGCACAGATTACAACCGGACCCATCTGTGTTTTGGTTGCTGACTGCTGCTGAGTTTAAAGTTCAGACATTGGGATAAGAAACATTGGGAAATAGTTTAACAGATATAACTAGAAACATATACATATATTCTTGATGCATCTTGCAGTGAAGATGAAATGGTATGCTCCCCTTCTATACCAGCTTGATGTGCAAACACAATGATATAAATAGAAGAGTAAATATTGAAGCTGTTGCCAAAGGAAAGAAATTTCTGATACAAGGCGCACTGTCTGCTAAGTAAATAGTACACTATAGTTATTGATTAATGGCAATACTAATAAAGACTCAGCTGCAATTTTCTAAAAACACATGAAATAACAAGATCAATACAAAGGAAAATGAAGTTCTCAGAGAATTCCATTATTATTAGTTGACACATAACAAATGATCATTTTATAGTCAAACATGGTGAAATAATATAAACAAGTTCATATGGGTCAACCTGATGTTTGGGGAATACATAATCAGTTACATGCCTGGGCAATGGATGTTCTTTAAAATGGCGTCCTTTCCTCAGACTTAAAAGTATATACCTAGTCTCTATGTCACAGGAGTAACCTGACATCTTCCAGCATTCCCTGAATTCAGAAATGTAATTCAGACCATCATTCACACATGGCCACTGATAAGGGCATGGAGAGGAAGATCAGAAAAAAATGAGAGGACAGCTCATTCGGAGACAGTCTATCTCTTCCTAAATTGATTTTTTTTTAGATGAATATAACTTTTCAAAATAACCATTTAAGGTGGCAACATTTCTCAGGTGTTTGAGAAGGGTAAAATTATTTTCTTCAGTCAATATCATAAGATGATCATGTAAGTGAAATAGTCATTTTAGACACTGGTTGCCAGCCTGGTCTGGAGGCATTATGGGTGTTCATGGGAAGTGTTTCAAACTTCCCTGGGAATGCTTAGGCAACAAAAGATAACTGTAAAAGGCAGTTTCCTGATTTGATCCATTACTTACCAACAGTTATCTAAAATTTCACTATTCTCTGTTCTTTTTTTTCTTCCTCTTTTTTTTATTTTTATTTTTATATTACCCATACAATTGCAACCCCGATTTTGACCCCAATCCCCCGCCAAGAGTGTCTCTGGTTCATAGTGGTCTGTTACTTTTCACATGTCAGAAAACTGCCGTCCAGAATTTGTAACATTCCCAGCAAGTAATAGGTAGATCTAGTCACAAGAACTATTTCATTCTAATGTGACTTGGTCATCTATATTTTTTAAGGAAATATGGAGAGATGGGAGCCCCTTTCATTCCTAACTTTGACATGCACACCCAACCCCCATCAGGGTCAAATACAGTTTTTAAAAATGTCATTCCATCTCTTTCCTGAAATTATTATATACCTTGTGATGAAATAATCTCAAATCATTCCAGGTGATAACTTTCAAGTTTCCCCCATCATTCCCATTTTGAACTATATAAACCCCTACTGTTTCTACTCTCCATTTCTGTGCAGAGGGCTTTCTTCTAAGATACTCTATATGGACTACAGAACAAATTCTGTCTGGGGTGGGAGGCTTCTAAAATGGCCCTTAATGATCCTTCACCTTCTGGTATTCATGACGTTGTATAATACACTCCCTGAAGTATGGACTCACCTAGTGCTTCTGATTAAAAGGACACAGTAAAAGTGATAGGATATCACATGAGATAAATTTATGAAAAATAATGACCACCCTCCCCACCCAGGTTCTTCTTATGTGCTCACAATATGGAAGCCAGCTGCCACATGGTGAGCTTCTTTATAACATAATCTATGTGGCAAAGAAATAAGGGTGGCTTTTTTCAACAACCAGTAAAATACTGAGGCTCTTTGTCCAATTATCCCTTGGGCTGAATCCTGCCAACATCAGGTGAGTGAGACTGGTGGCAGATCTCTTCCTGGAGTGCTGAGCACACCGAGCCTTGGCCAACAGTCAAGTCCCCCACCCAGAAGACTCAGCTAAGCCATACCTGGATTCGGGACCCATAGAAACGTGTAATTATAATTGCTGTGATTCCAAGTCACTCAATCTTAGGGTAATTTGATAGGTAGAAATAGATAGCAAATATTCCCTCTTTTCATGCAATAATACCTACTTTAATTTCTGAAATTCTTCAACCAGGCTTGATTTCTGTCCTGGAGACATTCTTGCAAAAATGGTTCCATTCACCAGAATCTAAAGAGAAAAGCAACTGTTGTGTTAAGATTAGGAAGAAGAACATATTTGAAAGAAAAGAACAACCCTGAAAAATCACTCCTGGCCACTGTTTTAATGTAGCATTGGTTGGTGTGTCATTAGACCACATGTCAGAAAGGGGAATAAGGAGATTTAATGTTTTAATATTTAACTTTCCCATTCAGTCCTCCATCACAACTCTATTGCTTCTTTCCAGGGTATTATTCAGAGATGAGGTCACCTCTAATTAATAATAATAACTAAAGTGCAGCTGAATGAATGGGGTAAAAACCCTTAAGGAAATACAGTGCATTTTACTAAACACTATTTCCATAACCACAGAATAGACAGAGATTGTGAATTGAGTAATAGAATGTGAGTTGAGAAACAAGGTTCTGTTCTCAGCTGTGTCCCAACTAGCTCTGCAAACCTTTCCCAAGCAACTTAAGTCTCTGAGTATCAGTTTCCCATCTCTACAAGGGGAATTACTAACAGATTTCTAGAAGTCTTTGGGGTCTAGATTCTGTGTTCCTTGATTGGAAAGAGGACAGAAATTTCAAGATGCTGCTAACAGATGGTTGCTGCCCTTAGCTTGTGCTCCACTTATCTCCTTCACACTGACAGCACAACCCCACACAACACTATTTTAAAACAGACACGCAGAGGACAAGGTAACAAATGATTTTGGAAATAAAACACAGGTCCTCTGTGTCCTCCTGCAGTAATTTAAGGATCCAGACAAGATGGAGGCTAGAACACAGCGTCACATGGGCTGGAGGCTTTCAGAGAGGAGCCGACCCACAAATTAGGCATCCTGATTGACCTACCTGGAGGGTCTCCCTGCCAACGAGGAGGTGGCAGCTGGGGCCTGGGGTTTTAGTGACCATAGCAGGAGGGTTGTACACTGAAGAGGGACCATACAGATGTGCAGGACGAGTAGGTACATGGGAGGGGTGGGAAAACTTGTGAAGGAGCAGGACCCCTTTGGGGGTGTTTAGTTTCTAATTCTGGGACAACATTACTGATCATCCCTTTCACTAATCTCTTCCTCTTTTTTATTTTTGGCCTTGCTAACTTGAGGACTAAAACAAAACACTTCATTTTCCAGTACTTACTTTTGGAAGCAAGCTGTTGAAATGCTGAAATATCACTTGGTATGATTGCCCACTCATTGCAAAGTGGTAATGCTTCCCTCTTTCTCCATCAGGCACCAAACTATTTCCAATGTTCTGGTAGGTTTCCTAAAATCAAAAGGGTATTATTTCTAAGCCTATATTGAAGGAATGTCTCTGCTTTCCTATGTGTTATGAGAGCAAGTGTTCCTGTTATATAACAATGTGAGGGCCAGCAAGTACATTATGCATGATTCACTCAGAGAACCCAGACTCACAAGAACATGACACTCAAAAGTCTCCCCCAAATTGTATGAACATATAATTCTTTAACAACATGCTGCTCTGGATTCTGTCCTGGAAGAAAATATCTATGATGTCAGTGTACCATGGAAATCATTCCAAGATACAAATTAATGACTCCAAGGAAGAATAGAAAAATTCCTCCTTCTTCTTCTTTCTCCTCCACATCCATATATTATATTTCCTAAGATCTCTTACCATTCATTCAAAAACCCTGCCCCGATTTTCTTACTCTAAAATAGATACTTTTCCCTTGGAGCCTAACTCCATTTAGCCCCTGATCTCCTTTTACCCCAAAAGGTAACTTCTTCCTTCATGGCGCCCAGATCCTTCAACCCACTCTGTTGAATTGGCCCAGCATTACTCCTTGGCAGAAACACTTCCTCTCCTGCTTTCCACCTGGCAATATCCCCCAATTACTGTATCCTATCTCACCCGGCTCAGCTCCAAGAGAAAGCAGCAATAAAGCAGCTGCACTCCTCACAATAACTGTAATGGTTTTTCATGTAACATTTCTCAGAGGGCCTTATATTTGTGTAGGACTCTGAATTCCAATAGTATAGGAGGTGAGAAAATTCTGGTAGAAGAATTCATCCTAGGGCCTCCCTGGTGGCGCAGGCTGTTAAGTGTCGCACTGTGCAGCTATCCACAGCCTCTGCAGTGCCGGTTCGATCCCGGCCAGCCGGTGAGTGTCCCACATGGCGCGGTAGACCTCTCCTGTCTCACCCACTGCTCCCCTCAGCAGTGTATTTCAGTCAGTCTGCCTGTTCTGTTCCCCACTCTGTCTCTGGTGAGTCCTCTCACCCTCCCGTGCATCTGGCCTGTATCCCGGTTCTTGAATAAATAAATAAATAAATCTTTTTTAAAAAGTATTAAAAAAAATGATTCATCCTAGGAAAGGCATTATAGATGGAAGAAAATATGTTAACATGCTGAACTGAGAAGCATGGTGACACACCCTTCCTGCAATAACCTCCATTGTCAAAGACTCATTAAAAGATCAATTCAAAAACATTCCACATGAAGCAAGGACCAAATTCCCCTTGCTTTTGCTAGAAAGGAAAGGGAGCGAGTATGGCAGGAGGGAACCAGACAAGAGGAGGAAAGCCTGAGACTGCGATGTGACTTCTCCTTTCAGTGACTAAACTTCACTAAAGGTATTAAGCTCATAGAGGGCAGTATGAGTGGACTGCTTGTTTAAAATTAAGTGAGGAGGCTTCCCTGGTGGCACAAGGTTTAAGTCTCAGCACTATAAAGCTCTCCGCAGTCACTGCAACATGAGTTTGATCCCTGGCCAAGGAGCTAACCCACACGGCACAGCAGACCTTTCCTGTCTTGCCCGCTGCTCCCCTCAACAGTGTATTTCAGTCTATCTGCCTGTTCTGCTCCTCACTCTGCTCTCACCTCCCTGCACCTCTGGGCTACACCTCAGTTCTTGTATGCATAAATAAATAAAATAAAATATTTAAAAAAATAGTGAGGACCTGATTTTCACCACAAACAAAATTGAGGCAACATGCATCAGGGCAGAAACAAGTGGATTTGCATGGCAACAGCCCCAGAAATCTGCGAAGTATAGAGAGAAGTGTCATCTTTAGCAGCCCATGGGGGTTTGAGCCAAGTTAACACACCTCTTCACAGGTAGGGACTGGACCGCCCTATATAGTTGTGCAGTCTGCTGCACAAAGGCCTGCTCTAAACTTAGCAGTCTGAGGAGCTGACCAGTCTGGAAGAAGGACACATTTTTGTATTTGATCATCTGAAGGACCATCTCTTCAAATTTACACAAAGGCAGAGGTGCTACCTTTAATAATGGAAAGTCAGGCTGCAACCCAGTCTCTTTGTCGGAAAAGATTGTTTTGTCACTGTGTACAGGGAGTTTGCTATCTAGAAAAGCCCAGAAGCCATTCATTTCATGTCACAGGTACAGTACTATCAAAATGTCCATAGACCTGGATGGAATCAAGCAGACCTGAATTGATTTCCTGCTCTGCAACACAACAGTTGTGTGTCCTGGACGAGGTTACATCTCTAGACCTCTGTTTTCTTATTTGTAAAATGAAATGTTTGCTTAACTGCATAGGGTAACTGTGAAGATCAAGTAGGAAATCTGGATGCAAATCAGTGGTTCTCAACCACAACTGCACAGAGGAAGCACCAAGACTGAGATTTAATCAGCAGAACCTTAGCACAGAAAAGCTTAAAATCTCCTCCAGGCAATTCCTGTGTGCAGCAAGAACTGGGAAGAGCTAGTGGAAATGCTAAATGCCTTGCAAACTGCAAAACCCAAGACAGATGGCAGAGATTATTACTGTGGTGACTTCTAATTTCAAGAGTAGGCTGCCCTGGGCCAGGGCTATTTTCTATCCAGCCAAGCCCAGGAAAAGACCTTCTAACAATTGCTTACATTCTTCTGAGGTCCATTTTCTTGGTTCTCTACCAGCTTCCAGGTCACAGAGGCAGGAGCATACTCTCCTGGTTCATTGGCTTCAACGAGGATCACTTGGCTCCCTTGAGGAATCATTTCAGAATTCTTTGCAACAGTAATGGCTGTTTGAAGGTTATCACCTAGATGACAAAGACAGCTGGCTTGCTTTATATATCAACCAGAACTGAGCTCTCCCTCCTCTGAGTGCCCACATCACTTTGTTTGCACCCCTGGGAGGCATTTATGTTGTTCTGCCTTATATCATGACCATGATCTTACCTCTACCCAAGCTGATCTGCCCCCAGTGTCAAACACTATGTCCTCACCTCCCTCCCACAATATTTAATATTGTATCCTGAACATTGTGTATTTCTACAATATGTACAAATGAATAAATAACATTTAAGTGCTTTATGGCTAATCCTTGCGGAGTGACAGATCTTAGTGGTAAATGTAATATGGGCCTAGTATGATAGCATAAAACCATCCATGTGGATAACAGTTCAGCAGAAAAGAGGACACTGTGGGTAGGCCATGCTTGGATTCGATCATCACTTGCCATGTCTGCCCTGCACCCTGCAGAATAGTCCAGCAGAGTGTCACAGCTTTTATACAGAGGTCTCCCAGGTTCCTGATGAGGACACTTCCATTCTAGTGTTTAAATATGTGCTGTGAGCATAGGAGTACTGCACAGAATTCTGGGTAGGAAAGTGCGCATTAAACAAAGAGAATGAGAATGGATCCTGCTTCGAGAGCTCATGGTCATATTGGGGGAGCTATGTTTATTCCCAGGTAACTGGACCACAGGGAAACAAACTTGACAGCAAAATATTTTTCTTTTTGCCGCAGTCACATGAACCCACACAGCTCACATAGTCCTTTTCTCAGGCCTGGGATAAATTCCATTTGTCGGACACCTGGAAACACATACCAGTAATCATCACCGTCCTGATGTGGGCCTCCCTCAGTTCCTTCAAGATTGGTTTGGTTTCCTTTTTCAAGCGATTCTCCATTATGAGAAGCCCCAAAAATGTTAACTCTGATTCCACCATCTCCCTTTGGTTTGAGGAGAAAGACAATGTTCAAGCATTATCTCTACAGTCTCAACAGAAGGACTGATTTCTCCTTTTTAAAACTTTTTAAAACTTCTCTTCTTTTTGAAACTTTTTAAAAGTTTTATCAATGCAATACAAGGACATATTACAAATATCAAAAAGAATCCCAAATCTTTCAATGAAGACCAATGATCCTTGTTTCCATACAGCCTCGCTCTTTCTCTGTTCCAGAGGCATCCACTTTTCTCTCTTTTAGCTGTTCATTCTAGTTTTCAAAACTACTTTTAAAAAACAACATGCTTAGCTTCCAACCCCTCTGTTAGATTTTAAATTTTTGGTTAATCACATATATCTAATTTCCAACACCTTTTTTATTGAACTTGTTATCTTTTCAGTTTTTAAGGCATCTAATAAGTACATATTGAATACAGGACACTATAGTAGTAGTTGGTCCTGAAATCATTCATTTCTGCCTCTCTCTGCAACCTCTGGTAAATACATGGCATCAGTCAAGGATTTAGAGCTTTCAGAATTTGAAATTGGAAGCTTGAAGTCTACCTAGGTTATATTAGTTCTGTGGGACCTCTTCTCTGAAATGGAATAAACTTCAAGTAGTTTTTTGAAACTAAATTTGGGGGCCAAGAGCTCATTCTTGATCTCTCATAGTCCTTTTTTCTGTCCAAAGTGGAGTTAAGATGGAAGAGAGAGAAGGAGATGTAGGAAGACAACCTTTTTGCACACTGTCAATTATTCCCCAGGATTCAGTCTTGAGTCTCACTTTCATCTTCCATTGCACATGACAAATCTGATTCTCAGCTTCTTGAAGTTCTACAAGGGAACCAACTTTTCTTTCTCCTGCTGGATCAATTACTCACCCCACCCCTGACTTTACACCTCACAGAAATGTATAGGAATCTCTCATCTGCACAAATTACTTCTCTGGTTTTCTTTGATTCTGTTTCTTTTCATTCTTGTTAGAGGACTTGGAAGCAAGAGGAAATGAACACAAGAAGGTCAGTAAACCTTCTTTAAAGGACAGATCATAGCTGGATTTCTTTCTTTTTTATTGAGGTAACATTCACCTACATTATTACAGGTATTTTGGAAATATAGGACCCCTCCCCGCAGGTATTGCCATTATAGTACACCAGCCCCCAAATCCCCCAGTCTACCACTATAGTCCATTGTGCTCCCTTCCCTTTTCTTCTTACCCCTCTTGCCCCCTCCCACCCCTCCCCCTCTGGAGGCTCCAGTTCTACTGTCAGCTTTCAAGAGTGACCTTTTCTGCAGTTTATCATTATCTGAGCCTGAGGAAAATAATTCAAACTTGAATGGAAACACAATGAAGGAACTTCTCTCTGTAGTAGAGTATGTTGCTACAGCCTTCATTTCAAAGTCCATTCACTAAATAGCTATAGTTTTATACCTTATATTATGTATTATATATTAGTTTTATATCTTACAGTATGCACTTGGTAAAAATTCAGATAATCAGATATGAATCCTGTCTTAGTGATCTCAGAGAATATTATAAAAGAAAATCTGCCTTAATATAAAATTTGTTAATTTCCCATCATTTAACCTCATGACTTTTTATTATAAATTTGATTAATATTTTCTCATTAACTAGAACGAAAAGAAAGATCCAAAAATCTTCTCATTAATTTATTCTCTTTTGGGTCTTTATCTAACGACATTTCTCCTTCACTGCTTCAGATACTTTGGCCTCTTGCTACTCTACAACAGTCCTAGCAAAATCCTGGGGCAGGGCCTTTCACCCACTCTTCCTGCTGCCTGCAAAGCTCGTTCTCCTGCTGTCTGATCCCTTGCTCCCTTCACTTACACAGATCTCTGTTCAAATGTCACCTCCCAGAGGACTTCCCTCATAACCTCACATAAAATAGTATTTTTTGTCTTTTTAAAATCCTCCTAAGCTGCTTTATTTTTTCCACCAGTGTATTTATCACTACTTGTCAATATTTTATTGGTTTGGTATGTATCTCATAATGAAAATATAAGCTTCATGAGAGCAAAGATTTTACTTTACTGACTTCTGAGTCCTCACTGCTTTGAGAGTGCCTAACACAGAGTCAAGCTCAACAGAAATTTGCTGATTTTCCTGAATTAAAGGGAGAATCTCTAAAATAAAGTACTTCTGCAATTTGCTTGTTTTTTCTAAGTCATATGAAGAAACTCATCTGCTTCACTTTGATGACCCCAGTTTTCAGAGGTTATTTAAATATAATTTGATTTTAAAATCAAAATCCTATTCTTTTACCCTCTTTGAAAATAGTAACAATATTCCAAGGAGTATTCTCTGGGAAACCCAAGATGGTTGGAAATCTAGCACAATTTACCCTCACTCTGTTACTTTGTTGTATTTATAATGTTTATCTCACTAGTGGTTTTTAAACGAAAACAATACGACCATATTTGTATGTGCAACGGGTTGTGGTTGCTCTCCTTATCAAACTATACATGACTTTTCTTCACACATGAACTTAACTTTGGTTACTAAAACTGTCTTTTGAAAAAAATTACAAAATATCATGTTTTATAGGGCTTTATATCTGCCCAGGAGTAACTAACACCTTGAATGTTAAATCTGAGCATGACATTCATGGATTCAAGATAAGCTTTGTGATTCTATTTAGAAGATTAAAATCTCATAACTGAAAAAACTCCTTAGAAGTTATGCAATCCTACATTTTATAGATGGAGAAATGAACATAGTTTAAGCAAGAGGCAGCGATTACTGATTATATTAGAGTAGATGGATTTGGGTTGGAAATAGTAATGCTGAACGAAGGATATCTACATCTTACCCAGGGAGGCTAAGTGTCTTTCCATCAGCAACAGAAAATCAAGGATAAGTAACAAACAGATTATCTGTTACCCAATTTTCCACACTATTTCTCTACTCCTTTGTGATAGGCAATTTAAAAGCAACCTTTAAGAACTGAGAAACACTGAAAGAAAGAATAATCTACAGATTATCCTCTAATGAGATTGACTCATCCCCTCAACTTAAAGATACTGGCTTCTATTTCCCATATGGTACTCAGTTTGCACTCACTACCTCTCCACCTGAGGGAGATGTTCTATTGAAAAAAACCACATCTAAAATATTCTGGAAGCTATTTAAAGTACCAGCTGTCTCCTGCTCTTAACCCCTTTATATTTGGGACCCCCATGACAGTCAGCCAAATAATGTTCTAAAGTTGAGGGAGAGTTGGTTATTTTTGATGGGATGAAGGAATGCAGGACAGAGATATCTCCTGTCAAGAGAGTCAGGAGATCTCAGCTGTCATAATTGTTCTGCCACCAAACAGCTCTGCGACCTGAGCAAACTCTCCCTAGTCTGGCTTAGAGTTGCCCATCTTAGAATCAGGAACTAGATGAGATGGATTCTCCATCTCCAAGAGCTTTCCCAATCATTAACTTCCCTGTCCATTACTAGGGGCCATTCACATCATGCGCACAGAGCCTGCCCTACTGCTGATTTCTGAGTTTCTTACCTGACCAAACATGCCACTTCTGAAAGTTTCCCCATCTTCAAGATTTTATGGGCAAGGGCAATGACACGAAAACCTTGTAATGTGTAATTCCTCAGTTCCTGTAAGAAATTCTTGGGCACTTCCAGGAGAGAAGAAATGGGTAAACATAAGGTCACAATGAAGGTCATCTAACTCCTAAGGAAGACTGAGATAAAGTTATTGTACCTCTTTAATTGTCACTCCATAAAATGCTTTAATGGGGAAATAACAGCTTCAAGTAAAGGCCACAAACAAGTTCTTCAATGTGTTCTTATAACTCTGACAGAAAAGAATGTCAAAGATACACTACTCATGAACTGACTGTCAAATGCATTGGCTAGATTCAGGAGTGGCAGACCTCAGGACTATGTCTACCTAGGTGAAACAAGGAAAACAAATGACCTTCTGGATCAGAGATTAGTAAACTACTGGCCAAATCTGTTCCATCACTTGTTATTCTAAATAAAGTTTTATTGGGACACAACCATGTCCATTTGTTTGCTGATTATCTATGACTGCTTTCAGGCTGTCAGGGTTGAGCTGCTGAGACAGAGACCCTGAGGCCATCAAAACCCAAAATATTTACAATCTGTCTCTTTGCAGAAAGGCTTGCCAAGCCCTGTTTTAGATCACAGATGATACAGTTCCAAGATATGTGCATTTTGGCACATATTTGTAATCACAATTAATTTTAATATATTTATAATTTTTTTGTGATTTAAAGTATGCCTATAAGAATTTGTAAAGAAACTTGACATAATGGGAGATAAAATGACTCATGTTGCATAATTCTGAGTTCTGGTTTCCATTCTACTAACAACTAGCTCTTTGACCTGGGGCACAATAAGTATCTCTATTCCATTTCAATTTTCCCAGCCATAAAATGAGGGGGATGTGGATCTCTATGTCCCCATTCATTTCAGACCTTCTGTAATTAAAAATAATCCTGGTAGTGGGGTCTAATTGCAAAGAAAGTCCCTGTTTTCTACTAGCTCTCCATTTCATATATATGGGGCGGGGGTGAAGGGAGAGAAGATCATTTAAAATAATATTAGCACCTGTCAGAGGCCAGAGATTGAAACACTAAGAAGAACTGGAAGAGCTATCAAAAGGATGAAGAGGAGGAGAGAGCGAGTACAGGCCCAAAGCCTAACTGATAGAGCAGACACAATACTTACCAGTTAAAATTTGAAATAAGATATTTGTATTTGAAAAAAAGCAACAGGAAATATAGGCCTTCCATCTGTGAATGACAGAGTTAATAGGAGCTATGAGAAGATCAAAGTTAGACAAAAGGGAACATTTCTAAAGTTAAAAAGAAGATTCTAAGTCAAAAGAAAAGTTAAAGCAATCATTTACCAAATCTAGAATTCTGTGCGCAAACTGATGGCTATCAGCAATCGTAAGGAGAATATAGGTGAAAATCAGGAGAAAAAGTCCAATTTTATCCAAATGAACTCATTTGAATGCAACAGTATTCTTATACACCTGGACTGTTCCTTAGAGAATACATATGTTTATAAGACTAAGAAACAATACAAATCAGCTCAAAATCTGGCCCAGAAAGATGAAATTGCTGTGGAAACGATCAGTTACTGGCTCTTATACTACCTAATCTACTCTAAACACTTTTTTTCTAGAATATTTATCTTTTCTAAATTCCCCTTCCAACAATCTGCTGGAAACCCCATGAATGGTGCAAGTCCCCTGGAGGCAACAAAGAACCTGTCTGCAGAATTAGTCCAGAGTTCAGACCTATTTTTTTGGTTCCTTCTGAATGCTCCTTATTCTCCCTCCCTGGTTCTCTCACTCCCATGCAGCTTCCTATTCTGGCTCCAGATGCTCCCCTCACATCTCCATCCCTGATATTCCATTGTGGCTGATCTTTTTGTCTGGCCCATAACCAGATATTTATTTCCATTTCTCTGCCTTGAAGTTATCACCTCTGTCTAATCACATCTTCCAGACTCACCCTACCCACTGAGAAAATCTTCATTATTTTTTCCACCTCCACATTCATTGATTTAGTTTCACTTGCTTTATATATTCAGCTTTTAAAGTATTTTACCTCCTAAAAGTAAAGTATCTGTAAGTACCTGTTTCAGATCTGCAGAACCTGACCAACATCTCTGGAGCACCCTTCATGTAGACGTGGAGGTGCTCATCCCCCGCCAGCTGAGCCACCACAGACATCCTCTGCAGACTTGAGGAAAAGGGAAACTGACGCAAGATGCCAATGGCTTCCACAGGGCTCTGCCAGTGTACCAAGAAAGGGGAACTTCAGAAGCTTTGAAATGAGATTTAGCAGATGCATGGTTTACACTGTGAGTCCAGGGCCATCGTGAAGTGGTATATGTGTCACAACACTGATACTTTTCCAGATGCCTTTAAGGTGATTCCTGCAAGTAGTCTGGTCAGCCTTCCCCTTGACTGCATGGAGAAATCCTAATCTTCCAGGCCACCTCCTCTGTGGTGCTTCTCTTTGCTAGAAGCAATATTCACTCCCACATTTTGAGGCTTGCAGCTCTTTCTTGAGCCTTTATCACAGCTCTTAGCACATGGTATTGCACTTATTTACACCTACATTGATTTTTCTGCCACCCCATGTATCTTCCAACACAAAACTCAACTTCTCGAGTTTTGAAATCACTCTATCCCTTATCCCCTCACTCAGTGATCTGCATAAATAGGTACCCAGTGAGTGTTAGTTGAATAAAATAAATGGGTAAATTCAAGAATGAAGGAATGAGCAAACTAATTATAAGGATAAGGCCAAATAATAGAAACATAAAAGTCTGTGAAAGTCAGGGAACTTTCGTCAGTTTAAAGGAGAAAGCAAGAAGATTTAAAGAAGTAAATCTTACCTGACTGGCACGTGGCCCTGGTTTTATTATTATGCTTGACTGTGACATTCCAAAGGTACAGTAGTCTGTATTGAAATCTTCTATGACCTGTTTTAAAATAAAAACATAAGATCCCTTAGAAAAAAATAATAAGAAAGAAAACTTTCGCATTGCATAGCACTGTGATCTTTTCAAAGCCTTTTTCACATAATTTCTCTTCTAAGCCAATTATCTTAATACCCATCATTTCAAATTTCTCTGGTGTTGATTTGTATTATGGACCTTATGGTAGAATGTCAAAAAGTCAAAAATATTGTGACTACATTTTAAGTAGTAATTGATGCAAGAAGGGCTAGCTACAGGCCAATGGTTCTTCCTAAATGGTATTTATTAATCAGAAAATGTTTGAGTTGCACTTAACTTGCCAGATCAGCTGAGTACATTATCTCTCAGGTGAGTTAGGATAGGGTCTTGAGATAAATATGGGACTATTTTATCCCCTTCATCAATGCTACTAGTTTGATTGGTTAGCTAGAGAGTTAGCCAGTTATCCCTTAGTCATTAGCAAATTAGAAGGCACATATGAAAATGGTTTGTATCTTTTGGGTACTATAATGATATATGTAATACCATGTGAGAAGCCAATATTCAACTAAAATACACAAAAAAACAGTTGCATGCATACATAATAGAGGTCAGAAAATAGGAGATAATATCTGGTCTCAGCTCTGTCTTACCTGTTTAACCTTGGGGACATCTTTTTATTTCTTCAGCCCTCAGTTTTTCTGATAAATATTCTGACATCTCTTCCAGTGCTAAAATTCTTAAGGGCCTATAAGGTTATTTCCCCTCCCTCTTACATTTAGTGAAAGGTTCCTAACACCCAAAGCATATAAGCTTATTTAACTTGAGAATGCTCTTCATTCAGCTTCAAACTCAGGGAATAATCTTACATGTATGTGTTTTGTTTAGGAGAATACACATTTTCTTAAAGAACATTCTAAAGAGCTAATACTAAAGACATATGTTCCCAAACAAAGCCCCAAATTGTATGTCATCAATACAGACAGAGCATACTTCCTTATAATGGGGAAGAGGATCGAAGTCACATATACTAAAGATGACCCTGTGCAATTCATCCTGTGTGAACTCCAGGATGCTAATAAGAATATTGCTCTTAATAATTATTTTGATTCCTCTCCATTGCAAACCAGGAAAGTGAGTTCTGTTTATCTTGGTGTCAAAAATCTCTCTACAGCTCATGCCCTAATTTTAGCTTACCATTATCAGAAATGTCCCTGTTTACCTTTATCTCCCCATATTACTTTGACTTCTTTTTTTTCTTTTTTTAATATTAATTTTTTTTACATCGTTCCTTTTTGAACAATATTTGCTTCTCCCACACCCCTTTAGGTGTAGCCCCCCCTAAAGTTTCCTTCCCCAATGCACTCATGCACCATCACCTCAGTCCCCTGTGCTCCCTCCCTCCCTCTGATCCCTCTCCCTCCTCCTCCCCGTAGTATGTCTCTGATTTATAATTGTTTTTGCTTTGTTGTGTTTTGTACAGTTATCATTTTTTTACACTGATGTCTTATTTTGTTCGCCTATATTCCTGCTACTTTTACTTCTAAGAAAGCTATCATTTTTCTACCAGACATCTCTAAATTAGCCTCTAAGTGTGGTATACTTTATGCCCCTGAAATCATTTATGTTCATTTCTTTACAAACCTGCCGAAGTGCTGCTCTGTATTTTATGTATCTTAGTAAGTAGCTGCATAACCTTTTTGGAGAACGGAATACTATAATTAATTAACTAATGAATGCCTTCCATTTCCTGGACCACTACCACTACCAGGCTTACAACCATACGCTCATGGTCTCAATGTTCACCACAGCTCCATGCAGGAGACACTGCTATCCCAGATGCATGGGTGAGGGACAGACTCCAAATCTTAGTTTGCGGTGGAGTCAAGAGGTCTTTCCACCACCACATCATGACAGCTGTCAGGAAGGGTTTCTTCATTCACACACTCAGAAAATTTCATCAGCTGTACTCAGAGTCTTCCAGTCTGGGATCTCTATATATGCTGTTCAATATAATAGCTACTAACCACTTGTGGCAATTCAAATTTAAATTAAATTATGTTAAAAAAAATTAAATTAAATCACATTTTGACTGCTCAATTGTCACATGTGACTAGTGGCTACTGGATTGGGTGGTACTACTTCAGACTCCTATTTCACAGAGAATTTTTTGAGACTATTTGCACAACATTCTGGCCTGTTAATAAGGTTTTTGTGATCAAATAGATTTGGTAAATGCTGCATATCATAGTCCTCTTGAATAGTCACATTGTACCACAGCATGTTAAAGAAATCCTGCCATCAAAAATTTAATTTAACTGTGTTAAAACAGCAGTTTCCAAGTTTATTTGATCATGGAATCCTGTGTCAGGTTGCCCTTAGAGTTCTTTAGAGCAGAGATTGGGAAACTTAGGAAGAATCAGGTTTTCATTCATGCTACTACTATGAATCTTATCTGGTTTTCAGCTAAGGTTGGAAAAGCTTTAATGCTCCCGGTGATGATTTCTTCAAATTGTCTTCATTTCTTTGAGGCAAGAAAGTATCACCTTACCCAGGCAGTGCCCTCAAACATTTTGAGGTCCAGTAGATCTCCCTGGACGGTCCCATCCAGAAGAATCAGAGAGTGGCAGCTGGCCATGGCTGCACAAAGTGGGCCCCAGGGCAAAGCTTTGCCTGAGGCAAAACTGTGGACTTTCTGGAAACTGGTAGAGAAGATAATTCATTAAAGTTTCTGCAAAATCCTTTTGCACACTCAACCTCTCAAGCACACCTCACTCCTATGTGCAAAACTTTCAATAGCTCCCATGCTGTCTAGGATAAACCTGCTATTCAAGCCTTGTCTACTCCAGCTCTTTGTTACCTTACATATTCTACACCTATCCTACTAATGTGCTTTAAGCAGTTTTTCCAGAACCAAGTTAAACTTCTTGCAATTTCAACCTTGCACAGGAATCTCCCCGCTTTTCAGCCCTTGTTTACTTGGTTTCCTCAACTTCTAACTAGAATATTCTGCCTGCAGATTGCTCTTTATATAACCCTCCTTTGACATGGATGTGATTTTGACAACAGAATTTACCTCTGGCTAAGTGATACCATCATTTCAGAAGGCTGGATATAATAGCAATCTAGGCCTACCTCACAGGGATTTTGCCAGGTTCATTCCTGTCAGTCCATGAGGTGGCAGTATTGGGGTGAAGGCTCAGAAATGACAACTGCAAACTTGTCAGAGCTGACTCTAAAATGCCCAAGCAAGAAGTCTCTAAACCAATTAGGTAGCAGAAATGAAAGAGACCTGTCTGGTGATTCCTTTACCCTTCAAATAAAATAATATGCATGGAACCTGAAATACTTCTCACTACTTAACCATGAAACTCCAGGCTTGAACTTTGTCCTCCTTGACAGTAGACTGGCTGGGTTCACTTTCCTCTCCTCCCAACAGGAAGACTAACTGCATCTACGTGTTTCTACTCACCCCCAAAATTTCCAGGGAGAGAGAGGAGGGTTGGAAACGGCAAATAGCCTTTTCCCTTTCACTGTACTGGCCTACAGAGGCCCTGCCTGGGTAGCAAAGGACTGAGCAGCCAGGAGCAGAGACACATAGTGGGTTAGAGTCCAGGAACACTCAGTCCATGTCTTCTGCAAAGTGGCGCTGCTGTTACCATGGGCCAGTGCTGCCCTGAGGCATCTTGAGGGTGCCCTGCATGACACCTTCAACCAGAGAAGCTTTAGTTACCATGTAGATCCAAGGTAAGGCACCCAGAGCAGAGGCCTGGACACTCAGACTGAGAAATCAGCACTAGACCAACATGGAAGGGAGGTAGGAAATTGGGGGAACTTCAGGGGTAGGGCACTGTACCCCTTTCTAGCTGAGTTCAGGGGCAGCATCTCTGAGTGCTTCCTCCCCTTTCTAGTACCACCTCCAGGTGGTTTTCCCAACATAACTCATTCTCAAAATTAATTTCTATCTTTTACCCACTGTGATTATAAAAAATCAGGATAGCTTATTATATCAAGCAATCATTGTTATGTCTTCTTCTCTATTCTGCTGCTTGTGCCCCAATAGCGACCCTTTCACAGCCTGGTTCGCACAGTGAATGGGGTGCGTGTGCTCCTCATTATCCCCCACAGTGTGAGCTCTCTGAGGGAGGAGACGAAGTGCTTTTTTCTAGATTCCCCCACCACACTACCCGCCCAGGATGTCTTTGCAGTTTTTAATTAAGCACAGCCCTGATTTCACTCTTTGCGCCTCTGTTTTATTCATTAACATAATCATCCAACTCATTTTATTCCATTTTTTCATATGGAGTTTGAAGGCCTCCTTTCCCTGTCTGATTATCCTGAACTTAGAGCTCATTTAATTTAACAAGTTAGAATAATTGGGAACTGGTTGGTTCTAGCCAATGATTATATGTATTTGGTGTGACATTCCTCCCTCAACACTGGCAAGTGGATTTGAGAGTCACTGAGTGGGGGCAAACTGTCACACATCCCATCTTTACTTAGGGGCCTACCAGTTGTCTGCAGAAGGGACAGTGCCCCAGAGGTCCAGGCCATCCTCTGTCAGAGTGCCAGTCTGAAAAAAAATTAGAATTGGTTAGCATAAGCTTCAGAGCTTTCAAACATTAATGATTTACAAGACACCCAAGCTCCCAAGAAATTCAAGTCCTGGTTGCCCAATGCCCTTCGTTTATAATCATGACATTTGAAATCAGAGATGTGTACCTGGAGAAAGACTTCAACAGGTGCTAACAGATTCCCATAGGACCATGTTGGTAATTAGATGATTCTCCTTACTAATTATGACAACAAAGTGCAAGTGCTTGTTTTGGTTTTGTTTGTTTGTTGTCGTCACAGTTGTTAAGAGAGAGGTTCAGTGGTTGAAAATCCAACAAGAACTAGCTCGAGTTTGACTTTTCAGTTGGCACCTGCTGTCTTTCTAAAGCAGAGCTCGGCAGAATTTTTTTCTTTCTTTTCAAGACTATTTAATTCATAGTCTGCCATCTGGTTCACAGTAATTTTCTAAAAATACGGGTGACATGGTGACTGTCCAGATTGGTAATGAAATGTTGATAAAGGGCCTTGGGACTACAGAGAGTAATGAAGTGCTAATAATAAATATTAATTAATGCCCATGAATAGGCTTTATTGTTAGATCAAGTGGAAAAAGGTTGGGAGATTTGATTTGCTCTATTATGGGAGAGTATTTGTCAGATAATGTAACAGAGAAAGCAAAATGGAACTGAGTACCATCACAGCACTTTTAATTTGCTCATTACTTCACAGTCAATCATTAATTACAGGGCTTGTGACTTTATGTGGAAGGATCCTTACTCTACTTAACACCCAGCCAGGCTAAGGAGTTGACTACAGCTGCTCAGCTCTGTGAGGAGGGACCAGAGCATTAGCAAGCACTGGGGAATATCCACTTCAACAGATACTTGTTTCATAAGGTCATCTCTCTATCAGACACTGAAGTTTCTTGTTTTCTACCAAATACTGTCTTCTATAATTTACAACACATAACATTAGCAAAATGTTTTACACTTAAGTGCTTACAATTCCCACAACTGAATAAAAGGGTAGAGACATTTCAGGTTACAAGATACAATGGTTAGAAAGAAAGAACCAGAATCCAGTCTATCTAGAATCTTCCACTAGGCTACAAATGTTAAAAGGATTCTGCAAATGGGCCTCCCCGGTGGCGCAGCGGTTGAGCGCTGGGTTGCGAAGCTGCCTGCAGCCTCTGCGGCGCCGGTTCAATCCCCGGCTGCTTCCCGGCCACCGGCGGAAGATCCCACATGGCGCGCAGACCTCTCCTGCCGCCCGCTGCTCCCCTCAGCAGTGTACTTCGGTCCTTCTGCCTGCTCTGCTCCCCGCTCTGGCTCTGGTGAATTCTCTCACCCTCCCGCGCTTCTGACTGTACCCAGTGCATGTATAAACAAAACAAACAAAATAAATAAATAAAACATGCCTCTATAAAAAAAAAAAATAAAAAGATTTAATAAAAAAAAAAAAAAGGATTCTGCAAAGCATGTAGAAGGACAAAGCCCATACTGAGCTTCTAGCTTAAAGAATTAAGGAATCTTTGTTTCATTCCTTCTCTTCAAAGATAGGTAATATGATTGTGTGAAGAAAAATCTGTTTCATTTCCCTCCTGCATTTTATAAGGTCCCCAACCTCTGATTTAGATTCTAAATCCCCTTGAGTTGTTTCATTTCAAAAAGAGTTAGCTTAACTTAATTCAAACTGAAATGTTTTCCAGATGATTAGATCTTAAATATCGATATTTTGAACATGAAAACAGAGATGATACCATAGGAAAACAGAAATGGGACCACGTTATTTCTCTACATGAAAATGACCCTTATACAATAAGAGCAACCATAAATAGAAAGAAAACTGAATTATAGCTGAGGTTCTAAAGGTAATAAGATAGAAAAAGAAAAGTTCTTAGCATAAATACTAGCCCAGACTGAAATGAATAGAAAAAAAAAAAAGTAATGGTCTCAAAGAATTTAAAACAAACCAACACAAATCAAAATATATTTGGGAACAAATGCATACTCAGAAGCCCAGTGTGAATGTCTTCTAAAAGGAAATAACACTAGATGGAAGTTGAATTAATGTGGAGTGCTTTATTCCAACATCATGCTGGTAAAGTTTTATAAAGTGAAAGCTAGAGAGAAACAGAGATAATTTTAGTTTCAGTCTTCTTATCATAAAAAGTCACAGAGAACAGTTGTGTCAAATTCAGGATTAGATTTCTTAATTTTCAGATACCCCATAAAGAGTTCTTTGTATGTAATAGGCCCTGTGTCATATGGAGTTTGGTTAATATGCTGAGGAGCACTTTCTCGAATAGTCCAGCAAAGGAGCAGGTGAGGAAGAGGAGACAGTTGTACAAGGAAACTCAAGTGACAACCTCTAGAAATATTAGTTTTAGAAATAAAGGAATCTTTTCAATATAATACTGGAAGTCCTAGCCCAAGCAATAAGACAAGAGAAAGATATACGAGGAATCCAAGTAGGGAAGGAAGAAGTTAAACTATCACTATTCACAGATGATATGATAATATACATAGAGAATCCCAAAAACTCCACAGAAAAACTAATCAAACAAATAAATCAGTTTAGTAAAGTAACAGGATACAAAATCAACACGCAAAAATTAGTAGCCTTCCTATACACAAACAATAAATCTGAAGAAGAAGAAATCAAGAAAACCATCCCTTTTATTATTGAAACAAAAAAAATCAAATACTTGGAATAAACCTAACAAAAAAGGTAAAGAACCTATACAAAGAAAACTATAAAACACTGTTAAAAGAAATAAAAGAACACACAAAGAAATGGAAAGGCATCCCCTGCTCATGATTTGGAATAATAAACATTATCAAAATGGCCATCCTACCAAAAGCAATTTACAGATTCAATGCTATTCCAATAAAAATTTCAATGTCATTCTTCAAAGAAATAGAACAATTATTGATGAAATTCATATGGAACCACAAAAAACCCTGAACAGCCAAAGCTCTCCTGAAAAAAAAAAGAAGGGAATGGAGGCATCATACACCCAGACTTCAAACTATACTACAAAGCCATAATCATCAAAACTGCATGGTATCGGAACAAGAACAGACACAGAGACCAATGAAATTGAATACAAAATCCAGAAATAAACCCACAGATTTATGATCAACTAATCTTTGACAAAGGAGCAAAGAATATACATTGGAGCTAAGAAAGTTTGTTCAATAAATGGTGCTGGGAAAACTGGGTCGCTACATGCAAAAGAATGAAGCTTGACTACTACCTAACACCATGCACAAAAACCAACTCAAAATGGATTAAAGAACTAGACATAAGACCTGAAACCATAAAATACATAGAAGGAACTATAGGCGAAACACAACATGATATGCACATCAAAGACATCTTTACAGACACATCACCCAAAGCAGTGATAGTGAAGGCAAAGATCAACAGCTGGGACTACATCAAATTAAAGAGCTTCTGCACAGCAAAAGAGACAATAACAAAAACAAAGAGAAACCCCACTGACTGGGAGAACATTTTTGCACACAACACTAATGATAAAGGACTAATCACAAAAATCTACAAAGAGCTGATGAGACTCAACAAAAACAAAGAAAATAATCCAGTCAAAAAATAGACAGAAGAGCTAAAAAGAAACTTCTCTGAAGAGGAAATGCAAATGGCCAACAGGCATACGAAAAAATGTTCAATATCACTTGTCATCAGGGAAATGCAAATCAAAACTACAATGAGATACCATCTGACACCAGTGAGAATGGCACATATTAAAAAAAAACTAGCAACAACAAATGTTGGCAAGGTTGTGGAGAAAAAGGAACTCTCCTGCACTGTTGGTAGGAGTGCAAACTGGTCCAACCACTATGGAGAGCTGTGTGGAGATTTCTTGACCTACTAAACATAGAGCTTCCATATGATCCAGCAATTCTACTCCTAGGTATTTACCCAAAGGACACAGAAACATCAATTCCAAAGAGCACCTGCACCCCATGTTTATAGCAACACTGTTTACAATAGCTAAGATTTGGAAACAACCCAAATGCCCAAAAATAGATGACTGGATCAAGAAGATGTGGTACATATACACCATGGAATATTACTCAGCATTCAAAAAAGATAAACACATGCAATTTGCAGCAACTTGGATGGTGCTGGAAGGGATTATGCTCAGCAAAATAAGCCAGAAAGAATAAGAAAAACACCGGATGGTCTCACTCATAGCAGGAATCTAGAAAACTTAAATAAGGGACCAGGAAAAAGAATAACTATAAGAAAGAAAATATCAAAATCAACAAATAACTATGAACAAGAGACACTCTATGGGGGTTGGGGGTGGGGGTGGGGAAAGGAGGGCTTGGGATAAAAATAAGGGGGTTGTAATTTTATGGGGAATATAAAAATAAAATTTAAATTAAAAAAAATAATAAAATAGCAATATTAGACCCAGTGGATGTTAAACTAATATAATTTTGTGAAAATAAACCTCACATTTAAAATAAAAAATAAAATAAATAAATAAAAGTTATGTTTCTTCCCCCTCAAAAAACAAAAAATAGGGAAGGAAAAGCACAAGGGACTAAGGTGATGGTTCACAGGTGATGTGGTGGTGGGAGAATTATGGGAAATACACCTGAGGGGAGAAATCAAATATTGCACAAAAATGAACAATGATGTAAGAAAAAAAATGAATAAATTAAAAAATAAAAGGCAAATGTGGGAAAAAAAAAACAACTCTAAATGGTATAAAGAACTAGACATAAGACCTGAAATCATAAAATATATAGAAGGAAATATAGGCAAAACATTACATGACATGCACCTCAAAGACATCTTTACATCTTTACACATCACCCAAAGGAGTAATAGTGAAGGCAAAGATAAACAGCTGAGACTACATCAAATTAAAGAGCTTTTGTACAGCAAAAAAGACAGTAACCAAAACAAAGAGACACCCCACCAATTGGGACAAAATTTTTGCACATGACACTAATGACACTGATCACAAAAATCTACAAAAAGCTGATGAGACTCAACAAAAATAAAGTAAATAATCCTGTCAAAAAATAGGCAGAGGAGCTAAAAAGAAACTCTCCAAAGAGGAAATGGAAATGGCCATAAGCATACAAAAAAAATTCAACATCACCTGTAATCAGGGAAATGCAAATCAAAACTACAATGAGATACCATCTTACACCAGTGAGAATAGCACATATTGAAAAAAATAGCAACAACAAATGTTGGCGAGGATGTGGAGAAAAAGGAACCCTCCTGCACTGCTGGTGGGAGTGCAAACTGGTTCAACCACCACGTAAAGCTGTGTGGAGATTCCTCAACCTGCTAAAGATGGAGCTTCCACATGATCCAGCAATTCCATTCCTAGGTATTTACCCAAAGGACACAGAAACATTAATTCAAAAGGGCACCTGCACCCTTACGTTTAGAGCAGCACTATTTACAATAGGTAAGCTATGGAAACAACCCAAATGCCCAAAAATAGATAACTGAATCAAGAAGATATGGCACATATACACAATGGAATATTACTCAGCAATCCAAAAAGATTAACTCATGCAATTTGCAGCAACATGGATGGAGCTGGGAGGGATCATGCTCAGCGAAATAAGCCAGAAAGAAAAAGAAAAATACAGGATGGTCTCACTCATACCAGGAATTTAGAAAACCTAAATAAGGGACCAGGAAAAAAACCTAATTATAATAAAGTAAAAATCAAAATCAACAAGCAACTATAAACCAGACACACACTTGAGGGGGGTGAGAGGGGAGGAGGGATTAGGGTCAAAATAAGGTGGGTGGGAATTGTATGGGGACTATAACCAAGATGAAAATGCATACATTGTGCAAAAATGAAAAGTGATGTAAAAAAATATATAAAATTAAAAAATTAAAAATAAAGCAATCTCCCTCCTATGTTCTAAGTGCCCATGAAGCTGCTGGGCAAGTAATGGGAATCCCTATCAGGAAGCTTCTAAGGTGTTATCTGGCCCTGAATCTAGAATGAAGTTATTGTTAATTTAACCCTACTAGTTCCTGACTAGTGGTGATTGAGTTTCTTTGCCAAGAAAACAAAAGTACTGAACTCAAATAACCTAAGAGCTATACCACTGCCAGCTGGCACCTCCACTCGCCTTCCTGCCCTCACTGTCTAGGACAGGGAGCCATCTTCTCCTCCACAGTCCCCAGGGAACCTCCTGCTTCATCCCCACTTCTCTACAGTCCCTTCTCACCATTTCCCACAGATGGAATAAATAAAAGGCACCACAAAAAAGGAGGGTGATAAGGGCTCCTGTTTTCCTTCATGACAAGGGGTCCCCCTCTCACCTTGACATATCAGGCCCTGAGCAATTGGAATCCTCTCCAACCATATTTCTTACAAAATAGCTACCTTCTCACCAGACCCCTTGTTCTGTTCCCCACATGCTATGGCCCTAGCATCCCTGTGCTCCTGAACTGCTCACCTTCTACAGAACAATTGAAACCACCATTCACAGGTGACCCCTGCTTGTGACAGGTGACCGCACTGCCATGCTTTGCTCACGTGTCTGGGCTGCCATTATCACTGTCTACTGTTCAGTTTTATCCGCTTTGTTAGCTAAACTGTAACCTCCTCAACAACCTGCAGTATCTCATGAGTGGGCCTTTCTGCCTGTGTGGGTTTAGTTTTTCAAATGCAATAGAACTAAAGACATTTTGAGGCCTAGCCATACTGTCTGCATCACAGCCCCTACAGTGACTATGCTGGCCTACCTACCTGGAGGGAGTATCCCAACAACAGATGACCAAGCTGAATTCCCTCCAGGTCCCCATGGGAGAGCCACCAGGAGGAGTCTCAGGGCCCATCCATCAGCAGCAGTCCTCCCCATCTGAACAAAATCCTCTCTGCCACCTTTTCAGGACTCTGAGCAGACAGAATCTTCCCTAATCCTGACACTTGGGGAGCAAAGGAGAAATGAGGGGCCATTTATAGACACAGGCATTGTTTACTCCCTCCCTTTCCTTAAAAGAAGCAGCAGAGGAGAAAGAAATATGTTCGCTTAAGCACAGGACAAAGCACTTCAGGGAACAGAAACATCCTTATATTTTTTGCCTGAAAGAGCCAGTCCAAATGAAGTTATTACAGTAAGAGATTGTTTTGAAATCCAAAACAGCCTCAAAAAATATTAAATGCCACAGGAAAGAAATTCATGATATGATAGCCCACCCACGTCCTCAGGATTCAGTAAAGCTCACTCTGTGACCCGCTGGGGCCTCAGTGCTCCTATCTGTAAAATGAGGCTGCTGAACCAGACATTCCCCAAGGCCCTTCCCAGCTCTGCTGTGCCCTGAGATCAGTAACCTCCAACCTGGAAAGTTCAGACCATACTTTGTCAAAGCACACAAGGTTTATCTGCCCACACATATTGATTCTTTGTGGGGAGATACAGAAGATTTTCTTTTTCTTCAGCCTCCTTTGCGCATACACGATGCCCGTGGTCAGGGCAGCGGGCAGCACAGGAGGGACGGTCACAGTGAGGAGGAGCAGGGCCATGGTTGCTGTGTCCTTTGGAGGGACCTGGAGAGGGAGAGACATCAAGGTTAGCCTCATAGAGCAAGCTGGTACCCTCCCTGGCACCATTTCCTGCATCACCACAGGAGCCCTAGAAGCTCCAAATATTCCTGGTGTGTCACTCTCTTGCTAGGGCCATGCATTCCCTTGGCTTCACCCACGGATGAACAACTTGTCTCTGTTACAGCCACCCTCGCCTTTTCTAGCTCTGTTTCTCTCTAATTGGTGCTCTCTCCATCCAAAACATCCATCCCATCCCCCTCGTCATACTTCCACACCTTCTGTGGACTCCCAGGGCACTGAAACTAGTCTTGAGTTGTAACATTTCACACAGGGGTTTGACTGTTGGTTAGTCTCTCGTTGACCCCCCTCCCCATCCCATCCACAAGCTCCCTGAGAGATGCAGCTGTGGTGCATTTATCTTTGGAGTCATCTTTACATTCATCTTACTCAGCTCTCAATACAGAATCCAGCACATTTCCTGACACCTAGAAAGTGCTCAGCACTGTGGAATGAATGGTGACCCGATAAAGCTTTGAGCTACATTCTGCCACCATCTCGCCTGTATTATTTGCCACTGGAAAGTCAACCATAAACAGCCTGCTCTTGCAGGACAGTGTGCTCCAGAACAGGCATGTCTTAGGCTACATGCTTTATTTGGTTACTCCTCACTACAACCTTATAATTAAATACTATTATATTCTCTACTTCACAGATAAGGAGATAAATTATTAAATAACTTTTCCAAAGCCAAATGATATTTGGCCTGAGGCTCTGGACCCTCATTAGTCCACCTCCAGGGTTGTTATACTATCAAGTCTTTCCCCAGGAGTCCGAGTCCCTGGCCGGTCCCCAGTGATTCACAAAGTTCAGAATGTGGGGCCCAGAACAAAATGCAAACAGCGTTCCTTGTTTTATTATCCACATGCTCTGCATATTAATGAGTCCATCCTCTACATCTCTGCCTACGTGTTTATGGAATTAACCATAAGGTCAGACTTAAAGTCCTCTTTTGAATACTGGTAACACTGATACAAGTTCAGTAACGATGGTATTGGATGCATCTTTGGCCTAATCTCAGTTTATCACAAAATCCGTCATTTCCTGCTTTTTCCAACCGTAACCAGAGAGGGGTTTTGACCCTGAGCCCTACGTAAGCCCAATTCAATGCAGATAGAGGCAGCCAAAGAGCTACAGGTTCTGACCCACAAGACTGCAAGTTCTGAGATTGTTAGTCTGGCTCCTTTGATGTGCATTGGCTATTGAGTACTGGCCATTCTTGGCCATTCTTGGCCTTCATTCCCGGCCACTCTCAGGGGCTTCCTGGTCCATAGAAGAGGGCCCTGTGCTTGTTTTCATTCAGGTTCTTCCTGCTCTCCAGATGAAATTGGCTCACTGTTTCAAATTCCAGGCTAGCTGGCTTTGATATTCTACCTTGCACTTTCCAGAGTCCATTCTACTTTTGCCAATATAGTCTGGCTTCATTTGCCCTTGCTTTAGAAATCCTCCCTGGGGTGTTATTTGACTGAAATGACTACTCAGAGCTCAAGTTTGAGTATGTGCATTGCCAAGGCATTCTTGTGACTATCTTTTCTCACCAATAACTCACCTCCCCCCACTTTCCCCTCTCCCACCAGCAATACACAGAATATATTGATGCCACCAATTTGGGGATTGCAATTAACCCATCCACACCCAGTTTATAACTATGTTTGACCCTCTTATTTACAATTTTTTTCTTTTTTTCTCCAAGCCCACACTGTTAAGATCCCAGCATGTCTTACAAAAGATCCTGCATGGTTCACAACAGCTCGGGTTTCAGGACCACAAAAGATCTCAGAGAACATTAGGGACAATCTTTCCCTCTTCAACCCTTTACAACTACTAAGAGGAGAGGTCCAAATAAAAACAGACACTCAGAAGCCAAAAAGGGAAATGTGGACACAGCTCTGTAAAAGTGTACATTTAATTTCATTCCAAAATACAACCACAACACACAGGCAATTCATTGACTTTATGGTATGTTGTGTATACTGGACATACTCAGTACTCTCAAACACACTCAAATATCCCCAAACAGCCTAAACTTCCAGGCATGCCATTCAACATTTCCTATAATCAGCTCTATCTCTACCTTGCTAGACTTCTCTCTCAATTGCTGCTGGTTCTGATGAGGGGCTTGGGAGGAAGAGAAGGGCACCTCATACAGTAGCACAGGCTGCAGGTACACACTATATAACTAGTGGCCTGTTTTCTTTAAACTAAAACTCTTGCTCTGAACTGAGACACCTGCCCCAGTGATGCCTGAAAGAGTGTTGGACATTGACACCCCCACAAATTAACCAGGATCAGCAGGTCAGTATGTACCAGGGTGAAGGCAACCTGGAGGCTGAACATGAAGAATACCAAGATCATCAACTGCAATGGACTGTTCTGGTGGGCTATTTGCTTATGACTAACTGACTTTATTTAACTCATTATAAGAAAGCTAGCTTGAGATGAGATGTCAGCATGGTTTCCTCAGAATGTTATGCCCTCTGTTCTCTCAATGGAAAGTAAAGCACTTTTTATAGATTGAATTCCTGTCACTGCTCATTGTCATGTATAATGACAGGAAGCAGAACCTGGCCATTTCTGATAAGTTCCAGAAGAGCCACTTGCAGTTCTTCCTCTGGGTTTTGCTCCCTCAAGTTAGCATACCCTTCCTACTCTGCTATCTAATTGACTAAATTCTCACCATCTTATCTGGCTTGCAAAACACGTGTTTCCTGAGGCTATTTGGGCTTAAGTGTCTCCCCTGATACTTACTCCATGGTACATATATACACCAAGAGCATAGAAAAAGCCCATGACTCCAAGGCAAGCCAAGAACACTATGAACTTGAAGGCATCACTATAGAGTTTGAAGTTCAGAGGCCGAGGGTAGAGGATGGATCTCACCAAGTCCCCTTTTGCTGTGTTGTAACCTACATGAAATAATCACAAATGGAATAACAGCCCTTATTACAGTTTCCAAAAATGGTCTGTATTAAGTTTTAGTAAATAGGATTATTTTAGTATGTAATGAAGATAGCATTGTTGTGACCTAAATCGTAATTACATTTATTGTTCTTACAAGTCACCAGGAACAATAAATACATTCACTTATCCCTGCTCAATCTCTTGTCAATCAGTGCTTCATGGACTAAAGTGCTTCATGGAAGATACCACAGTGGCAGAAACAGAGTTTAGAATGAATACAGATTGCTGGGGTAATTATGGAAGTTGTCATGCAATGTCATGTGAAAGATTGGGATTAATATGTGTAGTCATGAAAACTTTTAGAGCATGGCGTATATGAACTGCTCTAAGCTGTGTTTTAGAAATGTGAGTTGGGTGACAGATTGAGGAAAGGTTGGGGCAAAAGTTGAAAGAGACCCATTAAAAAGTATTACTGTTGTAATAGTTTAGGCAGGAGATGATGAAGATATGGACAAAACACCAACCAAGAGATGAAGGAGAGAGGACTCAGTAGGTATTTGTGGAATCTACAGGATGTGGCACCCCACTTAGTATGGGAGAGAATGAGGAGGTGAAATGACAAGAAGAGAACAGCTAGGTGGTGATTGTGTTAACAGAAAGAGGCAATAGAGGAAGATGAATTTGCTTTTAGATTTTGAAGTATATGTAGGTGGAGGTACCCAGCAACTCTTTGAAAAGAAAAAAATCCTCAATAATAGTGGTTGAAGCTGTTTTCTTGGAAATCACTTAGAGTGGGTGTAGAAAGAAAAAGGAAGAAACTTGTAGAAAAATAAAAAAACAAAAATAGTGTTGCTTTTGAGGAAACTGTACTTCATTCCTGTATCTACTTCATTATACACAAAGACATTGAAAATGACCCATTCAATTGGAAATGGTGACAACTTGGACCAATAAGGGTCTGATTAGAAAAGAGAGTGACTATTATTACTGGAATGTGGTGACCTCTATAATCCAAAATTTTCCTAATCCAACCCTCCCACCTCAATCATGGACTAAATTTACACAAGTGGAATCTACTAACCTGTCTGCAAAACAACTGCTCTTACTGGGCCCTGCCCAGAGGGCTTGACCTGGATAACTTCTGTTCCACAGAAAAGAATGTGTTTCCGATAGTCCTCCAAGCTGTGGGATTTCCAGGAACTGGTATTCTCCATATGGGGCAATGGTGTCTTTGTAACAGGAATACTTTCTCCTAAAGAAGATTGTGTTTTGTTGATTCTGTGTGAACTCAGAAAGTTATTTAAAGCAAGTGTGTGACAATTTCAAAGAAGTATACAAGCCACAGCTAATTAATCTTAATGCTTATTTGATGAGTTAGGGACTTTTTAGGAATGCTGGCAATGCAAAGAGTGGTAACCATGATTATATTTCAAAGAATTATTTACGATCCACCTAGTTTCCCAAATCTAACCTATATGGCTTGGTAAAATTTAAAATGCTGTCCATTTTAGAAGAGTTGTCACTTACTCATTCCCGAGTGCTCATTATACCCAACACTATTCTAGGCAATGAAGGCTCTGTATAGCATGAGTACAGTTATTATCTCCCTGCCATTCACTCATTTATCCTCCCCTTCATTCATTCATTCAACAAATATTTGTGTTTGTTCTGTGTCAGGTACTGTGCTAGGTGCTGGGAATATAATAATGAATAAGACTGACAAATTCTGCCCTAATAAAGCTCAGGGAATGAGTAGAAATATATAATATAGTGCACGGGATATAATAAGTAATTAAGATACAGTAAGGTGCATAAGTTAGTAGTAGTACTAGGTGAGCTACAGACATAACCTGAACAGGATCAGGAAAAATTTGCTGAGCAATTAACAATTGACAACTTGAAAGAAGAGTACAACCCTCCCTCCTGCCCCCCAGATTAAGAGGAGAGGAAAGTGTTCTTGAAAGACCTGAGAGAAAGAGAATGGCATGTTCTGAGTACTAAAGATAGATGAGAATGCTCAAGACATTGAGTGTGAGGACAGAAGTAAGCAATCCTAGAAGTAGAGAGATAAATGAGAAATGATGTCTGGGTGACTTTATATTTGCCAGAAGAGATGCTGGCAAATGCCTTGGTTATTTCAGGTCAATTCTGCACATTAGATGGATGACAGCACTGTTGGCCATTTCCCCTTATCTGTAACTATCTGAGTCTTCCTGAGAATCAAGAAAAGGGTGTATACCCACGTCAATAGAACTGGGGGGATAAACATTGCTATGTGTCCTTCCTTGTCTTCTGGTGGCCTTGTTCTCTGTTGCCAGTGAGAGAAGTTCTTCTTCAGTAGATTGTTGGGGATGGGAGATAGTAAACCTTTGCATGGGGACAGTTTTTTCTGGGCTTGCATTTTGTACACAGGGTACTATGGAAACATTCTGGATGAAAAATGTGATCAGTATGCAAATCCTCATCTCTATCATTATAAGGCAGTTAGATTTCAACACATTAAAGGAGTATTTTGTAATTATACTGAACATATTTATGTTTACTACATTTTCTTGTCTCAATTTTAAATTAAGCAGACTCATTTTTAATGTGAAATCTGCTTGTGTTGAACAATTTAGGAATAGATAATGACTCTCTTTACATTTAGGTGATGTTGAAAAGTTTTGTGTGTTTATGTTTTTTCCCATCTTTTCACCATTTGGAAACAGGAAAATACAACAATCTGCAAGCACAACAGACAAATAACTTCTATTTTTGTATCGCTGTAGAGTCTCGTTTCTCATTATGTTTTATGCATTTATTTAGCCTAAAGTACATTTTATAAATAGCACTTATTAATGACACAAAAATATTTTGGGGGGGTGGGAGAATGTCCCTGTGAAGTGTGACATTAACACAAAAAGTCAGTGTCAGAATTTAATTGTAGTACTCTTAGTGGCTTTATATCTATATCTATTACACAAATTTACACAAATACAAATTTACATGGACATCACAGAATACAAATGAGAGTAAGGACAGCTCACACCATTACTAGAAAACTGTTTTTTTGTTCAGTGAGGCCCACTGGAGATAAAATTCTAAAGAACAGAACTCTTACAGTTGTTGCTCAAAGGTTCAACTCAATCTCTTTCCAGTAAAATCTATCTATAGAACTCAGCGTTAGATAAATCTCTGTGGCTTTCCAATAGTTGGAGTTGGTATCTTTAAGTAGTGTTCTGCTTGATGTGTGTATAGACATTCTCATATTTATGATGAATTTGTATCACACTCTCACACTCTTCTCCCCTCAAAGCATCATTTTGACCTAACCATCGGACAAGTAACTGATTGCATATTGCATTAGACTTGACTTCCAGTTTCATATTTATCATGGCTTAATTCTTACATTGTTAAACATTTTATATATATATATATATATATATATATATATATATATATATATATATATATATATATATAAAGTCTCCATCTTCATGAATAGCCTGGATGTGTCTCCCTCAATATCTCAGCAGGGGCGTGGTATAAACAAGGTAAGTATATTTTGATGTGCTTTGTTAATATTTGCCTCATGTTGTACAGGAGAGAGGACACTCTGGGACAAAGGCCTACCTGTGAGCATGCCTTCATTCACCACACAGCTGCCATCAATCAGAATCGCATCACAAGGCAACGACAATTTTCCTGGAAGTGTAAGAATGTCTCCGGGAACCAAAAGACGGGATTCCAGCTCCTGCAAACCTATACAACAGTAAAGTGTCCATGACTAGGTGATCTTTTCCTTAACTTAAAAAGGAATGAGACTGAGAACTGTGAGCAACCCTTTGCCAAAAGCCACTCTGCTGACTCATCTTTTCTCTCAGTTGCAAACTTCCAGAGAACAAGGATTACAGCCATAACAAAGCTTTAGATCAGCAACAAGATCCCACTGCTGGGCTTCCCTGGTGGTGTAAGGGGTTAAGCACTGTACTATGAAGCAATCCACAGCCTCTGCAGCATGAGTTTGATCCCTGGCTGGCCAGGGAGCAACCCACATGGCGAGGCAGACCTCTCCTGTCTGGTCCGCTGCTCTCCTCAGCAGTGTATTTCAGTCAGTCGTCTGTTGTTTCCCACTCTGTCTCTAGTGAATCCTCTCACCCCCTGCATCTCTGGCCTGTACCCCAGCTCTTGCATGCATAAATAAATCTTTAAAAAAAATCCCACTGCTATACTAGTACCAGGGATAATGTTCTACCCACAGAAGACACTCCAGAGAGTTGGTGAGAGGAGTGTTCCTTTACTACTGCTCACTCTACTGTGACACACTTTGTCCTTGCACTAGGCCTATTGTAACTACCCAGTCAGCTTCTACTGCCCTGGAGTATAGCTCCTCACTGCCGTCAGAGAGCAACGACCATCCTTCATCTAACTCAGAGCAAATGACAGGTGTCCAGCCAGCCATCTACAAGCCTCCCCCAGGCCTAGGTTCCAGATAGCAGATCAAAATCTATCCTGCAAGTTCAGTTTGGGACTGTTAGTTGGGAATATCAAAACACCTTAAGAAGGGATACAGAGTAACATTCAAACGAGTGCTACCTGGAGGGTAGAGGGAATATGAAGTAACCTGGATATTGAGTAGGTACAGTTTATTCAAGACTAGGACAAAATGAAGCATGAGAGGCAGCTAAGTGCAAAATTCAATAAGGTGCACATTCTCAAGAACATGTTGATCTGCCCTAGAGTGCAGATTAATGTGCACATGACCTTGCCTCCTGATACATCTTAGATGCTTTGTTTTTGTCTAACCTTAGCCCCAGACCTAAGTTCAAGAAGACATTTTCTTCTTGACTTACAACCAATACAGATATGACTGATTCCACCCTTAAATACTAGGATGCTGAAGATGGCAGGGCATATCACTTACCTTTGCTTTTTACGATGATCATAACCTGGACTTTGTTGTGATCCTCCACTAAGTTGTGTAGCTTAACTGATTGCTATAAATTTAAAGACAATGTTTAAATTTCAGAGGGTGCATAATTTGAAAACCACATGATATCCATACAGTACCTGCCAAGCCTGCTGTCACAGCCAAAACAACTCTAGGCAAAGACTCAAGTTCCAGTTTTGATGCTTCTCTTCTCTTCCCTGCCCCAACCCCACTACCTACAGCAGCAAATATGCTCATCAGTTTAAAAAAGATTTCAGTTCTAGACAAAACAATGCACAGTCACTGGCCCCCAAAGACTTTAGCTAAGCAACCAAGCCTTTACTTCTTAAAGAGGTACCATCAGACTGGGACAGAAGAGTGAGACCACAAACAGTTTATTTCCCCACTTTGTGCCTCTGTTTTCCTGTCTGTGAAACAATGAAGTTGACCTTGATCTGTAAATGGTTTTCCATGTAAAAGCCTATCAATATTTAGGCTGTACTTTGGTTGTATGTGGGACAATCATTCCCCTCATTTACAAACTGCTGGGTTTTCATATTAGATAAGGATACAGGCTGGAGTGTTGCTGCTCTGTTTGGAATCTTGGTGCTACCATTGACAAGTTCTGTAGCCTAAATCCTTTCTCCTCATCAGAAAGTGGAAATACTAACAGTATGTAATTTACAGGGTTGTTTTTAGTTAGTTAATGCTTATCTTATTGAATTCTTGTGTAGTACTCATTACTAGGGAAAACCCCAATGAGTGTTAGTGATTATTAAGAAAGTTATGGTCAGAAAAGCAGTTGTCTGAGTATATCAAATGGAAAGATTCTCTGGAGGTGTAGTTCAAAGAGAATGGAAGCACCTCTCCTTGGATAAATCAAAGACAGGAAGGCAGCAATGAGAGGGATTTTGTCCACACAGGTCCCATACTAACTTTCAGGGGCACCATCAACTGAAGGGAGACCTCTTGCATCCTTACAGATGCCAGTTACCTGAATACTTCTAAACAGAAGATACTGTCAATAGTTCTTGAACACAGCTTCATCTAACACAGATATAAAATTTTTCTCTAGATTTTAGAGTAAATTATATTTATCTGTTTTGTTGATGGTTTTTCATGTTACAAGTGTACCAAACTAAGACAAGCATTACACACAATTATGCAACTTTTCTCTTGATAGAACATAATGAACTCAGTGTTAATATTTATATAGAACAATATGGTATTTACTTCATTTTTGCATGAGAAACTAAATTTCAATCATTTGGACCAATTAAGGGGAAGATATATCACTTTTGGGTACACATACATTGTTCAGGAAGTGCTAGCTTGACTTCCTGAGACTTGCCTTTGGGGGCATTTTAATATTTGGTAATAGTGAGATAATCAGCTATGGTTCTATAGCAAGAACACTGGATTCACTCAGCATTCCTGAGTTGTGGGTAAGGTTTACCCACAAGCTCATCACATACCCCATCCATAAGATATATTACCATGTAAGTTGCTTCTTCTATAAAGAGATGACAATGAATAAATTGGATTATTTCCAGTTCCCATCATGCTCTACAACAGTATGATACTGATTTATTTTGCACATCAGAAATTTATTCATAAACCTCAACTGTCATAGAAGAAATGCTCTGGGCATAGGAAAGACTCAAATTATTATTATTATTTTAAATAGCTTTAGAAATTAGGCAGCTACTATGTGCCAGGCACAGTTGTAGGCACTTGAGATATAGTGTTTGTTTTTTTTTTAATCCTCAAAATAACTCTGTGGTGAAAATATTACCTTCAATGTTCAGAGAAAAAACAAAACTAAAAAGAGCTTGAAAACTTTAAAGTAACCTGCCACAATCATTTCTTTACTAAGTGTTGTGATCAACAATCAAACCCAGGTTCATCTGCTCTACAACATTTTCTATTATTGAACATGTTTTCCTAAAGTGCTTGAAGATCGCTGTTTCCTTCAAGAAGATAAATACCCTTTATTTTTTTAATAAAATTCTTTAAGTTGTTTTCTTACTTAGTAAACTCCTTGAATCAATGCCATAATAACCTCAACCTAGCTTAGGAGGGTGATAATGAACACATTTGGAAGTGGTAAAAGATGAGTTAATAATGCTTGACTGTAATTCTCAAAACTCATTATAGTATAGCACTGGATTTGTTTTCCAGACTTAGCATTCTGGGTAACCTTCAATGCCTTTGCTCAGGCTATTCCCCAGAATATTCATCCAGTTTTCTACTAGCAAACTCTTTCTAATCCTTCACATAAAGCCCTGCTCAAAAGTCACCTCCACTGCATAAGTCCCCAACATCCCAGGAGGAATGAATTGCTCTCTCTGATTTCACCTGTATTATTGTACTGATCACATTCCATCAGTTATTGGTCTACTTGTCAGGTCTGCCCCTGGAATCAGGTCATTTAAAGAAGAAAGGGATCATACATATATCTATGTATCCCCCCAAGTTTATCATATAGTAGGTTCTCAGAAAATATTATTTTAATGGAACTGAATTATCCTACTTCTTCCAGCAACACTGGAGTAGGATAATGTGAGCAGCCACTTTGAGCTAATGAACTCAGAAACTCTACAAACATGGGTTTCTATGACAACCAGTCAGCTAGGAGAAAGCAAGTGTTGTGATGCCATGATTTTGAAGCTCAATGCCTGATTTTCACTAGGCCCTCTGGTTTCTCCAGTCCCTGTGCAGTGGAACTGGGATCCGTTTCCAAGACTAATTTGCATATTGTTATTATTCGGCATCTGTTGCTCTATGTCCTTGTGTTTGCTGTGGCTGGATTTCCTCCAGAGATGAGTAATGAGGGCATTAACTCAGGTGTCTCCTGAGCCTGACTCAATCATGACTGAAGGCAAAGCACTATGGAATGGATACTCAGTGCCATTCCTAGCAGCAACTTGTGGAGCCAGCAATGGAGTATGCAATACAATTCAATGTAAATACAACTGAGTACCAAGGTTTTTGCTCATAATTGCCCCAAATTTGTTAGAAAGGGACAACAGCAGGGTGTTTCTTAGCTTCCGTAAGGTAAGGTCTCTTTGTAAAGCACAATTTGGGGCTGGAGTAGATGCAGGAAAATAATTTAATCCACTACTGCCGACATCTCCCTTCTGATAATTTTCAAAAGCATGTATTTGTTAGCTTCTTAATTTCAGTAAAATGGTGAGCGACGATTTAGATATTAGCAGTAGATGCTTCTTTCATTCCTGCCAACACCTTTCCAAAAATCTGCTTTTTATTATAAAACTATCAAACAATCATTACTTCTGCAAAGAAGCTCATTATTGCTGCAAACAATCATTATTGCTCAAAGAAGCTACTTTGAGATGCCTCTTAGTACTTGACTTGGAACCAGGTCACTGGGGCTGAGGTCTGCAGCCACTGCTCCTGGGCAGGCTCACTTCACCTACCTCTGCAGTGAGGGGAGGGTGGACTAACGGCCTGTGTGTCATTTTACAGTGTCATTTTATGGTGTGCCCCACACCGGCACATCCCTAATGGATGTGGGAGTCCACTGCAAAGTGTAAAGTGCTACACAAATATTGACTTTTGAGGATTTTGTAATTTAAATTGCAAGAACACTGTTCCCAGAAACTGGCCCATTTTGTATAGTGTTACAAGATGCTTTACAGGTTAGGCCAGATGAGTTTTTATTAATAAATACTGTCTGCTAATGGAATTAGTGTCTATCCTCTGGTTTTTATTCTTTTCTTTAAAGAAATCTTTTGCAACACTACCATCAAGTTCTCAGTTCCAAATCAGTCACAGATTTGCATATAGGCAATTAGAGATTCTGTTAAAATGCAGAAACTGAATGTTTAAGTTCCATTTAGCATTTAAAATAAATATTAATAAAATTTTAAGTAGAAAAAACATGGTGTATCTAGTTGTAAGAGATCTTTATATTTCTAAACAAAACAGGAAACCCAGAAGTCATAAAGGTGTATATATATATATATATATGTGTGTGTGTGTGTGTGTGTATAAAATATATATATACACACACATCCCATTTCCCTTGAAGGTTGCCCTATAACAAAAAATGTGAAAAAAAAAGTTCAACCAATGAAGACATTAATAAAGAGCTGTGCTAAGATCTTGGTGTTTGAATTTGCCTTTTGGTGGATTCCTCTAGAACATTATCAATTAAGCCTTTAGAATGCATAGCAATCACCTGTGAGGAAACTGCTAAAAGTACAGCTTACTGTTATTATCCTGGATATTTTTATTTAATAGGTCAGGAACTCAGGACTCCTAAGTAAATTCTTTTACTGAAACATTGCCCTGTAGAGTATAAAATCAAACTTAAATTTTTATTCTATAGTCCTTCCCCTAATATGTACACAGGGATTCCTATATTTCACCTGGGTTTCCTTAAAGAAAGATATACCTGAGTTTTAAATGATGACATGGATAGTATATGTCATTTTATGGGAGCCAGAAACCTGACTCTATTGCAAACATGTTCTAGGGTCTGGAACAAGCTCCCAAGTGTTTGAGATTCCTCTGGATTAAGGATGAAGTTTGACACTAGATGGTTCAACAGTTCAGTAGAGTGGACAGAAGGGCACAAGTGCCATTTCTCCTGTGTCTAAAAAACTGTACAGTCAAGTTTTAAAATATATACCCACGTGCACTGAGACATCTTTTTTAAGGTTGCCTCTTGATTCAGTCCCATGAGTCTTAAGCAAAGTGGCAGAATATCTTCTAGAAAGATACTGTGCAGAACTGAGACTTAGTGAGACTGTGGAGGTATAAGTAATATCCTGCTAAATTCTCTTTCAGAATGTATTACTTTATCATTTATAAGACTAATTTTTTAAAGGAAAATTTTGTATAGCTGTAAGAGGAACAATGATGATAAGGGAGAATGATTATGAACTATGAACTCACTATCATGAATGAGAAAGGGTTTGAATGACAAAGGAGTCTAAGAATTAGCAGGATAGCCTCAGAAGGGCTTTAGGTGTATGAAGAAATGTGACTTTCTTAAATCTGTGCTCTGATTAAAACAGTGCTTGCATGAAAAATAGATGAAGCATCTACTGAAAGCTAAACTGGAGCCCACAATGGGACAACATTTAAGTACAAGAAGAAATAAAATAGCACATCTTACAGCATGAAGGAACACATATTGAAATACTGAATTAAAAAAGCCTAAAGAAACAGGGTTTGGAGACAGATAAAAGCATGTGGGCCATCTTTTGCTTCTAGCTGGCCCATTCAGAATCCTTTGGGAGATATTGATATTTGGGAGATCCTGATTAGTGCAGAGAAGGTCTAGCTCTTCATCTGAGATTGTGGGCCCTGAAGGGAAACTATGCCTGAGCTGCCATGTCCATCTATGCCATAATGAACGCTTTCTTTGAATGTAAAGACTGTTTATAATAGAACATTTTTTCCTCAAATTGCAATTACTGGAGAAGTGATCTTGCTTGGATACTTTTACAATTTCAAATCACTATACAAATTTATAACAGATTCCTAATCACTGTTTGAGTACTTGGATTCATCCATGCCCAGAGTAAAAACAACCCTGAAATTGCTTATGTGAGTTGCTTAACTTAGCTCAAATTGGGTTTTTGTCACTGCTCACTGAAAGAGGCTTGACTAATAGGCATGGTTAGACGCTGCCCCTCATTCTAAAACGATGGCTGCCATCAATAATCCATGAGAGCATTCTTTCTCACATACTAGACACAGCCTCAAAGTCCTTCTAGACATAGTCTTCCATTGATAATCATCATTTGTTACAATGCTTAACTCTACCTGGTATTTCTGAAACCCACCTGCTTTTTGTTTTGTTATGACTTATGTTTAACAAAGCTATTCTTTGTTCTCAGTGGAAACTCAATAGGTTCCATTTCTAGATCAGCCAGAAGCTAAAAAGAAAACAACTGAGATTTCAGCTCTTACCTGTCGCAAATCATACACACTTAAAATAATGGATAAAACAGACAAGATGATGATGGCCACAGAATATTCTATGTAACCTTGAGACAGCCACAAAGTTAGGGTGAATGCTTGGAATACATAGAATGGATTTAAAACCTGCAGATACAAAAAAAAAAATAGCATTTAGATCACTTGCATGGATTTTAGTAGCAGTCAATGCAATGTCATTTCTTATAGAATGTTTTTTCCCATTTTTTACAACATACATCAACCTCTAATATATAAGAATTCACATGACAATTCATTAATTTTAGTAGAGACATTGACAAGCACATAGAATGTGATGTAATAGAAGCAAAATTATTTTAAGCACTCAGAGCCATGCTTGAAAAACTCAGTTACTTTGAATTTTCAAAAATATTTGACCAATAACAAAATCCAACAATTTACTTTTTCAATCAACTTTACCCATACTGGACGAGAAACACATTTGAGTTTCTTTTTTAAAACAAAATTCAATTTTGAACATTTTTCTTGCATGTTTCTTTTTCATATAATCACAAGCTGCAGATTTAGTCAAGTTGCGCAAAGAAAATTAAAGATTCCACTTTTATTCATATCATTTTAAAATAATATATTCTTTAGGGCCTCCCCTGGTGGCACAGGTGGTTGAGCGTCACGCTGTGCCTCTGCAGCACCGGTTCAATCCCCGGCCGTGCAGACCTCTCCTGTCTCACCCACTGCTCCCCTCAGCAATGTTCTGCTCCCCGCTCTGTCTCTGCTGAATCCTCTCACCCTCCCGCGCATCTGGCCTGTACCCCGATTCTTGTATAAAGAAATAAATCTTTAAAAAAAAACATATTCTTTATATCACAGGTCTCAGCAAGTTCCTCTGAGGACCAGTCAAGTCTGCATGGGTCTTCCCTTGAAGAAGGGAGAGCAGTGAAAAGAGAGGACTTCCCAAAGCTGCAGTGACACTCGAGGGCAGGATGTGCCACCAGTTCCCAAAATAGTCATCTGTGCAGGTGTTTTATAGCCCCTTGAGTACACCTTCAACTTTTGTATTCCTTCCATTTTTATTCCCTCAATGTCGATCCTGCTGACTACTCCATTAATAATCATAAGATAGGATAAAACTGAGGATGCTAGCAGAGGTCATGTAACATACGTGCACCATGGGAAGTAAAGAGATGTGAGCAAAGCAGGCCTCACTATGTGCCTTTTATAACTTTTATCCATCAAATGAAATAATAGCTAAAGCCAGTGCTGTTCTTTTCTACCTTCATTCTCTATAATTGTCTAAAATATATTAAGTACTTGAGTCCTAAAGATGAACTGATATCTGGCTAATAAGTTAATGGGCTATATCTTAACAGTTTCTTAAACCCTTAGATATATTTCGTACAATAAAAAGCTTTTGTTCCTTAATGATTCTTATTATTTCCTTTACAAGATAGTTTTCTTACAAATTATAGCTCTTGTATTTGGGCGGCATAAAATGCTCTAATTGTAGATGATGCACTAATGATAAAGCAATTCTGGGTTTATATAAACTTCGTAGAAAATTGGCTAAATACTTCTTATAGAAGAAACACCATCATCATAATTAATTTAGTTCTCTCATTCAATATTCTTTTAAAACCAAATGTGAAGAAGTAGTTTTACATGCTTTCTTTTCTACTAAAAACCTAGGAAATGGGGGCCTCCCTGGTGGCGCAAGGGGTTAAGATGCAACCTATGAAGCTCTCCGCAGCCACTGCAGCGTAAGTTCAATCCCTGGCCGGTCAGAGAGCTACACACATGGTGCAGCAGACCTCTCCTGGCTCGCCCACTGCTCCCCTCAGCAGTGTACTTTGGTCAATCTGCCTGTTCTGTTCCCCACTCAGTCTGTGGTGAATCCTCTCACCCCCCACACCTCTGGCCTGTACCCCAGCTCTTGTATGCATAAATAAAAAATAAATAAATAAAATCTAAAAAAAAAAAATAGCCCTAGGAAATGGATCCCAGAAAATGTTATCACCCCTTTCTATAAAGACCAAATTGACACCTGAGGAAGTCTTTGGTAATTGGATAATGTAATTGAATAAATTTAAAAAGCAGCTTTTTAAATTTATTTATGGGGGAGACTGTGTATATATGGGGACTCAGTACTTTCCACTCAATTTTTCTGTGAACTAAGACTGCAGGAAAAATATATTTTAGGTCCTCCCTGGTGGCACAAGGGGTTAAGACACAACCTTTGAAGCTATCTGCAGCCACTGCAGCACAGGTTCAATCCCTGGCCAGAGAGCTATCCACGTGGCACAGGAGACCTCTCCTGGCTCACCTGCTGCTCCCCTCAGCAGTGTACTTCAGTCATTCTGCCTGCTCTGTTCCCCACTATGTCTCTGGTGAATCCTCTCACCCCCTGCATCTCTGGCCTGTACCCCAGCTCTTGTATGCATAAATAAGTAAATAAATCTTAAAAAAAAAAAAAAGGGATACTGAGCACAGAAAGAAAAGAAAAACAGAGGGGAAGTCCCACTTTAGTTGACTTTCCCAAAAGTAATAATAACTTCAAAACACACAAAGAAAATAGTCTTCAAGGAAAAAACAAACCTACTAACAAAGAAAGAAGTCATCTGTAAGAAAATAGAAATAACAGAGAAACATGAAAAAGACCAAAATAATGTGTTTGAAATCCTCAAAGAGATAAATTAGAAATAACACTGTACCATCACACCATCACTGCAACTTCCATTAAAAACTTAAGAAAACAAAGAGAGATGAGATTATGAAACAGGAATCTGTCCTTCACCCTGCAAAGAAATTTTCAAAACAATTTTAAATTTAAAACATGTAGCTATTGAAAAGGAACACTTAGAAATCCTGGAATAAAAAATATATATTTTGAAATTATAAAAAGAAAGAAAACCTCGATATACATGCAAAATACAGACTAAGCAAAGCAGGAATAGTAAAAAGAGGTTGCATGAAAAGCAGATTATGTTTATAGCAAAATATTCATGTGTGTTGTCAAGGTTACCCTGAGAACTAGGAAGTAAAATGTAAAGGCAGGGCCATATTTATTTTTCAAAGAAACAAAGGAAACAGTTACCTGTTTAACAAGAAGCTTCCATATGGGTTGAATTTCTACCTCAATGGCATTGGGCCCGCACACTAATCTTCTGTAGGAAAATGGTCTCAATTAGTGTCATGAGCACAGTTGCTGGGTGACTACAGGACGAATTAGCAGAGGCCACTTCTCTTCCCCTTAGGGATTTTGTACCTTCAATCCAAAATGAGTGTGCAGTTCCTAAAATACTAGTATACTTTTTAAATGAAAGTCAGTGCATGAGCAATAAGTTGTTTTTCAGGTTAAAAAATATCTTAAATACCGTACAACTCAAGAAAATGTTAGCAATCCTTTCAAAATAGGTCAAATTTGAAGTTAGAAAGGCATTTGGAGTTACTTTTAAAATAATTTGATTATATTTTAAGAGCAGCTAAGAAGACAGAATTGTCAATTCAATTCCTAGAATTGTCAGGCATTCTAGCTGGTTCTTCATGTTAGAGATCATGTCTATCATACCTTGGTATGCTAGTTCTCCAGCAGCTGGATCAGCCCCTGAGCATATGAACTCAATGAGTGCATGAATGACTTAGCTAACAAACTGGAAGGTGATGTATAATCTCCATGGCTAGCCCCTGGTACATCCAAACTGTGCATTACAATAAGAAACCCTATGTAGCATTTTACAATTTACAAAATTCTTATAAAACACTTTGCAAATACTTAGTCAGCCTCTAAGAACCAAGTATCACCACAGAATCTTATGAATAAGAAATCTGAGATGCAAAATAGCTAACATTTGACCTTTGTATTTGTTCCTTAAGCCAGGAACCAATATCCCCACATCTTTGCCTGGCTGCTCCCTCATTTCATTGAGATCTGTGCTCAAATAACACCTCTTTATTGGATCCTTCCCCAATAATTCTGTTTAAAATAGCTACCTACCTCTTAAATCACATTCCTTTTATCTCTGTAGTCTACCCCATTTTCTTTCTGGTGCATTTAATAATGTGAATTGTACTTTATCTTTTACGTTATTAAACATGCAAATGATAGGCTGTACCAGCCAATACAATATAAGCTTGCAGGGGACACTGATATATCCTGAATGTTTAAAATAGAGGCAACACACTCAAGAATTCTGTGTTGGATAAATGAATTCATGGAGGGAAGAGTCTTGGTACCCTTATCTATAAAATAGATTTGATAATGCATGCCTAATTGCTATGAATTCATGGAGGGAGGAGCCTTGGTACTCTTTTCTATAAAATAGATTTGATAATGCATGCCTAATTGCTATCAGTAGCATGAGATTAAGATGTAAATCATTTATTAGCAGAGGGCCTAGGACATGACAAGTTCTCAGTAAGTGCCTGCTACCTTTGAAATCTTCCTTATTCCAGCAGGTACAATTAACTATTTTTCTCCAACAATCCTTTTTTTAACAGCACATATTTCTTTGAACTACAGTATAACATATGGTTACATATGGTTACACATGTGCAGTATAACATATGGTTTACATATCTTACTCTTCAAATTTCCTTGAAGCTCTTCATGATAGGAATGAAGGTTTTCAGCTGTTTTTCTGCTTCTAGGGGCACAGTGTGTGATACTAAGTATGTTCTCTAAATATTGGAATTAATTAATGAGGACCTTTGTGACTCACATCTGGAATATTGTCTCCCCTAACAAGACTGAAAACGTAATTCATAGCCAGACTGTGAAAATCCATTTAGAAAGGAGTCTGCCAAGTGCCCTCAGATTTCCCTTTCTTGTCAGATGGTTTCTAATATTACTGGTAGGAGAGAGCACCTCAACTGCCCTGAGGACTGACATCCCATAAATTAAAACTTGCCTGGAGACCTCGTTAGGGTTCAACAGCATCAAATATGAAGCATAGCCAGGCATACCCTGGGCTACTTCGATTTCTCCACTATTTCTTGCCTAAGCAGCAATGTTTTAGAGATTGTGTACTCGTTTCAATTTCAGCACAAGTCAAGCAAAACTTTCAGGGACATAAACCAATGGTGGAGCAATCAGAAGGAACATGAGTTTCAAGAGTGAGTCACATAAGGAAAAATCATGGAACAAAAGAGAATTCATGCCCAGATTTTAAATACCTGACTAACTGGCAGGGAAAAAAGACCCTAGATTTATTTCAGGTGACCTCCCCTGGATATAAAAGGCTGAATAAAATTAAATCAATTTGCCAATATTCATTAGGGGAACAATTGCTTTGGAGGCAGAAGATCCCGCTCCAAAAAGACTGAAAAAGTGCAGACCACACTGACCACTTTGCTTCCATCCCATGAAGCTGTCAATAGTCCTTAGGCAGAGAAGGAGACTAATTTTTCCAAACAGTTAACACTAAGCCAGAAGACACTGCATGACCCACTTATGTGCACTCGAATTTCTAGGAAATAGATTTAGAGTTTGAAAAAGTTCCCAGATGACTTCGCTGGCCAGTCCCCTACCCCTCTAGCATTCCTCCTTTATAAAGGAAGGGAGATCTAAAAAATTCACAGATGCATAGGCTATGGCATTCAATTGCTAAAATTTGGGAACAGTTAGTAAATAACAACAAGATTGGCATCCTTTTAAGAAATTGTTTTCTGGGGGAGCTATATTTTAGCAGTGCTCATACCAGCTTCTCTTCTTCAATGGAATATTTATACCAGGAAGCTTCATTTTACCAATAACATAAAGTCATTTTAGTTTTTCACATTAGTCCTTTCCTGTGACCTATCCATTTCTTTCATTTTCTAAAGTCTTTTTTCCAGATAGAGTCTCAGAAAAAGGTTCTGACAGGATTTCATGTGTAGAAACTAAGTGAGGGGCTTGCAGACAGCTTTCTGGAGGAAGTGCCTGGAGCATTTCTAGGCATGAGGATCTGGAAAGCAGAGCACCAGGAGGACACTGGGATGGGGGAGAAACCCCAGTCAGGACATCACCAAGGAACCCAGGATTTAGACTTACTGGTGCACCATAGAACTTTGCTCTATGACAGGGCATTGGAGTTAAGTGATTTTACACTTACAGTGCACCAAGGAACCATGGACCCAACAAATCCAATTTACTATAGAGAATATTGTTTTCAGTGATTCATTTAATTTTTCTTAAATGCCCAGAGCAAGCTGTTATATTTCAGAGTAACTTATGAACTTCTAACTGAAAACTGAGTTGAGACAATCTTATGGCTTCCAGAAAGAATGAGTAAAGCCTCTCTCTTCTACTCCAACCAATCCTGTCTTGCTCCTTTCTCATAGATCTGAAATGATGGGCAAGGGTCTACATTGGGATTGTCTTCTAGGGATGGCACTTTCAAACTTCATGGCATATAAGCATGATTTCTTTTCTGACTTTTGCTCCTTAAGGAGTTGAGTTTAATACAGTCCTAATCTTTTTCTCTCTCCACTCTCCTTGCTTATTCTTTCTCACTCTTCCAATATTCTCTCTTCTCCTGGAACAGCTTCTACCATCTTGGAAGTGAACATTGATGACAAACCTACTTTCTTTTGTTGCCTGTCATCTGAATTTCTTTGTTGTGGCAGAACAAGGATGCAGTTTTTCCAAAGGCATGACAGAAGTTGAGAATTAAGTCTGGGCCCAGCCGTGTCACAGACCTGAGTGTGAGCCAGTCTTCCCAACTCCACCTTCAGTGATGTCACATGGGTCACTTGAAATCAGGAGTGGAATATTCATATTGTAAAAATTGTCAGCTCCTACCTATCAAACCTCTTTTTCTTCTAAGGAAATGGGTAACCAATAGGTGGCAGTCTGCAGCTAACCCCCAGTTAAGAGGTGCCTGCATCTCTCCTGCCAGGTTTCCTTTCTATTTTCAGGAGGCTTAACAAGGAAGTTAAGAGCAGGGTGGGCTGTGGGAAAGGAAGATGAGGAGACACTTGACTTAAAAGTGTTAATAAGATGACTACTTAGATGGATGTGGGGTGAGGAGGCATGCTTTTTTCCATAGTGTGCTTTTTCCATGAGATAAGAAAATTGCCTTGTCTGTAGACCCCTGTAAGACAGTAAGATGGGAAGTTGCATTCAATTCAGGAATAAGTGAGGATAGGAGGAGGGAACTGCCTGGCTTGGTTCTCCTGATTTATTTCTTATTCTCTCTGAGAATTTCTCTCCAGGGTAAAGTTATCTCTCCTGATGTCTTGATTTGCTTTTTGCTACTAAAAAGTGAAACTGGTATAAATTCAAGCATTTTTCCACTGTACTGGTTGCTAGGAAGCCAAAGGAGAAGGCTGTACATAGACACTCTGGTTTTCTTTCACCAAAGATTTTGAGTATTTCCTTTCCTTTATTACTTACGTTATGCCCTTGGTCTTTATTTTTTTTAATTAATTTTGTTGAAGTAACATTGTTACTCCCTTACATTTTAGGTGCATAGCACAGAATTTGACTCTATATCCACTGTATCATATTCTCTATGAAAAGTCTAGTTTCTATCCACTAACATGCACCAATTGATCCCCTTTACCCATTGTACCAACCACCAATGCCCTCCTCTGGTTACCACCAACCTGGTCTCTGTATCCAAGACTTTGCTTTTGATTTCTTTTGTTTGTTCATTCACTTTGTTTATCTTCCACAATATGAAAAAAACATACAGTATTTGTCTTTATCAGTTTGATTTATTTCACTTAGCATTAATACCTTCAAAGTCCATTCATGTTATTGCAAATGGCAAGATTAATCTTTACATATGTGTGTATCTATATGATCTATGTGTATATGTGTATACATATATAATACATACATATATCATATCTTTTTTATCCATGAACAATTTCTGCCAATGAACACTTAGGTTATTTCTATATCTTATTTCTGTCTGTTGTAAATAGTATCATGCCTTTGCTTTGCATGCAAGAAAGCACAAATCTGTTTAGTAAATTGGTAGCACTCAAATAATCAATCACATTTAATTTTTTTAAAAGACCTTGATATTACACTAAAAAAGGGAAAATATCCCATATTCAACTTACTTTATCTTCTAAATAGATAAGCCCACAAAATAAAATATGTCTATGTTTATAAGTAAATTGTTTCCTTTATTCTCTTTGTCTGTTGACTAGATTGTAAAGTTCTTTATTATGTAGACCAAATTTAAATTTAATTATGTATGATGTTTATTAAAGCTTGTCACTTGATAAATAAGGACAAATGTGAGGGAGCTACTCAGATGGGAAATCTTTCCTTGGGAAATGGTTTCTTAGACAGAGTGTATCTTCATTTATCAACTAGATTTCCTAAATGCCCTATATCAATCCCTTAAATTTCTTGTGCTTAATGCTATTAAGCCAATATGTTTTTAATGCCTTTGAAAACTTTTTGTATTTCAATGTATTAAGCATTATATGAAATCATATAATGATAGCATTTCTAAGGCATTCTGCAATATTGTTCTAGTCTAGCTGTCTGGTTCATTTGTCATAATGTCAGGCAGAGGGAAAACTTAAAAACAACCACAGATCAATAATTCTCAGACTTGGTGTGCATAAGAATTATGGAGGTATTTGCTAAAAGTGCAGTTGTTTTCTCTCACCACTACCCCTCAATCCTACCTACTAAATCAGAATTATGGGTTAGAACCCAAGAACCAGTATTTCAAGTAAAATATTGCTTCTTCACTGGAGAATTGGTATTTCTGACTAACTGAAGAAGGTGGAGTAGCTTATATTCCTACAACTGGGAAAGAATTGAAGGCAACTGTTAAGATTCTGGGGAAGGTTTTCAATGATTTCCTTTCAGATTCACGAGGCTTCACTACTTCAAATTATAGATGATGGAAAGAGGCTCTTTAGATGACCATGAGTTAAGGAGCAGCACAAGCATTTCCTCATCTATGTGCATCTATAGATCCAAGGAACCCAGGATTTAGACTTACTGGTGCTACCATAATGTACTATTCTCTGTCTCTTTTGCTCCCTGGTCAGTGAATATCTCTGGGACAATGACATAGTCCTAAATGTCCTTAGATCCACAGTGCTCGGCAAAGTGCATGGCATACTAGAGACATTTAGCTAACAGATGAATGAGTGCTTTTATTTATTCATTCATTCCACAAATAGCTATTGAGTGCCTACCATGAATCAGGCACTGTTCTAGGTGCTATAAATATGGTGGTGAAAGACACAAGTAGCTGAGCAAACAAGCTCTTTATCACCAGGCTGTTCTCCATAGTAAAATGCTATCATAATATTGTCATTTTCACCTCTCAGAGGATTTGGAGGATTAAGAAGCTGATGTTTATGAAATGATTTATGAAGAGATTTTTTTGAGGAAAGAATAAAAAAGACAATGCAGAAAGACTGTTCTACAATCCTGAGGAAAAAAGATCAAATGATATTTGATTGCAGTGTTCTTTCAGTTTTTTCTTTTTAATAAGCTTTTCTAAGACAAGAACAATTTAGAATGTCTCCAATGACAGTAAATGAGCTGAAATTATATGAAGAAGATGAGCATTAGGCCAACAATTCACTGATGATAAGTCATTTGATACTTCCATTTCTGCTGACAGAGTTCACTCTCAGCTAGTACACAAACCCTACCTGATCTCTTGCTCTTCACTAGTCAGACCCAATCCAAATGTATGATGGATGTCATAGCACGAGTTGCTATCTTCCAGCAACCTAGGATATGGTCAGAACAGGAATCATACTTCAGTACAGAGCACTGGACAAATTGGTGCCCTTCCCTTTTATACTACAGTAATGGAAATAAGTAGGACTTACCCAACTTTCTGAAACCTCTTCTCCAAGTTGTCCCAAACATACCTAATTTTCTGCACTTGGATGCATCGCAGCTGCAATTACAAATGTGATAGAACACACGTTACACATTTACAAGGGGTTAGGATGCAATCTGTGAAGCAGTCTGCAGCCTCTGCAGCACGAGTTCGATCCCTGGCTGGCCAGGGAGCAACCCACATGGCGCAGTGGACCTCTCCTGTCTCGCCCGCTGCTCCCCTCAGTGTACTTCGGTCAGTCTGCCTATTCTGTTCCCCACTCTGTCTCTGGTGAATCCTCTCACCTCCCATATCTCTGGCCTATACCCCCACTCTTGTATGCACAAATAAATCTTAAAAAAAAAAACCATCAGGGAAAGTGGGGGTTGTCTAATACAGTTCCCCACAAAGCTCTCACTTTCCTTGACACATGGCTATAACTCCCAGCCCAGCAGTGTGATGGTCAGAGATTTTATCCAATACATTCTTCTCTTTTTTTAGCAAAACATGCCATAACATTGCATTCTTTAAAAAAAATCACTTACTTTTAATTCTGGCTTCAATACAGCATGGTTTATGACGGAGTGGCGGTCAGCCAACAGGGGTTCTTCTGGATTCCTGCTTATAGGAAACTTCAGTGTGGATAAGTAGAGGCAGGTCACTTTTTTTCTCATGTATCTTTGAAATTCATCCTAGAAAAGACAATCCAGTATATGAAATTCTCAAATTTTATTCAAAAATGTACTCAATCAACCAAATAGCTGCCAAGTACTAGACCAGTGATTCTGGAAGTTTGGGCTACAGACAAGAGCTTTGACATTATATTGGAACTTGCTAAAAATGCAAATACTTAGCTCCACCACAAACCTACTAAATCAGAAATTCTGGGGATGCAGTCAGCAGTCTGTGTTTTAAGGGACACTTCAGGTAATTATGATTTGCATTAAAACTTAAGACCCACTTACACTAATGAATAAAGAAAAAGATACAGTTTGCAGCAAAGCTTTTATCCAGAAAATCACTATTAGCTATCTTTATTTTTTCCCAGGAATTAGCATTTATTAAGCAACTTTTCAAATTCTATTAGGATAAGCACTCAAGAGGTGGTAAAGAATCATATTAAAAGAATCATATTAAAAGTTATATGTTTCTAAGTCAGATTTCTCTGGCTGCAGACCACCTGATTGAACTTGCACAGATGATTTAACATCTTAGGTTTTTCAACCAAAAAGCAAAGTTAATAATAATATGTAACTCACCATGTTCTTGGGAGAAATAAACCATGCTATGAAAAGTGATCAGCTTAGAGTCACTTATATAGTAGTTTCTCCATGTTCCATGAATATAATATTAGTGCCACCAGAAGAATACAATCTAATATGGTGGTCAAATGAGTTTGTGAAGCTCAAGTGGAGGACAGTATTTGAAGCAAATACTCATCTATACAGTCAGATGGGAAAGGCTCTAAGAATTACTTCTGTACTAGAAAATATTTACCTCCAAGTAAAAGTGTATAAAAATAAGCATAAGGCAAGAGGATAAATATTTAAATATAGTTTTGTCAACTTTTGCATGTCAAATTGATGATCCCATAAGATGTATTTTTGTTGTATGTAGACTAACATTTATCAAAGAACTTTTCTCAGGCAATTAGTTGACAGGATTAACAGAAATTAAATCACATCTTGAAATTTAAAATATCTAATTTCCCTTGAACTACATATTTTTGAAAAACTGAATGATCATTCCTGGGTGATGTCTTAAGAGTTATAACTCTGACAGCTGCTGTTTATGTAATAGCTAAGAGCACTGACAATTGGCCTGACATGGTAGAAATTTCCTCAGGTTGACATGGAGGAAATGTCCTTCACTCCTGGGTCAAAATAAGAAATGGCAGGTAGGGGCCTGCCTAGTGGTGCAGGGGTTAAAGTCTCAGTGGTCTCAAGCTATAACCAGCCACTGCAGCATGAGTCCGATCCCCAACCAGGGAGCTAACCCACATGGTGCAGCAGACCTCTTTCTCACCCGCTACTCCCCTCAGCAGTGTATTTCAGTAGATCTGCTTGTTCTGCTCCCTACTCTGGTGAATCCTCTTATGCCCTGCACCTCTGACCTAAACCCCAGTTCTTGTATGCATAAATAAAATAAATCTAAAAAAAAAAAAAGAAATGGCAGGTAGATTGCAGAGATAGTTTCACCATCTTCTTTTAGGGGGCAGGAAAACTCTACAGAGAGGAGGATCTGTCCTCTGACATGTTGGCCAGTCATTTCTTTTCGCACAAATTCAACACAGAAGAGCACACACCGTTGTCCTTAGCAAAATGGTATCTGCTTCTTGCAACGGGCATGGGACACAGTTGGCCCACACCCTCCACTGCGGCCTCCAGTAGAATACCAGCAGTAGGGCACCACAGGTCAGCACAGAAGCTACAAGCCAGAAGGCTCTGCGGAGATTCTGAGTCCGGTAACCAAACACCTCCTAGAGAGTAAATAAAAGATCACTCTTTTAAGTACCATTGTTTTACCTCCCTATTATTATTTGCATTGTATAGGGTTTCCCCTCTCAGGTGCAGCCAGAGTGGCTCTGCCACCACCCAATCACCCAGAGTTCTTAGCTATAATCCACTGTGCTATTTTCTTTGTCATGTAAACTTTTCATTTTGTTCCAAGAAACACATACTTTACATGCAGGGGTTTTGGATGAGAGAGAAAAGTGCTTTCTACCGGCTGAATCAGATTGATTGCTTACAGCTGTCAGATGATGTAATAATGAAACAAGGACTCATTTTATTACCCTGGCATATGGAACTAAAGCATTAGACAGGAGGAGAAAGGAATGGGCAGGCTTGTCTGTTCTATATCCTCTCAGTATCACTTCAGTTTTTATAAAATACATCATGTTTTGGATCAGATTTACTTTCTTTAGGTATAGTTTTAAAAAAATGCTAATATGAATTTAAGGGAGGATAGTGATAAAATCAGAACAGAAATGATCCACACTTATGTATCTAACTTTATATAAATTCAACTTTGTTGTATAATAATATGATTTAGAATGACTGAAAGTATAATCAGTGCACTTCTTTCTAAAAGTGTAGAATGACATAAATTCGGAGAGTATATCTGTGGACATGATTTACAAAAAGTAGTTTATAGGTATTTACCCTGAAAATAACAGACTGAAATACTTCTACTTTTAGTAGTGAGATACAGTTAATATTTATTATGAATTGAGTAAAGATTTGAGGTTTGATTTCAGGGGAAAAGAAAAATATAGATTTATTTATTTAAAGCCTTTTTCTGGTTTCCATTTTCTATAAACATGTTTCATGATAATGCTTTTTAAATTTCAAAAACTAGAATTTTCATGTAGTTGGAAGAACCAGAGAAATTCTGGTTATTAATGGCATTGCTATTATACAACTATTTTGGTTCTACTAAACACCCATGTCCAGATTACAGAGCCAGAATGTCAGGAAAATAGGATTTTATTGTGTTTCTATAGCACTTTCAATTTTGGAATCTCTTGAATTTGATGCTAATTTAGATCACATTATAATACATCTCTTGGCTTAATGCTTTGAAAATTTTTTCATCCTCAATATGGTATTATTTTTATTATTTTTTTCTAATAAAGACATCTGGGCTAAATCAAGATTTTTAATAACACTTGTTGAAAGTAATCCTGAACCATAATGGCAAGGTCACGGGCATGCTCAATTCTCCACTCTGCTAGTTATCAACTCTGTGGCTTAGGGGAATCATTTCACCTCTAAAGAATCCCAATTTACTCTTCTGCCACACATTAGAAATACTTGTCTTACGGATACTTGTGCTCATATGAAATAATGTCTCCTTAAATGTTCTGTAAAGTAATTACAAATTTAAGAGTTCCTTTCCACTGTTCCTCAGCACTATCACCCACTAGGGCAAAAATGTTCACAGAGTTTCTAGATTATTCATAAGGTTTAAATGTAACTTAGAAACATGTTCACTCTTTTTAAGCTTATTTTCAGGTGAGTTGCTTTTTTCTCATTTCCTCTCTGATTCTATAAGTCTTTGGGGGGTTCTATTTGTGAATTATAGATTAGACTCAAATAAATTATATAAGCCAGTTCACATATTATGTCATATATATATATTTTTTTGTAAGGACAGGAAAGACACAGTGCAGGTTTTCTGATCCAGCAGACCGGGTAAAGGAGGAGTCCTGGAGCCCTCAGTGGCTTTTGCAGGCTTTTATAGGGATTACCAGGTAAAGGCAGGCAGGGGCTCTGGGGGCCCAGGAGCCTGGCAGGCCTCCCAGCCCCCAAGCAAGTCTTCACTCTGGGCTCTCCCGCCTTCTCTCACATTCTCTCTGCTCTTCTCATGGCTCTGCTTCCCTCTCTGCTTCTCTGCTCCTCTGCTTCTTTCTCAGCTTCTGCTGGAGTCTCCACGACGTTGCCCCTAAAAGCCCAGTCTCAGCCCAGGTGAATCCCATCTACGCATGCCCGCACCGTACTCCAGGTGCCCCCCCCCCCATTAGGCATGCATTCAGGACTGAGGGTTCCCTCATCTATCCTAATGGCAGGAGGGCAGAAAAGCCTGATACTTTTTACCTTACCCTACAATATTGTTTTACTAAGTTACCTCAGGAATGTGTTGCCAAAGCCCAAGTATGTACAAAATAGAAGATTTTGACATGGAAGCCAGCACGTTCCCATCATCTTCAGCAGGAGATGGCTACAAGTCTTCCCAAGTCACCGAACCTCACCTTTCCCATAAAAAACCCTGCCCTAGCCCTTTGTTTTTAATTGACTCCTCAAATTTTGCTGCTGTGTTCTTTCTCAGTCTATCCCCACTGACGTAATTAAAATAACTTACATGTGATTGAAATAGTGTCCAATAAACAAACTTACTTCGTATTTTAAATTTTTTTACTTCTTATTGACACATGCAAATATAGCAATGCCAATTGCACTGAACTTTAATGTATAATTTAATGACATCAGCAATTAGTTTTGCTCATTTTTTTATCTCATACAAAACTGTGCATTGCTTTACAGTAATTCACTTAGGCAGAATGTTTGTGAAATTAATTTATCTTGGTGTGTGCGTCAGTTCATTTTTTAAAAAATAGACTTTTAATTTTATTTTTATCTTTATTTTTTAATTGAGGTAGCATACACAATTTTTTACTAAGCTGTAATTAGCATATAACTATATTACTTTCAGGTGTACAACATGATTCCATATTTGTATACTTGCAAAATTATCATTGCAATAAGTCTAACATCTGTCACCATAGGGAGATACAAATCACTGTTTTCTGATGAGAACTTTTAAGATTTATTCTCTTAGCAACTTTCAAATATTCTATATATTATTAATCTTAATCATGCATACAAGTACTAGGGTGTAGGCCAGAGGTGCGGGGCGGGGGGGCGGGTGAGAGGACTCATCAGAGACAGAGTGGGACGCAGAGCAGGCAGATCTACTGAAATACACTGCTGAGGGGAGCGGGCGAGGCAGGAGAGGTCTGCTGCGCCATGTGGGTTAGCTCCCTGGTCATGGAGCATAAATAAATAAAAATTTTTAAAAAACAGTGTTTGTCAGAGACAGGAGGTGAGGGCTGGGCAAATGGGTGAAAAGAGTCAAAAGATACAAATTTCTATTAGTTATAAAATAAGTTATGGGGCTGTAATATACAGCATGGTGATTAAGATTAATAATATATAGAATATTTGAAAGTTGCTAAGAGAATAAATCTTAAAAGTTCTCATCAGAAAACAGTGATTTGTATCTCCCTATGGTGACAGATGTTAGACTTATTGCAATGATAATTTTGCAAGTATACAAATATGGAATCATGTTGTACACCTGAAAGTAATATAGTTATATGCTAATTACAGCTTAGTAAAAAATTGTGTATGCTACCTCAATTAAAAAATAAAGATAAAAATAAAATTAAAAGTCTATTTTTTAAAAAATGAACTGACGCACACACCAAGATAAATTAATTTCACAAACATTCTGCCTAAGTGAATTACTGTAAAGCAATGCACAGTTTTGTATGAGATAAAAAAATGAGCAAAACTAATTGCTGATGTCATTAAATTATACATTAAAGTTCAGTGCAATTGGCATTGCTATATTTGCATGTGTCAATAAGAAGTAAAAAAATTTAAAATACGAAGTAAGTTTGTTTATTGGACACTATTTCAATCACATGTAAGTTATTTTAATTACGTCAGTGGGGATAGACTGAGAAAGAACACAGCAGCAAAATTTGAGGAGTCAATTAAAAACAAAGGGCTAGGGCAGGGTTTTTTATGGGAAAGGTGAGGTTCGGTGACTTGGGAAGACTTGTAGCCATCTCCTGCTGAAGATGATGGGAACGTGCTGGCTTCCATGTCAGCCGATATAGTAACACATCCTAATGAAGAGCTTATTAAGATAGAGTGAAAGACAGGCTTACAACTGGGAACAATTCAATCAAAAGGTCAACAGAATTTTTTTCCTGCTTGTTAATTATAAGTAAGGCTTGTGGAAGAAAGAGAGGAAGGAGAAGGAGGGGAAGGGAGGAAAAGGGAGAGTCAGAGCAGGGGAGGAGAGAGGAGGAGGAATGAGAGGAGGGAAGAAAGGAAGGCAGGAAGGAACTTTCAGAAGAGTGTGGAGGAAGAATAGTAACGTTTTTGCTTCCTTGAATTGACTTCATGAATCTTGTTAAAATTCCTTTCTAGATTACTTCTGATTTCCAGAGGCTACCTAGCTAGGGTATGGGATTTGAAGTTTGGGCTAAAAATAATACTCTTTTGATCGGCGTTCTTTTAATCAAATATTCAATCATTTTATGTTTGTGCAGTTAGGGTTTTGTTTGTGCAGTTAGGGTTTATCATGGTGTATGTTTTCATTTTGATCAAATCATCTCAGGTATAATTTGATTGTTCCCAATGATTTTTTTTTCTGATGTAGTAAGTCTCTTATTTCTCGCAAATATTTATATATCCCAGGTAAAATCTACTTAGAAATGAAAGGTAGCAGAGGGAGCCGGGAGCCCTATGTATACCACAAGAGGAAGGTAAGTGAAATCCAGTCATCTTGTAAGTGTACAAACATTGGCAACAATGAAAGCATCAGAATCTCAAACCTACTATATGTGGTTCCTGGTAGTACACCTATTCCCTGTGTGACCTCAGAATTTAACTTAAGTCTCCATTCCCATCACATAGGGAACATTAATAACACATACTTGAAAGAATAGCTGTGAAGATTAAATGAGAAATATAAGATGTTGTGCACCAAACAAGCCTCTAGTCAGTGCCAGCCGATGATTTGCTAATAGGTTCACAGGAGGAGAGAGGGGACTATTTCAGTTTTGAGTTGCAATATACCAGGCAAAGGCTGATCATGGAAACAGGTTGTATTCCATGAGGTGAAGACCCAGGTCTGACACCACCTATTAATTGAGTCGGCAGCACAGAGATTGTGCCTCTTCAT